ATGGCAAAGATTGTTTTACAACATTTGAAAGTGTATAGGAAAAATTGGAGCATGTTGAAAGCTGCTCGACCGCTCGATATACTCTAAATATATTATATTTGTATAGCCAAAGTATTCCCTTTAAAAGTTGTGCAGACACAAATGTAAAAATATAAACATATTACAATACTTTTTGAACTACAACTGATATGTTTTTTATTCGATTTTAATTTAATTTATGCAGTTCGTCAATAATACGTCAATGTATATATATTATATATCAATTACATAAATTATTTAGTCTGCCTTTTGAATTGTTGATTTTATTGCTATCGGAAATCGATATGTATCGATCTTCGTAAAGTGTGGGGAAGTTGTTGATCAAAGGAAATAAGCTTGATCTGCGCGGAGTAGACGAAAGCTAATATTCCAAATTTGAAATCTCTGAGATCCGCATACAGGCGTACATGGCTATATCGACTCGACTGTTGATCAAGAATATATATATATGTTACATACTTTGGCACGAAACGATTATACTCCTTTTATCCATTTTTAATTGGTACTGGGTATATATATTTTATGAAATCGTAAAACTTTTAAAGTATGACAAATTTGTTGAGCTGCAATTGAAAAGCAGCATTTCAATGTTTGCCAAATAGCACAGTTAATTATATATTTCAAATGAAAATACAATGGGACTGGAAGAAAGAGAGTTGGGAACTCGCAAAGAAATCATATAAATAAATTTCGAAGTTAAGTAAACCAACCCGAAAATAATTTTCATTATACGATATTTAATTGAATACACACACAGCCATTGTATGCGTAATGAGAACGAATGAATTAGTGAATGAATGAATGAATGCATGAGTAATGTCAACAACAGTGCGATTGTAGTCATAGGTTAGGATTGTTCTCGACACACACAATAATAATAGCAACAACAACAGCTGCTAACTATTACTATACGGCGTTTCACACTTGCAGAATAAATTTGAATTTGAAATTTGGAATTTGGATTTTGATTTACCTTCACATCTCGACAGTCGTAGTAGTAATCCATTGTTGAATTGATTTGATTATTCATGCTATTCAAAAAACATTGTCTCTCAAAAAATTAGTTTTCACCGCACTACGAATAAAGCACACAAATTTGACAAAATTCAAAATAGAAATAGAAAAAGCAAAAAGATGAAAAAGTATGCCTCCAAAAAATGGCAATTCACAGCGATTTGCATATGGTTCACATTTCACACACACCGTTTATTTTCTAGTTGTTGTATGTTGTACTGGTTACTTTGCATATTGGAAACTTGGAACTCAGTTAGCATTTTTTTTGTTGTTTTTGTTTTGTTTCAGCGACATCATCATCATCATCATCAGCAGCAGCAGCAACAGCAGCAGCATTATGATCATAATCGGAAGGCTACGCTTTTACTGTCGTTTGACGATGATGACGATGAAGATGAAGATGGCTAAAAATTTTGCAGCCACGATTTGTGTGTGTGTATGTTTGCCTATGAGCATGTAGATATCGTATTTAAAATAGCGTTAACATTTAAAAAGATTTTCACTGACCCCAATTGGTGTTGTGCACACACACACACAAACACAAACACGCACACTCCCCACAAACACACTTTTATTTATTGATGATGCTGTTAGTTGTTGTTGTTGTTAGATGACATCGCTGTTAGTTGTTGTTGTTGTTGTTGTTGTTGATTGCACTTAGCGTATGCAAATGATTAATCTCACTGAAAGTCTGTCGGCATACTAAATACGAAAAAGAACTGCGAAACAGTTAATAAAAATTCAAAACCAAATTGCAAGCATCGATTTGCTTCGATAAGCTCAACGCACAATTTGGATTAGTTTGCATATCGATAACACAAAATAAGAATAACAATTAAAGGCGGGCGCGATTAATGAACTGTAAAATTGAATTCAATCAGTGGAACGAAACGGAACGGAACGATCCATAGAAAATTAATTCCAATTCAAATGGCACTTTTATTGTTATTGTTTATTGTTGTTGTTGTCTATCATTGTTGCAAGCTAATCTGAGCTGCAAATTTGGTGAAATTATGAGTGAATCTGCTGCCCCCACCTGCCACCCCCCCCAGGCAAGGCATACGGTGCGTTAAACTTAACAGTTTTGCAAAACAATAGGGAAAAGTGAAAGACAAACTGTAAATATATACAATGTTTTTTGTTTGTTGTTTTTGTACAGCTACAATAACGATAATAATAACAACAACAACAACTCTGGCGATTGTTGTATGTATGTGGCATGTATCCATTGATGTACAAAAGGTGTTTTTTTTTGTGGTCGATTTGGGCACACACACACACACAATGCACTTGGTTTACTCTTTCACATTTGTGGCACTTTGAAAAGGCCAACAAATTTCACCTAATTATAAACACACGTTTTGAACCCAACTTTTTTGGGTTGAGTGTAAAAACATTCTTTTTATTTACTTAATTTACTTTGCATGTGTTTGATGTGCATTATTATGATTATTATATTTTTAGATGCCCCCAAACAGCGTACACTTGACACTTGGCAGGCGACAAAACGAACGAAAAACAACAAAACGAAAAACAACAAAACGAAAAACGACAACTCCAGCAACGCACTGGAAACGGGCCATGCGCACCTGCGATGCCTGCCTGCGAACTGAATTGAAACTGAACTCAACCTGACGCGTCGCTTGCTATTTCGGCTTAGGCGGCCCTCTCATTCATGCGAACTGTGCGCTCTTCACTCTTCACTCTCTCGCGGCCAGGTAAGAGAAAGTGAGTGTGTGAGTGTGTGTGAGTGAGTGTGCTGCGACTGCGACTGCGGCTGTGGTGGTTTATGAGGCTTGCATGCGTTTCATGCGCTTCTGTGTGCGTGCGTCTGTGCAAAACCGGCTTTTCTGTGTGCGCGACCGCTCTCTGTTACTCTCTATCGCTCTCTTTCTGTCTCTGCTCAATCAACTAGCAACACTTGCGCTGCAGTTGCCTGCAGCAGTGAGTTTTTTCTGTTATTTTTTTTTTTGTGCTGTCTTTTATCGGCGTCTTCTGTGTTTATGCCTCGCTGTCTCACGTTTCAGTCGAGCAGCAGCAGGTTTTTATCGCAAGTCGGCGATTGTTGTCGCTGGCCGTTCTCATAACTAACGCAAAATTATATCATAGATCATGCCAATCGCGCATAACAGCGGCAGCTGCCAGCAGCAGATACAAAACGAAGAAGCAGTAAAAACTGCAGATAAATATGTATGCATGTATGTATGTATGTATGTGTGTGTGTGTATGTCTTCATGCATTTATCTAGAGATAGATCTTGAAAAGCGCTTAACATTTAACCTGTGTTGAAAGTGTTTTTTCTGTTGTTTTTTTTTTGTACTTTGGCTGGGACAAGTTCAAGTGCCCCCGTACTAAACTTGAACAGTTCCAAATGACACTTGACTAAAATGGCCATTACAAATTAAGTTTGCATTAAAAACGTAATTAAAAGCGCTTTAGATTAGTTTTAGGTTCAATCAGTTGTGCGGAATGAAGACATTAAAAATTGCACTAAAATTTAATAATTGCACGAATAGCTCGAGCTCTGAATCAATAATATTAATTGTTATTAATTAATATCGCTATAGTTTTTATTGAGCTTTAGAGCAGTTTTATTACAATTTGTATGACATGGAATTGGAAGCCGAACTTTACGAATTAATTTCAAATACTATTAATGATTATTTAAATGTTTATTAATCACATAACAGACGCTAGAAACCCACCCAGTTTGATTATGATAAATACCAACTAAAAGCTATCATTAACTAATCAAACTGAAAAAAAGTTGTTGTTTTTTTCACGTTTTAATCAGACCCTTTTTAAAGCGAGAGCTGGAAGAAGGGAAGCAACCCTACAGTAATTACTGCAATTCATTCAAAACTCACCTCAGTTGTAACTTGAGCCAGGTGTGGGGGGTTCGGTTGTTGTATATCTTTTGTGTCTGTTTCGTTTTCAGCTCTTGTGGCTATTGTAATTGTTGGTATTGTTTCTGTTTTTGTTTGTGTTTGTATTTTCGTAGTGGGCTTCTTAAGCTTTTGGCTTGATTCGTTCGTTTTGGGTTTCGTTTTGGCTTCAGTTTGTCTCTTGCCATTTTGCAGTGTCTGCAAATCCTTCTTCAGTTGTCCTATATTACGCTCTTTGGTTTTGATTTCCTCTAGCTGCAAAACAGAGAAACAAACAAAAAAAAACACGTACAAGTCAAAGATACGTCTATATATATGTAGATATGTATATTTAACATCGAGACCCAAATTGCACAAACATGTGTATGGGTAAAAATAAAAAAAAATTATATTTATATATATATATGAGTAGTACAAAAAGTTGCCCGTCCGCTTCTACGGCGGCTTCATGTTGGGTTCCTCACGCGTCGTCAACTGTGCGTAACTTACCAAACGTGTTATTTCAATTTTGGCTGACTTTTGTATCTGAGTCAATCGGTTTTCATATGCAGTTTTCAATTGGCGCATATCAGCTGCCTTGCGTCTATCAGCCTGCCCAATGATCTGCAAGAAATCATCATCATCATCATCATCATCATCATCATCAGCAGCAGCAGCAAGTAGCTCTAACAACAACAACATTATCAAACATCAACAACAAAATTGGGGCAGCAAAGTAAGCATTTTTGACATGCTGTTACTGGTTGCACTTAGCTGCATTTCCATTAACCAAACGCGACACATAACAAAAATATAACAAAAAAAAACAACTCATAAATAAAAACAAAAACAAAAAAGCAATATTTGTCGTCCTGTCAGATAAGGTTAAGCATTAATGAAATTAGTCCTGGGGTCTATAAAAACAAAGGTCTGCTCGAGAATTTGCCATAGTAGTTCACAATGATGGCACCTGCAATCATTTGGTGCACATTGCTCCTCCAGCTGCTAGCTGGAATCCAGCTGTTAAGCGCTGAGAATCAGCTGCTTTTGCCCACGAATAGCACTCAGGAGGATTACCTCATGGTAGAGATTAGCAAGATCCTCTGTCGTGCTCGCATCACGGTACTCATCCTCTACTATGAGAATCAGGCGACACACGATCACTCCGGTGATGAAATACTGCGTCCGGTGACCAAGTGCAACATATCCTACATATCACTCAGGTGGGCCATAAATCTCTATAATAATTTACTTTACGTTAGCTTTAGCTGCATTTCTTTAGCTTAAAGTTCGACTTTTATTGTGTGCTTCAAATTGAATACATTTTTCTGTACGTGCTCCAATTTACGCAAAACTTTTCCGTTTCCGCTTTTAACAAGAAATCTTCCGTTTCCTTATTTTGGTGCTCCAATTTACGCACAATTTTTTTTAACCTTAATGGTTTCGCAAATTGGAGCACGGTTGAATATTAAACTAAGCAATATACAAGTTGAATTAATTGATTTTTCATTCATTTCATTTCATTCGTTTTATCTTTCACAAATAGCACAAAACTTTTGCATTTTCGTTTTTAATAAAAATTCTTCCGTTTCCGTTTTCTGGATGCTTTAATTTGGACACAATTTTGTTATCTTTGTTAGCTCAATAATCCAACATTAATTCCATTTTATTATATTTCTGTGTCCACAGAAAACAGTTCCTGCCCCTGCATACCGTTCAGAAAGATGGCACACTTATGTATATGGTAATGATAATCAAGGACATTTCGCAGCCGTTAAAACTATCGTTACTCAATAAGAAATCGGCCAAGAAGCACTTGTCCCATGTCATTCTGGTCGTCCGGGATGCGGAGAAGCTATCGCTGGGCTGGATGCGTGCAAGCTTTCGTCAATTCTGGACCATTTGGCTGTTGAATGTGGTCATCATCTACTGGCGCAATGATCGTTTGCATATCTATCGCTACAATCCGTTCACTAATGACTTTCTGCAGTCGGTGCCCCTCGAGCAGGGGGCGGTGGCAACGTTGCCGCAACTGTTCTCCAAACAGATACCCAACATGCATCGCAAACCGTTGAGGATGTGCATCTTCAATGACAATGTGAGGATGATTTATGGACCGCATGGCCGAATTAGGGGCACAGACGGACTACTCTCCGGGTATATAGCGCAGCGTTTAAATGCCACAAGGATTATCACACGACCCATGTCCTATTTGAACAATCTAAGCACGTACGCCTGTAACCCGGAGATATGGCATGAATTCGATGATGTGGCCATGAATATACGTTTCCTGGTGCCCAGTTTTTTCAATAATCGCATCGAGGCGACTGTCGCCAACAGTCGCGATGATCTGTGCGTGATTGTGCCCAAGGCAACGGACAAGCTGCTCTTCTGGAACATTTTTCGATCGTTTGGCGACCTGGTCTGGCTATCGATTGGATTCAGTTTGCTGCTCGCCTATATCTTTTGCCGGGCACTTTATACGCGACAGCCGAGCACTTTGGCTCTGGATCTGTACTGTTGCACATTGGCGCACCCGATGGCCCATGTGCCGCGGCGCAGATCGATGTGCTTGTTCCTGATCTTCTGGTTGTTCTTTGGTATGCTGATTAGCAGCGCTTTTCGTGGCAATCTGACCAGCATGCTGATCTATCGCAAGCCCCAGCCGGATATCAATGATCTCAGCGAGCTCGCCTCATCCACCTACAAGATCCTCATTCGACCGCGTCACATTTTCTACATCAAAGAATTCCTGGCCACGAGTCAACCGCATCTGGCGAAAATCCGGCAACTTATGCTACCTGTGTCGGAGGAGCAATTCTCGAAGGCTTTCGATAGCAATGATCGCAGATTTGCCTATCTGGAGAAATATCACGTTGCCGCATTCCAGGTGAATACACGACAGCATATGCGTCTGGGCCAACCACAATTCCATCTGATGAACAACTGTCTGGTGCCATTCCATGGCGTCTACATTGTGCCCTATGGTTCACCCTACCTGGGCTATTTCAACACCCTGATTCGTGGTGCCCATGAGTTTGGATTTCATGTCTATTGGAATAACATTATGAACGCAGAGTTTATCAAGTCCGGCACCAAGATGCCACATCATCGACAGCATAGCAGCAACAGTGATGATCCGGTCGTACTCAAACTGGAGCACTTTCCCGCCGTGTTCTTTCTATGGGCCATTGGCATAGCACTGTCTCTCATTGTGTTCTTATGGGAGTTGCTGGCACATAACTGGGCCATAAAAAAGCGCAGAAGCGAACAAAGCATGCAAACTTAAAACACATTTTATATACACACTATATATATATATATATATATATATATATATATAATGTTACACATTACACATAATGTGCTCACACACAGCTCGCTCGAGAATTAGAACGCCTCAGTTGCAGAGTTTATTCTTCTATTAAAAATGTTAAAATTATAATTTCATTTTTTATTCTAGTAATACATTTTTTTTTAATTTTAATTTAATTTTTTACTCTAGTAACATTTAAAAAATAACAATATTAATGTTGGCTAATTTTTTCAATTTATTGCTTTTCACCTACTTTTATTTAATTCCCTTTTATATGCTAGTATCATTTAAAAAGTTAACAAAATTTAAAGTTTACAAAGTTACCAAAATTTCAATTTTGAATCAATTATTTTATTTCACCATTTTTTAATTTAATTTTTATTTAGTAATATTTAAAAATTTAAAAACATTGATATTTTGTGTCACTCTGATTTTATCAATTCATAATTTATTTTAATTTAATTGCTTTTTTATGCTTTCTACATAAAAAAAATGTAACAAAATTTAATTTTTTGCTCATTTCTCCTATTTTATTAATATTCTTCAATGCCAAGCTAAATCAAACAATGTGTAATAATAATTGCAGGCCGTTCTAATTACCGAGCGATCACTGTACATGTTCTACGTACATATAACAATGTATGTATTTATGTATTTGTAATTTATGTAATTTGTAATTACCTGGGTCTTCTCCTCTTTGGTTTTGTTTGCTTCCCTTAGCACGGCGATTTCATTAGTCAGTCTTTGGATTTCATAGTTGATTAGGCCATCGACGGCCGCATGGCTGTTGACCGCCTCTGCGGCCAACTCGTTGGGTTTCTTCGTTAAGTTACATTTCTTCGTTGACTCCAGCGACTGCTGCAGTTTCTTCACATCGTTGCGCCATTTTCGGCTATCGGCATCGTTTTGCGCCCTGCAATTTCAAATTCAAATTAACGCCACAATTACCAATGTCGATGGCACAATTATCGATCAACAGTGTGTTATCGACACAGCTTACTATCTCGAGCGAAAAGCAAAATAAAACAGTAAGCGTAATTCTTGATTTAAATACTACATACCTTAAAGAGCGCACAGCACTGCGTTCGGTTATCAGGCTGGACTTTAGCTATAAATAGGAAATACAGACACATGTTATGAATGCTATTTAATTACATATAAATATACATATATATATATATAGCAACAAAAAAAAATTATATATATATATTATTACTTATATATGTTATGTGATTTGCAAATACCTCATTGACTTCTAAGCGCAGCTGCTCAGCGAGTGCGTTTAGCTTTTGTATTGTGTCCACATTCTCTTGGAGTTTGCGTTTAAAACGCTGTGGTGCCGCCGCCGAAAGCACATTAACGCCGCCAATTATAACGGGTCGTTCGACCTTGCTATTCTGTCTGACTGCTGGTGCTTTTGCTGCAGTTGAGTTGGCAGTCGCATTGACAGACAAGTTGGCAGTCTCGCCAGTGCTACTGTTATTATCCTTGGCGCGGCTTTTGATATTCAAATGTATGCCCTCGATGCGGGTGCGTTTCTCCTGGTTAACGGTATCCCCAACGGAGGTGAGCGATGCGCTCAATTTTTTCTTACGTTTCAATTTATTTTTGCTGGAGACAAGAGTCTGCCAGTCTTCGTTCACATGCACGTGGAAGCACTGTTTCTCTCTGGAGATCTGCGGTTGCTCCAATTTACGCACGGCCCCATTGTGGGGCATTAAGATCTGTGCGGTTTTCTCATTGATCCCTTTGCTAGAGGTCGTTTTTAGTTGATTTTCAGCCATTTTTTTTATATATAAAAAAAAATGTAGCCGTCGTAGTAATTTTTTTTGTTTTATGTTTGTTTAATATATATGCTGCATATACGGTGTGGTCCGACCTAACCGAAAGTCTCGATATATTTCACATTCATTGGAAGTTATAATAATCAATCACGTAGCCGCTGAGTTTTCATTCAGGCTTTATCTGTAAGAAAATATTTTTAAGTTTACTGTGTAATCAAATTGTTATAATTAAGTTTAAATTATAAATTTGAAAAGTATATATTGAAATTAGATTAGTAATTATCAAATTCATTTCTAAATAGATTATAAATGTAAGAAAATTATTTATAAGTTTACTGTGTAATCTAACAAATGTTTATGCTCAATATTAATTGAAATTATTAATTTGAAAAGTTTATATTGCATTTCGACGAAAACTAAACTTGTATTTTGAATATTTAAATAAAAAGTAAATAGTGAAATTAGTTTAATACTGAAAGTAGATGAGTAATTATCAAAATCATTTCTAAATAGATGATAAATGTAAGAAAATTGTTTTTGGGTATACTTTATGTAGTTCTACTGTTTAATCTGACAATTTGCTATAGTTAATAGTAGTTTAGATTCGAATTTAGATTGAAAAGTTTAGATAGCAGACAACTATGTAAACAGTTCTGGTTCTGAAAGTCGGACGGTGAACATTTGACAGGCTTCCTTAGCAGTCGTTCACTTCAAAAGCACTTTTGTTGCTGCTGTTTTGTTTGTGTCTCAATTCTATCAACAAGTTTAACCCCCTTGTATTGATTTATACAGCAAGTGGCAGCGTTTCTTTCAACAACAGTATGTGGCACACATGCACGAGTGCAATCCATCAGCGATAGTTAGTCTTAGTCTTACTAAGTTAGTTTAATGTCTAGTACAATGACGTCAATAACGGCGCTCCTCTTCTGCAATCGTGTATACCACTTAGGGGGTACCCCCTGTGGGCCTCTATCAACAATAACACGCATCAACATTGTAATTTATGATGGGCCATTGGGGCAAGAATTCTTTACATTGTTCATGCATCCGCTCTATACAGAATGTGAGACTATATATATATATGTATATATAGCGGATTGAGAGTGGTACAGTCGAGTTGAGGGCATCATTATTTCGAGTTCATAGAGCAAACGCGCTCGAAAATTTCCGCAAGATCATCTTTATCAAGGTCGTAGATCTCTCTCGCTCTTAGCTATATATATATATATATATATATATATATATTTATGCACTCTTGTACGCTCTGACTATATAGAGATTTGCCATTGGAATTGATTTGACTTAATAAATGCTGTTCAAGCTGATTATGAATACATTTATTAGCTGTACTTCTCCATAAGCAAGAAGAATAGGTTTATTTCTATGATTGCTGTTCTACTTTTCGTGCGACTACTGTAAAAGTAAATTTACAACGCTCATGTTGCACATTTTGGTTTTAATTTAATTAAATACAATGTGTGGCCCCAAACGCGACCAAATGAATAAAGTGTTATTTGGGCCGAGACACGACATGGTGACATCACGTGCCTTGCCTTTCCAGCTCGCCCACAACATCCAACTCCAACCACAAAAAAAAAGAAAAAAAAAAAAGAAATTAATATTGCGATGAAAATTTGCACAATTCGAAAGAGTCTTAATTTTTTGTGTGTATTTCGTGTGTCATAAACAAATATACTGAAAATGTGATTTCGAAATGAGATGAATCGTTAAACTGTACACTATCTATAGATATGGAAGTGTGCAGACGCTGATTCATTCAAGATCGCATATACGCACCATTAACATCAAAAAAACCTTGGATAAACTTGTCTATTAACTAGAACAAAACTTTGGCATGCGTCGTAATTAATTTGGGAAATTTATTGACAGCTGTCTTTTTTCCCTTTTTCTCTTTCTCTTTCTCTCTCGCTGTCTCACTCCACTAACGAGTTTTGTAATATGTAATATGTATACACAACTGTTTATTTACTTGCGGTCTTGTTTATTTTTTTGCAGTGTATTCCGCAATGACGTCAATATATACACACACACATATAATAATGTTATTTTCAGTATGTGTAATTTTCGCGGCGCGTACTAAAATTTCTGGTATGCAGAGCAACACTCGAAATTATTTTTCAATATAATTGCAAAAAGATACTTTTTTTCGTAGAACACTTTTAAGAACTTTTCACACAAGTCGTTTCGAATAACATGTAGCTTTCAATATATAATATTTCAGCTACTGCTACTACTACTACTAAGTGCTGTCGAGAAACATGCATATAGTATTTAACAATTAATATATCAATTTAAAAATTACTAATAGCAAACAAACGTTCTATTCTAGTTGCTCGAGTTTCGTTTCGCTTAGCGGCAGCGGAGATCTTTCGTTTCGGCCGGACACCGATTGACTAAACGGACGTCTCGAGCTTTTCTGTGCTTTTCACATTTCGTGCCATTTAATTAAAGAAAGCTTTGGCATTTATTGATGCATTCTATAACTGTGTCTGTGTGTGTGTGTTTATAGCGGTTCAATTGCCTCCGGCTTGCGCTGTGGTATGGTGGGAAAGTGTTGAAAGCTTTTGACCGGGAATCAGGCGCATTGTGTCGGAAGCGGCTAAATTGTTTGAACCTTAAGCATTTGTTTCGACTGCATTCGTAACCAAAACAAAACTGACTGCATTCCCCACTTCGATGCCTATAAAAAGAATCAAATTATGAGCGGGCTGCAAACAGCTGGAGCTTTACAAATGACATACAAATTTCTGACAATGACTTAACGACATGCTGAATGATGGACACAATTAGGCCGTCTCAATTTTACGCACACAAACATTTTGGGGGTGCCTCGGAAATTGAAACTTATTCAAAAATATAGTTTGTCGTTTGCAATAAATCAAAAAAAATGTGTTCTTTTTATTATGTTTGTGTAAAGAATTTAAGAAAAAATACTCAAATTGGTCTTGTAAATATAGAAAAATATGACTTAAATAAGTTTTATTGATTGCTGAGTGGAAAGTTTTACGCGCATAAATATTTTGGGGATGCCTCGGAAATTGGTAGTTATTCAAAATTAGAGTTTGTCGTTTGCAATAAATCAAAAAATTATGTTTTATTATGTATGTGTAAAGAATTGAGAAAAAATATTCAATTTGGTCTAGTAAATATAGAAAAATGTGACTAACATAACTAACATAAATTAAATTGATTGATAAGTGAAAAGTATAGATCTAGAATACAATTAGTAATATATAATATAATAATAATTTGCACTTACCCCTTTATATGCATTACATTTCGTCAATTCAAGAATATCTTCACAGATTCCGTTTCGTAATCAATTCACTTTAATTTGATAAGAACTCACTTGACATAATTGTCTGGCGAATTTTGTTTTCTCGTTAAGCAACTAAAATTCCAATTCCATTTTACCGAATTAGATTTAGATGAAACTATTTGAACATAGTTGATAATATAAAAATTGGCCTTTAAATAGCTCCTCTCTGCTCGAAACGAACAACTCACTCAAGTTGAGCGGTCGGAATAAACTGAAAGCATGCAACACATTCTAGAATGGAATATCTGTGTCCAACGACGAGTGGAAGATCGCCAAATATATATAAATAGCTAACAAAAATATGCAGCTATATTTGAAGTTTGTATACAAAAGGGGACAATTACAATTACCTTATTTACTAAAAAAGGTGCTAGGAATTTAACTTATAGAAAGAATTCAAGTGTCTGAAATTACTTAGTTATATTTAACTTAACATTAAGAAGACAATACATTAATTTTGAGTGTGCTCCTTGCTAGCTTCAAATTGGCGCGCAAAACACGCAATAAATATGTCACAGCTTCAATTATCGAATTTGTTCTTAAATTATCGAATGATCGATGTTTTGAAACTTACATGCGATGTCGTTTAAAAAAGATCTGCTAATTGCAACACTGCGATTTAATCGATAACGTCATCGATAGCCTGCTGCTCTGCCGCTTACTCATTGCGGAAAACGTGAAAGAAAATCATATTGCCGCCTGTCTGCTACCAAAATTGATTGTTTTAGCTAATATTCACGCAAAACGGCAAATACCATCAATTAAATATGGTTAGTAAAGGTGTAAATTAATACAAAACCAGCACAAGCCAAACAAAAACGAATTAATTGCAAAAATCGTATTTCAAGTAAATTGAAAACATGTGCGCCTCGTGATTATAATTAAAGTTTTATAGTTTTACAATTAAAGGCAATAAAATGAATAGTTTATTCAACAAGATCTGGTTTGCTTGCAGTGGAATGCAACTGTGCATCATGCGCCGCAATCGAAACATAACCTTCAAAGAAGCTTCTCGCAAAACTGACATCTGTCAAAGAAGCCGCTGACTAATTTTATACTTTTTTCACTTGTGTTTTTGTAGCAGCCACAAATTGTGCTCCTGAAGGAAGGCACCGACACGTCGCAGGGCAAGCCGCAGCTGGTATCGAATATCAATGCCTGCCAATCGATTGTCGACGCTGTCCGCACCACACTGGGTCCGCGCGGCATGGACAAACTGATTGTGGATGCACAGGGCAAAGCGACCATATCGAATGACGGTGCCACCATTATGAAACTGCTCGAGATCATTCATCCCGCGGCCAAAACTCTCGTGGACATTGCCAAGTCACAGGATGCCGAGGTAAGAATTGGCTTTAAAACATGTTTTGGTCACGTGACTTTTACACTCATCTGATCCACAGGTGGGTGATGGCACCACATCGGTTGTGCTGCTCGCGGGCGAGTTTCTCAAGCAGGTCAAACCGTTTGTGGAGGAGGGAGTGCATCCCCGTATTATCATCAAGGCCATACGCAAGGCACTGCAGCTCTCCATGGATAAGATCAATTCGATGGCGGTGCGCATTGAGAAACAGTCGAAGGCGGAGCAGCGAACACTGCTCGAGAAGTGTGCAGCGACAGCGATGTCTTCAAAGCTGATACATCAGCAAAAGGATTTCTTCTCCAAAATCGTTGTGGAAGCTGTGCTCTCGCTGGATGAGCTGTTGCCGCTGAACATGATTGGCATTAAGAAGGTAGCCGGCGGTTCACTGGAGGAATCCCAACTAATCTCGGGCGTTGCGTTCAAGAAGACCTTCTCCTATGCCGGCTTCGAGATGGCACCCAAATCCTATGACAATTGCAAAATTGCCCTATTAAATATCGAACTGGAACTGAAGGCCGAACGCGACAATGCCGAGATTCGGGTGGACAATGTGAAGGAGTATCAGAAAATTGTCGATGCCGAATGGCAAATATTGTACAACAAATTGGCCAAAGTGCATGAGTCCGGCGCCAATGTGGTGCTCTCCAAGCTGCCCATTGGCGATGTGGCCACACAGTATTTCGCCGATCGTGACATTTTCTGCGCCGGCCGCGTTCCCGACGAGGATCTCAAGCGCACAATGAAGGCATGCGGCGGCGCTGTTATGACCACAGCGAATGACATCAAAGCCAACGTTCTGGGCCACTGCAAGCATTTCGAGGAGCGTCAAGTCGGCGGTGATCGTTTCAACCTATTCCAAGGTGCGACTGTTTAATTATTAGCTATGTTTTTTAACTATATATTAACCGGATCTCTTACAGGCTGTCCGAATGCCAAGACGAGCACACTGATTCTGCGCGGAGGCGCCGAACAGTTCCTGGAGGAGACGGAACGTTCGCTCCACGATGCCATCATGATTGTGCGTCGCACAATTAAGCATGACTCAGTTGTGGCCGGTGGCGGTGCCATCGAAATGGAACTGTCCAAGCTGTTGCGCGACTATTCGCGCACCATTGCCGGCAAGGAGCAGCTGCTGATTGCGGCAATTGCCAAGGGACTGGAGATTATACCGCGTCAGCTGTGCGACAATGCCGGCTTCGATGCCACCAACATTCTCAACAAGCTGCGCCAGAAGCATGCCCAAGGTGAGCAAAAGACAACTACACATTTATATATAAATTTATATAATCCCAATCAGCCATATCCTTTGACTAGACACTATCTGCATATAGTTTAGCGATTTGATTATGTATATACAGCTGAGAAAAGATTGAAAAGAATATATTTATATATTATATTGAAAAAATATATATTAAAAGAAATATATAGTTAAAAAATGATTAAAATTGTATTTAAGCACAAGCCATCAATACTCAAGATAAGTAAACATTAAATAATTGAATAGCTACCAAATTTTTAATAACTAATTTTCAAATCTTAAATAATAGTTGTTTTGCTGTCTCATAAAATGAAAATTCTCAATATTTTCATAGTCCCTTTCAAAACTCCTTTAATTCCGTGGATCATTTTACTCTTTGACATATCCAAATATTTCTTTTACCTATACTTTTGATTATCTTCTGTTTTGGTCTGTTTTAAAATATCCTAATTATTTAGCACTGGACAAGTTTATTGACCAAAATACTACAATTGTAACTTAATAGCTTATTTGAAAACATTCCATAAAAATGTGGCTCTTTTTATGGTGATAAAATTGCACTGTTGAAAATCGTGATCTCTTCAAAATCTTCAATGTAATACTGCAATTTGTTTGTTTCTCATCGGGGAATGATTTCAAATAATATTTAAATAAGATATTTGTATCCATATTTACTTGTCTTCAGTATTGATTGCATGTGCTTTAAACTATATTTAAACGTTTTCCAAAACATATTATTTTGACCGCAGCTGTTTATAAATAATCCCAATCAGTTTTAGTACTAGCAAATATTCTTTTGCTTTATATGCATATAGATTTCAAATTTGATTTGAAATATTTAGAGAATTGTTTTCAAATTTAGATTCCATATTTGATTTGGTTTTCAGATTTCACATTTATGAATGTATAGATTGCAGATTTAATGATGACTCTAAGTAGGCATAAGCCCTGATTTATTAAGATTCTTCATATTTGGTTTTTCTATTTACTTTTTGAGTTGTAGTTAAAAACTTTTAAAATCCATTTTACCCAAAATTTCCCCAATTGAACTTTGTGAAATGATTTGAAAATCTTTAAACTCAGTTTTTTCGATTTTAGATAGGCGATTCTTTTCAAAATAGCCTTGATATATCCCGACTATATATAGATATAGATAACAAAAGATATTTGGAGCGTTAACTTTTTAATCTTAATTTATTTAGTTTTCGTCGTTTTTCAATTGATTTACATTAAATGCTTATTCAAAATTTCACTGTTTGAGCTGCTGCTGTTCGTGCCACAGTCGAAAGCAGGGCGACACACAGAGGCCAGGTGTGTCGGGGCACAGGTTGCACATGTATTTGGTGAACTGCAACATGCCGCCCTTGTGGCAATGACGGCAATTCTTGCGTAACGCTTTGCCATTCCTCTGGATGAGCACCAGCGCATGCGTGGACTCCGCAGCAGAAAGCCCCAATCGATTAACGGTTGCTGCAGCTGCTCGCTTCGATTGTGCCTCCTGTCGCCGGTTGCCACTGGTTGGCGATGCTGCAGCAGCATTGACACTTGAGTCGGGCACATTTGTTGCCCCAGCTGCTGCTGGTGCATCCTCTTTGAGCAGCGACTTGATGATGGCCATGCGAAACTCGGCGTATGTTTTCAGTTTGTGGGGATCGCTGCCACAGCTGGCGTTGCCACTGCTGTTGCGTCCCGGCTGCGCATTTGCCACATACAACACATGGGCATTGAACACGAACAGATTCAGCAAATAGATGCACAACTGTTGCTGCCGCTCCAATCCAGCGCAACTCGGCTGATAGCTAATCAATAGCTGACGCATCGATTGCGCCGGCTTGAGCTGAAAGTCCAGCTCCTGGATGAGTTTGGGGCGTGCATTAATCTTCTGCATGGACATCTCCTTGGCGTAGATGGCCAGGCAGTCAGAGCTGTAGAAATAGACGCACTTCTCGCGTCGTCGCCACTTGGCCATCATCAGAGGCGTCGCCGCATATCGGGTGGCAATGCTATTGGCCGTCAGCTGTTGGTAGACCAACGCCTTGCTGTTCCCATACCGATTCCTGTCCAGCAGTCCGCTACAATACGTGCCCAGTCGGGCCAGCTCATGGGCCAGCCCGTAGCTGCCATAATATTTGCACACATAGACACTGTGGCCATGCAACAGATGCGTTTGGAGCAACTGCAGCGCCAGCTCATTCCGATGCGCCACCAACTGACGCGAGTTCCTCGCCAGCTGGCGATGACGCTGCAACTCCGGCAGGATGCGCAGAATTAAACCACTGTGCTCGCTCAACAGATGCAACATCAAAGCATTGCAACGCTGCTTCGGTGGCAACTCCTGTTGGTAGCTAAACTGCTGTTTCCAGTGGATGATCGGCTCGTTCAGCACCAGCTGCTGCCCGCACACATACAGCTCGGACATGCGTGCATTGTAGTAGCCAATCAGCTTGCCAGCCTGTCCCACATCCATGTCCGCATTGCCGCCAGGCAGCTCCTCAAAGCTCAACGATTGCAGCAACTGTTGGAATCGCAGCAGCGACATTTTCGCCGCAAATCCCATAAAACCGGGATACATATTTCGTGTCCAATAGTCGCTCAATTGCGCCAATTTCACATCGCTCAACAGCAAACAGAGTCCCACAAATGTTTCCATCTCATCGGCGCTGGCCGGCTCCTCCACGCGGCAGCTCTTGGCGAGCTGGGCAAAGAACTCGGCTCGATTGCCCAGCAGCTGATTGAAATAGTAACGTGGACAGGCGAGTTTTCTAATTGATCTCAAGCCCGTTTGACCCGCCGGCGTATTGAATTTGAATATCAAACGTGGCGTTGTCGGCTGTGACGTCCACTCCGGATCATAGTCATCAGCCTCATCTGAAACAAAAAAGAGAGCGAAAAATTGGCAATCGAGAATATTTTTGATTTTTGAATATTTATTTTTTGATTACCATCGCAAAAGACATCGTTTGCCGCACCAAAGTTAATCTCTGAGTAGCCATCCTCATCCGAATCGCTTTGCTGTTCCAGCTCTGGTTTTGTATCCTCCACTAAAGTTTTTGTTGTGTTTGTTGTTGTTGTTGCTGTTGTTGCTGCTGCTGCTTCTTCTTTTTCTGTGTTCACAGCGAGTTGTAGTTGTAGTTGCAGCTCGGTCAAATCGGGTTTAATGTCCACACAATCGTAGTCGGCCAGCGGATAGCTGCTGGCCAGCAACGGTTCCGTTTTCACATCCAAACTTTGTCGTTTCACCGGCGAGCGATGTACATCTTGGCGCGGCTTTAACTGCTGCTTGCGCTTGCGGCCCGTTGTCGACATTTCTCCTCAATATATATTTATATAAATATATATATTAGGTGGTTAATTTTCTTTCGTTAGTTAAAAGTTTGCTGCTGCGGCTGCTGCTGCTGCTGCTTTGTGTTGCTGTCTCAACTGCAAAGTTGTTCTTTCGTCTAGCGCGTGTTTGTGTTGGCAGCTCTTTCGTTCGACGTTTTTTGAGCGAGCTGTGTTCTCTTTCGCACCCATTGTGCTGGCATATTTGCAGCTTTGTCTTGCGCGCGGGCATTTTTTGCAGCGGTGCTGCCAACGTGTGGCAAATAGATTTTTCATGTTAGCGATGTGCGTGACAAGCACGAAATTAGTTGCCGATATATTTCATTTATTAATGTTTTTTAATAATTAACCTAGCTATATTTATTAATATTTTTTATCATTTTTATTTTGCACAGGTGGCCAATGGTTTGGCGTTGACATCACCAAGGAGGACATTTCCGATAACTTTGAGCAGTGTGTGTGGGAGCCATCGATTATTAAGATAAATGCGCTCACCGCTGCCTCGGAGGCCGCTTGCATGATCCTCTCCGTTGATGAGACAATAAAGAGCCCCAAGGCCGGTGAACCGCCCATGGCTGGTGGCGGCATGGGCATGGGTCGTGGTATGGGCAGGCCCATGTAAAAAAGAAAATAAAACAAAATAAAATATACTTAAAAACAAAGCAAAACAGCTATAAAACTACAACACTAAACATCAACATAAAACACACACACACTCAACAAACATTCACTTGCATTTCTCTCTCGTATCTTAACACACCTTCTCACATGTATTACTTTACCGGTCATAAATTGCAGGCTTTTTCGTTGCACCATTTGAACAATTTATATAATTACTGACCGCTCTGCCTACGTCTAATAAACGAAAATTAAATATTTTCTATAACAACAAACGAGCGTCGTTTTTCTATTATCCATATGGCAACTCTAGTGGCGCTCAAATCGAGCGCGCATTTTTTTGTCATGTGAAACCAAAACTTTTTAAAATGCGTTGTCATCGACCTCAAATATTGGTAGGAAATCACCAGCTTATCAAAATAAGCTTTCAATGATAAGCAAACCTGAAAGAAACCAATTAGGTTCGTAAGCAATTTGGAAGCCTTCATTTTTATTTATTTTGAAGTTCGCATTTTGCTATAACCCACACACAAAAACTGTAACTGACCTATGCCCATAATTCAACTAAGTAAAATATAAGAAAAACATGCATATATACGGACACGGACACAAGTAACTTTATTTCAACGATCTGGCAGCCCGACAACCAGTGAGAACTGTGCGCTTTGCTAGCGTTTTTCATATGTCGCTCGCGTCAGTTGTTAGCTGTTTTTGTAGCCAGCACGTTGTTTGCGCGCGCGTTTTCTTGCACACACAACAAGCAAGCAAATAAACAAAAAGGAAATAAGTGTAGCAAAAACCATATTTGAGGATGGGCAACCACAAAGTGTTGAAAACCGCTGGCATGAACCTCAGATATTCGATGTACGACTTCATTGATGCGGTCAAAAAGCATCACATCGTCTGGGATCGAGAGCACAAAAACTTCCACAATCGCGAATTGCGCGATCAGGCCTGGCAGCAGATTGGCCAACAGCTGTGCAAGAATTTCGAAGCATCCAGCGACGTGGAAAAGCAGGAAATCAGTAAGTAATTCTTAGTAAATGCGCAGTGCTGCAAAGCGAACTAATTTCATTTGTTTACAATTTGTAACAGCGAAAACGCTGCTAAAACGCTGGAAAAACACACGCGACAGCTACTTGCGCGTTAATCGCCTGCGCAAAGGTAGCAAGGAAATCTGTCGCGCCTCCTACATCTACGAGAAGGAACTGTGCTTCCTGCTGGACGTCAAGACAGAGGACGAGGAGACGCCACTGAAGGAGCAGTCGGAGGAGGAGCAACCAAAAGCGAAACGCAACGCAAAACTTAGCATAGGAAGAACGCCGGCCAAGCGAAATCGTTCAGAATCGGAGAATCCCATTGATGAGGCGGAGACTGTGCAACACAAATTGGTCGAGGATGAACTGGAGTCGGTGCTGGACACATTCAGTTATCCAACAAACCCAAACACAATCTCTACTCTGCCCGGCAATGCTACGGCTAACGAGAGAGCAACTTCCTCCTCATTCATAATGGATACTTCAAATAGTACAACACATTCTGCAGCTGCAGCTGCTTCACCTGATCCCGATCCCGATCAGGCATTCTTTGATAGCATTAAGCCGCACATGCAACGCATGAGCAGCGATCAAAAACTGGACTTTCAAATCGAAGTCTTGAAAATACTTCGCAATTTAAACCAATTTGATGCTCCCGCCTCAATTTCAGCTGGTATCCAAAAACAACTTTAAATACAACTAAAACAAATCTGACTGAATTTGATAGCATAAAATTAAAACAAACATAATAAATTTCCGGCGCGTAATAAATCAATCGCATGTAAAAAAAAAAAAATAACAGTGAAAGCAACAGCTGTTTGCCGTAACAGCGATAACTTTTAACGATTAATTTTGTTATGTTTTGAAAGCGATCTGTTCTGCTGCACTGTAGCATTTAATGAAGTCTATATAAATATATTATATTTACAATAAAGAAAAGCTACACAATATTAAAAATGCCTCCCTTATTTTGTTGCAACTGCAGTTTCCAACTGTTGCCGGCTGGTCAATGTATCGATTGTCGATCAACTATCGGCTGACTTAAGGATGAGTATGCTGCAAATCAATTAAGTAGCAAGAAATATGTACTTTTGTAGTGTCTTCGACTACTTTGTAGAATTTGAATTTTATTGATGTGAGAACGAATAGGAATTTTTAATATTAGGTTTAAGCTTGCATATTAGCTTAATTTTGCATTACGCTCTTGCCAATTGCCAATACATTCTCCATCAATTTAATCAGTTTTCTGTCCGTAACAATTTCAAATATGAGATGCAGCTTCTTTTGTGACAATTGTTAACATACATATGTAAATCGAGTGAGGTCTCAAACGATATTTTTGCAGTTCACACTCAAATTTCCTACAACGCCATTTAACCGAATTATATATAAGCTTATAATGCACGCTCAGCTCGAACACTCGTGCTTGATTTTTTTCCAATCAAAAACAAGCAAACACCAGAGTTTAAATGAAATCAATACATTTTGCATGGTAGTTGCGATCCAAAGCGGTTCGACCAGTTTCTAGAGCATAAAAAAGCATAAACCTGTATTTACCCACATTGCCAATCGAGTTGTATGCAGTAGATAGACGTACTTATACATACATACATATATAAATGTAATGTAAAACCGATTTCACCAGTGCTCTGCAGGATGGGTATATAGCATACACACACACACAAGCACACGCTCATGGTATTAGGCACTGCTTCTTATTGAGAAATGCACAAAATAAATGATTGAGACTACATTTTTATGATAAGAGTCTCACTTATGCATGGAGACACATACATTCATACATACACATGTAATACCGACCCGCATAGCACAATACATACATACAAATGTTTCTATTTTTCGGCAGTGATGCCATTACTACAAAAACTAGCTTCTTTTTTAAGTACATATATTAGCGGCAAATATAATATTAAATATTGATCATTTCTTAAGCTAAACCAACAAACTCAATAAAAAAAAAAACAGACTTAAGGCTCTGCTGAGGTATATACAAATATATAACTTTAAAAAGATACCATAGATAAATTTAAAAAAACAATGCATTTGGACTTAGACTGAAAATATTATAATAAAGAAAAACTGTTAAAAATAAATACTATACACTTTTCAGCTGTAGTTCAGTTGGTCCTAAAACTAGCCATTTTTAAATGGCAACACTGGTACTGATAATCGCATAAGTGTTTGTAAGTATTTTGAGCGTTTTCGTGGTGGTTTCAAGTTTCAGGAATTTAAGGACGGGCTGCCTAGGGGCAGGATACCCTCGGTTGCACCGTCTGTGTTCTCGCCGATCGTCATCACTGTTGTTGTTGTGCAGCACATTAGCAACGGATCTGGCAGCTGCTGTTGTTTTGCGGGGCACTCTTTATGCGCTCATTCGTTGCCTTTGTCTGCGTCTACCTGGAATCCTTCTGCTCTCACACATAACGTATATGTGTCTCTGTGTGCGTGTGTGTGAGTTTATTCCCAGCGTGTGTAACGTATTTTCCAAGGGTAGATTTGGGCCACTAGAATACATGCATGCATATGTGTATGTATGTGTCTGTATGTGTATGTATTTTATGTATTGTCTTTTGTACCTGTAGCAATGGCAGGCAATGCAGTGGAATCAAATGGAATACATATAAAACACCAAACAACAGCATGGAAAACGACAGGAAGTCCATTTTTGGAATGCCACCTTTTTGCTTATTGTTGTTTTTTCGGCTTTTGTTGGCAACGCAACGAATTCTAATACAAATCTAGACAACTGTTAAACTAAATCTCAGCTTTGAGTTTTTCAATGGAGGCGTAGAATTTGAGGCACTCAATTAGCTCTGCTCGATAATAACGACCTGTGTGTTCTTAAATCTACTCCAAGCCGCATCCGCTCGCTGCAAATAATCGGCAACTGTTTGCTGCTTTTCCAGCAATTTGTATTTCTCCATGGCCAGCTTGAGCAGCACAAATTCGAGGGTGCGCACACCACCCAATCTCAGGTTGTCGATCAACAGCGGATACTTGCGCAACTGATCCACATGCTGGGCAAAATGGCCATTCTCCAGAGTTGCATCCACATCGTTCACATAGCGCAGCGTTTGCTTGAGAACTGCGGCCAACTGGTTGCTTCTGCCCACCAGCGGTGATAGCTCCACATTTAACTGTTTCACGGCACGCGTTGTCTCCTCGAGCAGCTGCACTGCATCCATATTATACTGATCCTCCTCGATCCACGCACTGGGCGCAGTTGTACTTGAACCAGGCTCATTGTCCTGCAGCGACACCTGATTATTTTCCACGATGATTGTTTTATTTATTGGATCGCTGGAATTTGGGGGCTCCTTCACATGAAAATCCAAGGAAAAGTGAAACACAACATTTGCCTAGAAATCAATGGGAAAATTCAGTTTATTAAGTCCAATTTTAAGAGTATGATTTCTTAAGAATTGTTAAACTTACCCCGCACAGATCGAAAGCAAGGAGACTCAGAGTAAGCCAAGTGGCAACTTTGATTAATGGCCAGCACATCTTGCAACGCAGCTTGCAACAGTTCAACTAAACTCAAGCTTGTAGATCACACCATTTAATCATAGGCCGCTTATCACTTCCAACACTGAGTTCAGAGTTTTACTGATAACACATTTTGCCACTCATAGGCGACATCAATCAGGGGTCAATCATCTCTCTCTGTTTGTGTGTGTGTAAGGCCTCTGCCAGACTATTGACAAGTCACGTGGTTTCCATTCAATACGAATTTCGAAATACTATGCAATCTACAAGGTGAGAGAGAGGAGAGCCAATTTAAGCCATTTAACCGTGAATGGAGCTCGTGAAAATGCATGCTTAAACAATAATTAAATAATTATTGCTATTAGTCAAATCAATAATAATGATCATAATTATTTACATTGAATTTAATTGTTTCGTTTTATGAAATTTAAAAAAAATAATCTTCGAGAATAATAATTGTAGTTTCATTATGAAATTAAATAAAAATTAACTTAAATAGCAGTTTAATAAATTTAATATTTTTTGCTTACTATTAAATTTTGATTTTGGTAGGTAGACTTCGGGAATAATAAAGCCACAGTTCCATATAATATTATAAACACTTTTATAAATGATGAAATAAGAAAAGGACTCAAATAGCTGCTTCGAGAATAATAAAGCCACAATTTAATTTAATATTATAATACATATAAAACAAAAAAAAGAATAATAAAAACAAACGAAAATATCAGTTTAATATATTTATGGAATATTTTTTTCTTCATATGATTACAACAAAAAAGAAAAAATATGTACAGGCTATATTTAAATGTCCCGCAATGTACTCTGTATGTATGTTCATACATACATACATACATGTGTATGCATGTATGTTTTATATTGTATACTTGTATATTTATAAGTTTGAATACAGGTACACAATATTGTGGCTGAAGCTTTTGATTTGCATTTTAAAATAAAACAAATGGACAACCATGAAAAAACGTAAGAGCATTCAATAACTGTTGAGTTTACATACATATATACACGTACGTACAATTAGGTTAAGTCTGCATGACTTGAGCAATTTTATGCCGTTAGAGTTCGAATGGTCAACTTACTGATACACTTGTAAATATCTATATACATATTTGCTTATATATACATACATTCATACATACACACATATGTACATAAAATAAACAGTGTACACCCTAGAGATAATTTGTATGTACATACATACATACATACATGTATGTAATTATGTTTCATGTGCTTAAATACGATTTATAAATATTTATTATTACTTTACTGCGGCTTGCCATAAGTCACGTAGGCCACTAGATGGCTTTGTGCTTAATTTATTTACATACTCATATACAATTTTAATAAAGTCACACTAAGCTATACAATAGAAATATATCTACATACATGTATGTATATGTATCTGTACGTGAGATTATTTACTTAGATAGGTAAATGTATATGCACCAAATGAAAAAATGTTAAAATTGCTAAGTTTCCAAGTTTTTTCTCAGTGTGTTTGCATCTGCTTGTATTTATTAGATGCGTTTCGATTAGCCTGCCATTTTGAGTAAGTACATGTGCTGATTGCAACACAAACGTTAAAGTGTGCAATAAAAAAGTATATAACTGTATATATATATACATGTATGTATATACATATGTATGTAAACACATGTTTATAAGTGATAACTTGTGAACGTTATCGAACACTGCTTTCTATGTGTGCATTTACACTACACATGCATACATGCTTACACACAATTACGAATGTATGCATTTGCATCAAACCTCAAGCAAACAGCAGCGACGCCGACTGCGAAGCGGCAGCGCAGCAGCAGCAATTTCAAACGAAAATGAAAAATAAAAAACAACATAAAAATAAGTCCAAACAAAACAGAATAACAGCAACGGCAAATCAATAGTAGAAATTGCGCAGCAAAATAAATTATTCCATAGCTTGGAAAAAAAGAGCCGTTGGCATACACACGTACATACATACATATATACGCATAAACAAAAATATATACAGACATGGATTTGTATTCAAACTTATTTTTATATTTTTCAGCATTTACGTATTGCGTACGTATTTATGTAAATACATACATACATATTTATGTATATACATATGTACATATCCAATATAAATATGTACATATGTATGTATGTATCCAAAACTCGCTGAGCGTCGTCAGGTCGTCGTCAGAGACCAACGCTTGTAAAAACGAGCCAAGTGCGTGCATGTGTATGTGTGTGCGCGTGTGGGGGTATATTAATATACATACATACATACATACATACATACATACATACATACATGTACATAAATACGGACTTACAAAAATATGGCTATACACGCATACATACATACATAGTCTGTGTGATTGTAAGTATGCGTATGCTTTTGGACACACACACACATATAAATATGAACATATCTTACATACTAAAAATGCCTAGAAAAATCTACAGACCACCACACGCACACATGTATACATATATATATATATATATATATATATATATATATATATATATATATATATATATATATATATATATATATATATATATATGTATACTATATACGACTTGTTTTCAAATGTAGTTTTTCTCTAGGCTTTTTTGCTTTATTTGTTGAGCAGCAGCAGCAACAATAACAACAACAAAAACAACGTGAACTCGGATTCGCTATCGCGGCGAACGTAGGCAGTAGCCGGCCAATGGGGCGGGGGGCGTATTAGATGGATGGAAAGAGCGAGTGAGTGAGCGAGAGGGAGAGATACGCAAGTCAACGCCGGGCTGTCTATGGCAAGCATATATGAATGTACACACTTACATACTTACATTTGTTTGCGCGTAACTACATACAGACATACATTGTCGTCGTCGTCCCCAACCCCCTGCGCCAAATGTGTTTTTCTGCACGGCTGCTTTGCTTGTTGATTGCAATTATCGCAAGCACAGCGCCATAAAAGAAAAGAAGAGAAGCACAAAAACAAAGTATAAATAAAAACTGTTTACGCGTTTGTGCTTTGAAATAGCCCACAAACATATACTTTGTATGTACATAAATACATACACAATACAATTTATGTATGTACGTTTATGTACATGCGTAATTATATACACAATTACGTATGTATGTACATACATGTACATGTACATGTATGTGTACTTGTGTATGCGCCATAAATACATACATACATTAATATGTATCTGAATATCATAATTGTATATACATATATATACATATGTATGTATATATCAGCAGCTTTAGCTATAGAAAATGCATGTTGTGCATAAATTAATTGATATATTTATCTACATACATATGTGCATGTATGTATGTATCTGAATGTGATAGCTTGCTTATTTCAGCAAAACGCCAAAAAAATATACATATACATACTTACAACAATATATATTTATGCATACAAACATACTTACAAATCGATTTTAGGCACATACATATATATCTGTATGTATGTATGCATGTGTGTATTTCCACAGGGCATGAAATTCGTTTGTTTTATCAGGTTGGAATAAACACTTTACACTTATTACACTTATACATACATGTGTACATATGTATACAAACGACTGTATGTAGTTATGTTTGTGTGTATGCGTAAATCCAGTTTTTATTTAGCGCCAACGTTTAATAAACAACTTTAAAGCGTTGATTTCTTCTTCTTTGTGGTAGATTGTGCTGTATATTTTGTTTTCCAGCTTTGCGACAGAGTAGAGGCGACGAGGCGAAGGTGATCACGGCACGTTTACAGTTTTTTTCTTCTTATTTTTTTTTTTAATTTGGCCTGTGTTTGGTCTTTGTCAGAAGAGACGACGAACACGAAAAACGATCCAAAGACACACATACACATACATTTGTAGATACGTACGTATGCATGTAATGTATATGTATGTATATTTATAACTATGCCAGCTAATACTAGTTTTAAAGAAACCGTGTGAAATTAGTCATGAGTCATAGACTTAAATAGTGGAGCGTAGTAGACCAGTTTTATTTGCTATGCATTTATTGTGTATACCTTTTGATTTGACACTGGGGAATATTTTACCCACTTACCTGCTGAGTCAATATTCACAACGTTTGCATAACCTCCGCCGCTGTTTATCGTTGCCGTTTTTGTCGTTGTTCCTCCTCCACACCGCATCCGCATACGACGTTAAAAGTTGTTTCGGGGGTTCATTGAAAATTTCTCAATCTCTTTGTTTAATAAATTTGGAGGGGGGTGGGAGGGGCAGTAAGGTTGTTGTTGGGGAAGCGGATGTGTGATTTGATTGGCTTTAAGGAATTGAATTGAATTATAATTTAAATCATAGTCTTAAAATACAAATCGCTCTATGAATAAGTAATCACAAATAATCTTATCATGCCGGTTATGCTCAAGAATTTTCAACATGTATTTTGCTTCAATGCCTACACTATGAATTTATTGGCAATTTGCCAGTCTTGCAAAAAGTAAAAGAAACTTTGAAATATTTCTAAAAACATTCGTTTCTTTCGAACATTTTTTGTGTACTCATTTATTTGTTTCTTAAGTATTTTGGAAAAGCCTATTATGGAAATGATTGCACTTAACTTTGAAATGTTTTCATTTGTATTACAAACTTTTCTTTGGTATAGAATAATAGGATTGAAATATATTATAATTATGCAGAAACTAGTTTCATCTCTGAAACCGAAAAGATAACTCCATATCCATTGCGTTGATCGAACATCTGTCATCTCTGCAAGGGTATTTCTAGTTTCATAAAACTTGTCTTAAATCGCTGCATCGTAAATACATCCATGTGCTACACTAATCAAAATTGTGTTGCAAATCAGTTGTGGAACACATGTGTGTGAAACCATTGTGGTAGATACATATATTCATATAAAAATATGTGGAAATCAGCCGATGAGCTGTGTACGGGTAGAGGGACTGGGGGCAGTTTGGGTGCTAAGAATGTTGGAATAAAGCAAATAATAACACAAAGATCAGGTTGTTTTTTTTTGGTTAATTATACAAAGCTTCGATAAATTTCTTTACGAAAGCCGTGTACAATTGTTTATTTTTTTCTATTGTTTTGTTGGTTGGGTTGTTCACTTTTTTTTTTTTTTAGTTTTTCGTATTTTCTTTTCGCTCTTTTCTCAAATTTTACAAGTTGACTTGATTTAAACACAATTCCAATATTGCTTTTACAAAATTTTCTCCTTAAAGTTTCGTGAGAAACATTTATCATTCAGTTGTACAATTATTATTGTGTGTGTGTTTGTGTGTGTGTGGTCCATTCATGTATGGTAATTAGGATGGTTTTGGGTTTTTGTTGTTGTTGTATTATCTGTTTTTTAATTAATTTGTAAATATATAAACCGGATTTAAAATTATATAGCAAAGTATCACAAAAAATTGCAAATTAAATTGTAAATTAGATCAATGGAGAAATTAAAAAATTATATATGTATATATATATATAATATACACATATATATACTATATATATATAAATATATAAGTATATAGTAAGACCGACGAAAATTCTCTGCTTAAAATTGGTAAAAATTAATATTCGAACTCCAATACAATAATTATGCTTCTTGTTTTTATACAATTCAAAACGTCATTGGTTTAAAAAAGAAAAAAATCAAATGAATTCTTTAAACGCTCTTTTCTTTAATTTAATCTAAATTGTTTTTTTATTCATTTTTTTTTATTTAACTTCGAGTCTTTGCTACGTGCGATTTTGCTTTGGGGTCCAGCTCTTGATGGCCCCGAACTTTAAAATGGAAATTAATTTGTACTGATTGGTGTATTTTTATTTTAAAAAGTTATCAAAGTCGCAAACATGGCCAACGACTCGAAGGTAAGTAAAAAAAAGAAGAAAAATGTATATAGAAGGAAAAACACCATTTAGCGTCATTTTGGTTCGGGTCTAGTTTCTCTATTATGTTATTAATTGTTGTATTTTTATTTGTATATGGTTGATTTTCTTTCATTATAAAGTTTTTGCTTTTGGTTTCTTTGTTTTTTCTTTTTTCTTTTTCTTTTTCAGATATATCAAATGTACGTTTTGCTTAAATTGACGTCCAGTAACAAATGTATTTTTGTTTATTTTTCTATAGCTTACACACTTAAAAAAATGCAAAATTCTGCGCGACAAGTTCTTTGAGTTATTCTTTCTCTCTTCATCTCTCTTCTTTCTACCTTCCTCATCCTACATTCTCTTCTCTTCTCTATGTATGTACGTACGTATATATGTTTGTTTCTTTGTGTGTGTGTGTTGTGTAGGGATTTACTTTTAGTTTGTTGGCAACTGTCGAGCACTGCTCAAACGTTTTGCTTCATAAAATACTCTTAGTAGTAGTATATAGTGTACATATGTATGTGTGTATGTATGGTACATGTTTGTATGTATGTGTTTTTCTTTTTGGGTTTGTGTATTATGTATATTAACTTGAAGGAAACAAGCTTTAAAGCTACCAATATATGACAACTTGCTCTCAAGTAAATCTAAACAGTAGTGCATGACTTTTTTGGCTTTTCTTTTCAACATTAAAAACTAACATCATCATCATCATCATCATTATGATCATCGTCATCTCATCTCTTTCATTTCGTAATGTTTTTCTTTTCTTTTTTGTATAATTTAGCTGTAGCAGGAAGTTAAACAATAAACTTTTTCATCGTATGGTATGTAATGATTTTAGAAACAAATTTAATTAACTCAAAATTGTGCTTTGTTTTGATTTTTCTTTCATCTCTTTCGTATATTCTTTCTTTTGGCTTATCACTCAAGAGGCCAATTCAAATGGCAAAAAAAAAAAAAAAATCGGAAAAGAAAAGAGATTTTTTTAACAACAAAACTCACGCTGCTTTTTCTTCTCTTGTGTTGTTGTTTTACATTTCATACGCAAAATACAATAACTTTGGATACAAGGGGGATACAGGTTTAGGGGGGTTGGGGACATTGCTTAAATAATTTACATACATATTAATTATTAACAATTAATATTAAATGCTAATAATGAAAATAAGGTACTGGGTTCAAGTGTTTTTTTTTTGTTTGTTTTGTTTTTTCTTTTCTTTGTGTGTTTTATATGTTATTTTCAATATATGAGCATCAACGAATAGTTGTTTTTATTTTTACATAAAAAGTAGTAGTTTTTTGTCACCCTCCTCTCTAACTCTTAGCATATTATCAGCATCTCTTACATAAAGCGTATTTTCATCGGGGGATGATTGCAACAAAGTTTCACAATTGTTTTAAGATTTCGATTTTTCGATTCTTTTTTGTTTAGAAATTGTTTTTTATTTGCGGTCTTAGTTTGGGGCGCAAATTACAAATTATTTGAATTTCAATAAAATGTTTGCGCCCTTGCGCCAGAGGACCTACAAAACGAAATTGTATTTAACATTTTTGAAATATTTTGTTTGTTTTTATTATTCTTTACATTTATATAGTTTATGTACAATTCAAGAATGTTTAAAATCGAATTTAAAGCCATTTGGTAAGTGTATTTCAACTCATTTTACAATGGTTGCCTTTTTTCTTCTCATTTTCAATATTACTTTTAAAAACTAAAATAAATGGAAGTTACATAATGCTATATATCAAATTTCGCGTACAAAATACGTGAGGCTGGCGCTTAAGTGTGTGTGTGTTATGAGTGTTTTGTGTATGTATTATTTTATATGATATCTTAAGGTAGAGAGGCCGTTTAGTGTTTGTTTTTGTTTAGTTGTAGTTAAGGTTCAATTTATTATTTTAATCTTTTTATAGGCAAGTTGAATGCATTTTGCGCTGCTGCTGCAGCGTTGAGTTTGTCGTTGAGCGTTTCTCGCTCTTTTCTTTACTTCTTTTTCTTTTCTTTTTTTGTTGAATTAGTCTTTTGTGATTTGGTGGGTGGTATTATTATCGTTATTATTTGTATTATTATTATAAATCGCTTTTGTTATCATCATCATCGTAAATGTTGAGTTATTGGTTTTTTTTTTATATATTCATTTTCGATTTTCCATACTCTTCTTCTCCGTCTCTGTGCTCTCTCACATTCTGATCAACTGCTTATCGGTTTTCGTTCTTACTCTTTTCCTCTGCTTCTTCTTGTTGCTCTTTCATTCTTTTAAGGTACGTTGCACATGTTGTCCGCTTGGGGAATATATAAGTAAACATAAGCTGTACTTATGTATTGCGCTTCTAGCGTCTGGATTTTGTTTTAATTACTCATAAATACAATCATACATATTTATATAATTTATAATTTTACTTATTAATTACATTTTTTTCAAGTCTATTTGCGTATCACGTTTATAAAACAATGTTCAGTTGTGTGAATTTTGTATCCGTTATACATACATATAGAGCCCGTCTCTGTCCATCCGTCTATCCATCCATCCATCTAACTGTTCTCTCAAACATTATCTCTCTCTTACTCGCTCTCTTTTTGTGGCCAAACTTAAGATTTTCTTTTGCTTTTGTTAAATTTGTATTCATCTTTGACGATTGGCTTTTCAAAAGGTAGCATTTTGAAGTTAACAGCTGCAGTTGTTGTTGTTTGTCTTCTTGTTGTTGGGTGTATTTTTGTCGGGGAATTTTGCATCTTTTTGGATGTGTATCTTTTTTGTCGTTGTTATTTGTTGTTATGTGAGTACAGTTTCCATTTGTTCGCCTTCCTTTTAAATTTTGCATTTTTTTCGTTTTGTTTTTTGTGTTTTTCTTCCTCTTATTTAGCTTCTCAATTTTTGTTGCTGTTTTATGATACATTTGAGATCACAAACATTACTCTTCTTCCTCTTTTTTTATTTATTGTTTTTTTTTTTTTGTTTTGTTTAAAAAAGTTCAAATTTTCAGTTTTAAATGATTTGTAGTTTTTTTTTTTGGTATTTTTTTTTTTCTTGTGTAGTGTTTTACAATTTTTATATTTTTGATTTTTTGTGTATATATATTTTTTTTTTTAGTTTTTTGTTTTGTTTTGTTTTCTTTCTCATTTCGCAAGTCATTGACGGGTTCATTTGGGTCCTTCATGTTCAGTAGTTTTGTTAACAGTTCGCTTAGGTTGTTTTTCTAATTGTTGTTGTTGTTGCCGTTGCTAGAAGAGAGTTACGACTGCACATTGAGCAACAATTTAAGATTGTGCGTATCAAAGTCATCGAGCAGATTGCGCTTGGATGACCTGACGCCATAGCCATAACCACCGCCACCGCTGACACCGTTGCCACCACCCAGCTGAAATTTGGACGCACTGCATCTGTTGTTCTTATTGTTGTCGTTGCCACCGGCGCGCAGTAGACTCTGCAATGTTGTGCCACCAGCACCGCTGCTGGCCACCATCACCAATTTCTCCTCGGGCCGTGTCAATGTTGTCCAATGCTGCGGCGGCTTTGGCAGTGCCGTCGGTGCAGGTGCATCGAAGCACTTGCTGCCCGCAAAATGCGTCAGTGCGGTGGGTATGAGTGGTTGTGGATGCTGTGGCGATATCTTGCCACCAAATGATGCTGCTGCTGCTGTTGTTGCAACCAATGCTGTTGGACTGCGTCGCTGCTTGCGCGCCGAAGCTGCAACAGGTGAGAAAAAGCCGCCACCCAAAATTGTTGCAGGCGATGTTGTTGCTTGAATCGAGTGTGGCGAACGACCGCCGCCATTGCGCCTGCTGCTGCTGCTATTGTTGGCAAAAAAGAAGCCACCGCCTCCTCCTGATGCTGATCCTCCGTTCATCTGCTGTGGCGATTGGCGCTGGCGAGTGTTGCGTTGATTGGCGCCAGCTGATTGACTCTGCAGACGTTGCTGCTGTATACGATTGTTATTGGGGGTGGTGGGTGGCGATGTGCTTAAAGCGTGCTGCTGATGGAAGTGTTGCTGCTGCTGTTGCTGATTATTGTTGTTGTTGTAGTTTGTACTGCTGGCAATACTGTTGGAATGTGCAGTTACCGTTGCTGGTGTTGTTGATTCTATTGTTGTTGCTGCTGCTGCTGCTGGGGGTGGGGGTGATGGTGTATTGGCGCCCTTTTTCAAGCGAATGGACTTTGTTGTTGTTGCTGCTGTTGTCATTTTAATGTTGTTTCTAACACTATTGTGCGAGTATGTCATAGTAATTTCTTGTTGCTTTCCTCTTGCTTTCTCTATCAAAATTAAAAGCTTTTACAACACTGATTGTTGTTGTTGCTGCTGCTTCTTCTTTTAACTGAGCTTTTTACCCAATGCGCGTGCTTCTTCTTCTCCTCCTCTCTTCTATCCAATTCTGGCTCTTCTTACTCTGCTTGATAAAATTTCTGCTTTTTTGCCTTTTTTTGTTTTGTTTTTGGTTATATTCGCTAAATTAATGCTTAACGTTAAATATCACACGCACTTAAAATCAATTTATATTTTTTATTTAGTATCGATAACAAACAAACGCGAATCTGATGCTACGTCGATCGCTCTCTTTTCCTCCCTCCCTTGTGTTCGTCTCGTCTCTTCTTTGGTTCAAAATTTGACGATTTTGCTACTGCGCTTCCCTTCTCTTTCCCACTCTCAGCGGCACAAACGGGAAGAAGCTGACGTCGTACGTTGCTGAACTGTTGTTGTTGTAGCTGATGCGTTCAGTTTGGTTTGCGTATCGATTGATTTTGTATTTACAGCTTTAGTTATATACTTTATATAGTTTAACTTTTAACTTTATGTATTGTTTATCAGTCTGTTGATTTATCTTTTTGTTAGGCTATCCTCCTTCTTCCTTATTAGCTCTAAATTTTCCAAACTCTCTCTCTTCTTTCTCTTGCTCTTACGCTTTTTTTTCTCTTGCCTAATCGTCGTTGCTGTCATCCAAGCCGGGTCCCGGGTCCTGTGTTCATTTCATTGGTGTACGTGAAGAAAATAGAAAGAAAAACAAAACGAAAAAAAATGTTGAGCATAAGGAATTGAGGTGGAGACAACACAAACGAAACGAGTGCACACATATGCATGTACATACACACATATAGCACAAGAGCTTGACGACCCGCATTTTACATATCTATGTGTGTGCATGTATGTAAATAGCATGTGTTTGTGTGTTCTATTTACGCTCATGGTTGCCAGACTTTGTAAATTTGCAACAGCTTTTAATAATTTTTTTTGTATATATATTTTTGTACCATTTATTTAGCAATAAATACACGTACATTGCTTAAAAAATAAATTAAACGTTTTTGTGATTCGGCTGCAACGATGTTAAAACGTGTATACCTCAAATTCATGAATCAACATACTCATACAATCTACTAATACAATTGCGACTTACTTTGAGTTGTAAACCTTTTCACACCAATGTTGTGTGTGTGGTTGCTGCTGCTATAATCTTGCTCGCTCGCACACTCGCTGGTTTTTTTATGGGTTGCGCGGTATGGGAGTGAAGAAGACGACTGTATATGTGTCGCAGTTATTGATTGCTTTACAGCGCGGGGGGTTTTTCTTTGCCACTTTGTTATACTGATTATTACAAATTATTTGCATTTATATATTAAGAGTTGCCTTGTTTTCACTGTTGCCAGTTCAATTTGAATTTTGCGATAGTTATTCTCTATTGGGAAATTGCGATTGTTTTTTTTTTTTTGTGGTTTATTGTTGATTTTCTCTGATGGTTATGGTTATATATATGTGTGTGTACGTATATATTTGTTTGTATGTATGTAAAATCACTTTCAAAATGGCGACGGGATGTTTGCTTAAAGGGATTCCGCTTAAAGCTTTCTCCTCTCTCACTTACAAAGGCTCAAAAAAATCACACTATTAACTGATTCGGTTTTGTTTAACGTTGTTTTCTTTGCAATATTTATTATGTTTTATGTTTTTTCTCGCAAAGTACACACGACGACGCAAATTGCTCGATGTGCCACACACAAGAAAAGTTTTGCTTTTGCGTTTACTATTTTTTTTTTTCTTTTTTAATTGTAGTTGGTGCTTTTGCTTGTTTTTCTTTGTGTGCGATTAGCTTCCACTCGTTGTACTTTGACGCGTATTAAAATATTAAACTTTACACAAATATTTGATTTATATCACTTAAATTAAAGACATTTACAATATATAATTACATATATATATTTTTTTGCAGAAATTTTAATCAATATTTAACTTTTCTTCTTAGCTTATTCTTGCGCATAGGTACGCTCTCCTCAAATTCTCCACCATGACTAACGTACCCTCAATCAGTGTGACCCAACTATAACATGATGAAAATACAAAAATTAGGGATGGACTCAAGTTGAACTTAGCTATCGCACATGACACGATATATACAATAAGCATGCGAACACAAGAACAGTTTTATTCTTATTGAATGCAATTTTATGCACATGTGAAGACAATGTATATATATATAATAGAAAACTACAAGAACACTTAAGTTTTATTTGTTTGAGTTGTACGCACATGTGAACAACAGACCTCTGGTTCTACTCAAATGAACTGTTATCTCACTGTTATGACGACAGTGTAGTGACCTTACTCAACTGTCTGATAAGTTTTTGCGAAAAATTATCGATAAGTCTTGCATTGCCAAATGCGCTCATTTCTAATAAATCAAATTATTTTATTTTATTATTATTTCAGAACATGCGTAACTTAAAAACGTATTGAAAAGAGTTTGAAATCACAAAGCTCTCTAGAGTTAACTAATAACAATCGGATGTCATATCATCATTACGCCTTATCACGTTCAGTATGTCATCCAAGAGACAGACCAAATTATCATTGCTATCGAACCACTCCTCCTGCTGTTTGAGTAATTTATCCAAATCAAATTTGGCAATTTCGTCCCGCCATTCGCGGACGGAGACCGCAAACTGTTTGTAGTAGAACTCATCAATATGACGCTTCTGTGTTTCTGCACAATTAATTTGCATTTGCGATTGAAATGTCTTCTCCAAGAGCTGCACATCCTGAGCATTTAAAATAGATTCGATAACATCATCTGCCTGCTCGGCATTTATAATGGAAGAAGCCTCATCCTCGTCCGGCTCCACAGACATGGGTTGATCTGGCGTAAATGGCAGGCTGTTGTCGATGCTATTCACGGACGTTGTCAGCGATTCGATATCACTTAAGATGATCTGAAAGTCGTATTCATTCAGTTTCTCGTTCATTACCTTGATGCCGTTGATGATTATTTTGAGGACCTCGATGGCATATTCTTCGCGCAGACAATGCAGTATAATACCATAATAGCCATATTTTTGGACTTCGGTTAGCACTTTGGCAACGCGCAATTTGATCTCACGTTCCGTTAGTGTGACAATCTTTTTGTGCTCCTTAGAGAAGGTGACGCTGGGAAAGACGCCATCGAGCATGCCCTGATTGTTCAACTGACGACTGAACTCCATGCGCCAAAAGCACAGAGCATTCACCTTCACCTCCCAATGATGGTCGCCGACGACGCAATAGTTGAGCGTTGAGAAAAGCGTATTCTTGTACTTAGTCGGTATTTTGCGATGATCATAGATCAGCGATAATGTCAATATGGCCTCGGAGCGCACAATATCCTCGTTCTCACGATAAAGTACGTACAATAAATGATCCTGAGATGCGAACATAAATTAACATAGTTGTAGTTAAGTATGTTTATCAGAGATTTACCACCAAATCCAATTGACTGAGTCCATTCTCCCACAGCGCATTGATCGGCACCATTTTGGACAGGCATTTGTAGGCGGAGGCTCGCACATATGGCTCACTATCATGCTTGGCCATCTCATAGATAATCGGTGGTATTTTCACATCGATCAGAAATTGTTGGAATGCGGGAAACTCTGTTATGACACAAATAGTTTAAATATTTCAACGATTTACTGCTGATTTGAGACGGACACCTACTTATGCGTGAGATACAGGCAATGGATGTTGTCAGTTCTAGTGCAGAGTCGCGCACCTCCCAAGCTATATCGTGCATCCGCTTCACAATGATAGGGCCCAGACAAACCAAAGCGGAGCCCTGCAGATTGTCCACCAGCAGCGCCATGTTCGGCGACAGAAAGTGCTCCACAGACAGCTGAACCAGTTTCAGGGCCTGAACGGTGCACTATAAATATAGAATATATTAAAATATATACTTTATCCGAACAAATTGAAATTCAACAAACAAATATTTCCAAAAGATTCAAAATAAATTTGTTTTTTTAGTTGATCAGTTTCCATTAAGTAGAAAATATTATTAGGAAAACTTTTTACCGGCACATCCATATTGCAGTTCTCCAGGACAAAGGCCAGGCAGTTGACCAGGCCAATGGTCTCCACGGACTCCTTCCACGTGATCTTGAAACGTTCGATCAGCGTACGCAGGCCAACCATCACGGAATGCATAACTTTTGGATCTTTGATGATGGCCTCCGAGCCGCGTGGATAGATGTCCACATAATTATTTGAGGTAGTTGGGCCATGGCAATCCTCCGGATCCGTGGGCATATTAATGTTATTCAATGCGACAACCTCACGCAAAGCGTAGAGCAGCGCCTGACAGACAGTAACCGCCTGCTCCCGATCCAGTATGTGCTCCAGCGAGAGTATGCTGTGCACACACTTTCTGGCCAGCTCCGGCGTAAACAAATTGTAATTTGTATACCCCTCTGGAGTAATGAACGAATCGCGGAGGCTATAGCACAAGCGAAGCGTCTGCTCGCAGGACATTTCGAGCAGTTTCTTTACGTACGTATCGAAGAGTTCACTCTCGGAATCATCGGCCATTTTCATGGCAAACTTCATGGAGAAGAGCAGCGGTGCCATATGAAAGCAAATCAATTGATTCTCAAAGGCGACTCGCTCGTCCAGAATGATGATCTCTTTGGGCGCCCGTGTGCCCAGCTTCTTCCACAGTATGTGATGCAGTTCGGCCATTTTGACGAAATTGATGGCATCGTAGCGCTGTATGCAGAATTTCATCAGATTGAAAAAGGATAAGCCAAATTCTGTGAAATTTTCCGGCGGCTCAGCACAATTGGGATTCAGGATTTTCTCATGCACCACCACGGCAAAATGATAGCTGCACAATGTGTTCAGCATCTTTTCGGTGAAGTACGTATTATGCGTCATCTCCACCAGTTTCCAAATGTTGAACTCCAGATCATGATGTTCGCGCAACAGTGACACAATTTTTGTACGCTCCTCGCTGACCAGCGTCTGCTGCAGTATATAACAGAGTAGATCAATCGTTGCGGAAATCTTGTGCAACAGCTCATGATCATCTACGCTGACATGGATGCGCTCCTCCTCATTTCCTTCTCCTCCTCCGCCGCCACTGGCATTCTCATTATTGATATAATCCGGTTTATAAACATTATCATGTATCGGCTTCATAATCTCAGCGAGAATTTCCAATGTGACAGCCTCATCCTGCATTTTGTCACAGAATTTGTACAGCATCTCGTAGAGCAACTGACGCGCCTCGCGCACCACATACAATGTGTGCTCGTTGTTGCTGTAGTGGATGAGCAGTGTCCAGGTGCGCTGCATCCGCAGAAAGGCCAGTCCCATGCTGTACTTGGTGACCGCTTTCATCACCCGTATCCCACTCAGCTTTATCGATGGACTAAAATTGCGTTCCTGCGCCTGCATAAAGAACACAACTCTGCAATCGAAATTCAGTTAAATTATCTAATTAAATAAACTTATAATTATTTTTGTGGCAACTTCAACATGTTAAAGTAGCAGTCAAAGGATTATGATATTTAAAAAATATTGCAAAAGTTAAGATGCAGATTACGATGAGTTATTAATAAATTAAAATTGGTACAAGCTAATACTTTAACACGCGTTTTTCGCAATTTGTAATTTTCGTGCTCATGTCGACATCTCTACGCCATACCTATGCATAATGTCCAGCTCGCGGAGCCGTAACACCATCCACTCATTTGACGTCATAAAGCTGATCAGATTCAGCATGAACGATATCACCTTTGGATGTACTCTGTGAAAGTCGGCGCTGATCAGTGTCAGGCATTTGTCCACCCAATCGATGACAAACGGCATTTGCAGCAATAACGCATTCTCTGTGGAAAGATGATGTTGGTATTAGAATTGCCGCCTGTTGCATTCACACACACATACAGACAAGGACACATAGACACTTACCCTTAGACTGCAAATGCGATATGAGCTTTTCAAAGTAAACATTGTCGGTTGTGGTAAAGTTGCCATTCAGGAATATGTCGAAGATCTTCTTGAGGCGAATTGTGACCTCTTCTTGCTTTTGCATCGTTCAGCTGACACTAATTGTTGTATCGGAGCGCTTGGTGCATAGTTTGATACGCAATTTGTACAAAGAATAATGAAATATTTCTCCTTATCACACAAAATAATACTCGTTTTAAATGAAGTGTGACCGAATGACAAAAATGGGCAAAAATAAGTGTGCACCTGCTATTTGTTGCGATAATCACAATAGGTCAAAATCGTTACATTTGATATTCTAAATAGACAAACTTAATAGATTTTTATAATATTACGTACCGATTAAAAAAATGTGTATTATGTGTAATGTGTCTAAGATAGTCACCGTGATTGTTGAATCACAGCTTGATCATCACTCGTTCCTTCAATGTGCAGTGTTGGAAAGTGGTCGAGTGCAGTAATACGATGCTGTAAACAGTGTATTTTAATTTTTGCCAACAGCTGGTCACTCAGTTGCATATGCAATGACGCTGACACTCACATCGTACTTAGACATTTATTATGGACAATAATGTAGGGCAAACTGGAGAAAAATCAAAAACCGCATCGACAACAGCCAACCCAAGCGAACTAATAGCGGCAACACACATCGCTGCAACCAGAGCAAAATCACCATCAGCGAGCATCCTAGCAAATCCAACGTCGTTTTGGAAGAACAGCGGCCGTGCAGTGCCCGGACGGCCCAGTCCAAAGCGAGATATTCACGACAAATCGGGAGGAACTGGAGGGGCAGTGGGACAGCGCGATCGTGGCAACGGCAGCGGCATGGTGTCCACCTTTCGTGACTATCAGCAGTCGGTGAGCGATGCCTGGGATACCGGCGACGATGAGTTCTGCATCATAAGCAGCACAGAGGCTGCTGCTGCCGCCGCTGTGGGGGGTAAACAAAACACAAGAAATACGCAAATCACCGTTGATAATTTGATTAACAAACATATTTTCTCTAAATTTGCAGATGCTGCACGCATCTCGCGGCAGATGTCACAAACGGCGGCGCTCAATGTCATTGAAACGCATTCGCGTAGCAATCAAAACCACGTCACACACTGCGAGCCCAGCGATGTTCATATTGGCAATGCGGAACTGTCTGCAAGTGGCGCTAACTTTGTCGAAGACATCAAGGAGCAGCGCAGATCATCGCACGACAACAACGAAAACAGGTGCGACCCAACAACTGTCAACAGCCATCTGCCTTTATCAGTTGTTTAAATAGCAATCATTTTATTTGTTGCAATGTCAACAATTATTTTTTTAATATTTTTTATATATACCCATACAAGCTTTTAAAATAGGCGGTAAATGGGTAGAATTTAATTTTGTGCGGGAGTACATCAAACTGAACCCATCTCAAACCTGGAGTTTAGGCTCTGAAATTTCTAGTTTTATTTCAAGTTATATCCCACACTCATCAAAATCAGCTCATTACCTCAACATCCCAAAAATGTATACATATTTATAGCTATAGATATTAATATTAATAGATTTATTTCATTTTTATAGATAGCTAAAGATATTTAAATTAATTTATTCGACCATATTTTAAGAATATTTCTTAATTTTTGATGAATTATTTGCACAGATCTCGCTTTCGCAACTATCCGGGCCGACCGCAGCTGCAGAAGATTAGCTCCAACTCGCAGGATGGGGAATATGAGACGAAAATAGAGAAATTTCAATTGTTGCTCGACTCACCGCAACTTGATTTGGCGGCGCTCAAGAAGCTCAGCTGGTCAGGTGTGCCGCGCAAAGTAAGCACTCGAAACATCCATCATCAATATCAGTTACAAATTGATTCCCTTTGCTTTCAATTTGCAGATGCGCGCTGTCAGCTGGCGTTTGCTATCGAAGTATCTGCCGCCGTCGGGCGAGCGACGAAATGCGGTGCTGGAGAGTAAGCGGCAGGGATATCAGGATCTGCGACATAATTACTTTCGGGTGGACAGTCAGGATGAGACGCAGCAGGACACCTATCATCAGATACATATCGATGTGCCGCGCATGAATCCACAAATCCCACTCTTTCAGCAGCAGCTCGTACAGGAGATGTTTGAGCGTATACTCTTCATTTGGGCGATACGACATCCGGCCTCCGGCTATGTGCAGGGCATCAACGATCTGGTGACGCCCTTTTTCATTGTCTTCCTGCAAGAGGCACTCACACCCAACACTGATCTTGAAAAATATAATATGTCACAGCTGCCAGAGGAGACACGCAACATTATCGAAGCCGATTCATTTTGGTGCCTATCCAAGTTTCTCGACTGCATCCAGGATAACTACATATTCGCCCAGCTGGGCATACAGGAGAAGGTGAATCAGCTCAAGGATCTTATACAACGTATTGATGGTGAGAGCATATCCAATTACCTATCTTATTCTATCTTATGATAATACCCGTGACTATTTCTGGCTTTATTATATGTGTATAAACGAATAATTGAGTAATTGTTTTGTAAACATATGATAACTACTTATTTGTATGCATATAGAAAACTAATTAGGTATTTTTGTGTGTGTGCAGTCAACCTGCATCGTCATCTGCAGACACATGGCGTTGACTATTTACAATTCTCATTTCGTTGGATGAACAATTTGCTGACACGCGAACTGCCCCTGCATTGCACAATCCGTTTGTGGGACACATATCTGGCCGAGTCCGATGGATTTGCTCTATTTCATTTGTATGTGTGTGCGGCATTTTTGCTGCACTGGAAGGAGCAGCTAATGCAACAGAATGACTTTCAGGTAAAATACAACAACAACAAAAACGACCTCTATGTTAATATTTGTATTAATTGATTTGCTTTGTTTTAGGGTTTAATGTTGCTGCTACAAAATCTGCCAACGCATAATTGGTCCGATCGCCAAATTAATGTGCTGCTCGCCGAAGCATTTCGCTTGAAGTTCACCTATGCGGACGCACTCAAGCATCTGGAGACGAAAAGTTGACAAAGCAATCCGGAATGATGCATATATAGAAATTAATTTACTACTACTACTACTACTACTATGTCTGTCTGTGGGCATATACCCAAAACAATACATATATATACACATCCACACACACAAACTCTACATATACAATTATTATATATACAATTTGTTATTAGCTCTTTGGTTCTATTTTATTAATATGTTTGTGTGTTTCGTTTGTGTTTTTTACTTTTTCCACCCCATTTAATTTTGAAGCTGAATAATATTTCGCTTTTTCTGTACATATATATATGAAATTCCAAATAACAAAAATGCAATTTAAAAACATTTATGGGGTAATTCACATATAAAAGCTACAAAAACTTCCAATAATCAACAAGGCAAATATCCATGGAATGAAATAATGAAATTATGCTTTAGCCCAAATAAATAATAAGGAATGTTCTTAAATTTGATATAATAGCAATAAATACAAACACAAATAAAAAACAGGCAGCTCTTCGTATTGATTAAGATTGCAATATGGTGTATATGTATAATCTTGATATAGCAAATAGGAATAACTCCCAAAATAAATGTTTACAAATCGTAATTACATCATTAGCCAATTAGTTTAAATCGCATGATGCATGTATACAATATAATTCAATTAATTATTTAAAAAGATTTCGTCTTTGAATTGTTTTTCCGTTTTTTGGATATTTTTGTAAATATTCTCTTTTTGGGTGTTATTTTATTTAGTAATATTTTTCTTTATGACATTCTTAAGTTAGCCTACAAATAAATAACTCCCTATTATGCCAAGAGTTTATTCTATAATATGCTATTATATAGGATATAGGCTAGATGTCTAACTCTGACGATCGGCAATATGTTTGAGCTGCTTGAGAACCGTTTCTAGCAGTTTTTTCTTATCATTTTTGCGCACCAGCGAGAAAATGGGTTTCTTATCCGCCTCACGTATCTTCTCCAGTATAGCAATTATTGACTGCGGTTGGACGAGATGATAGCGATTCTCCTGTTTGCCATAGTCATGGAAATACGTGCTCCACTCCTCCAAAATGAGCAGATCGAGCAGTTGACGGTTCCGCTGAAAGTATTTGCTCAGCTCTCCCTCATGCAAACCGGGCACCGGCTCCGAAGCGGCAAAGAACTCGCACTGCATCAAATCCAAATTGATTTGGGTGAGGGCGCCAGTTGAGATCTGCTTAACCTCCTCATCATACAATATCGAATAGATCTTATCGGCAATGTGTTCGCAGGTGCGACGACAAGCGGCTTGGGCAATGTGGGGCAGCTTGTAGGAGAAATTGTCAAAGGTGCTCTTCAAGTACGAAATCATGTCCGTAATGAAAGCAGAGGCAATGCCCGGCGGATCCACCAAGAGCCAATCGTAGGCGCTCAGCTCGAAAAATTCATCAATTTTATAGCAGATGCGAACCGCCACCTGTTTCTCGGCATCTTGTCGAGCCACATGGAACATGGCCGAAGGTGTCTGGGAAATACTACGTTCCGTGTTGGTCATGTGGCAGACAAACTCATCGAGAAACGGTCCCGCCTTGTCCAAATACTGGGTATCGATGATGATCTGAATGAGCTGGACAAGTGTTATGCTCGGCTGTCGAAAGACGACCGAAAGACAGCCGCTAAAGCTGCGTGTCAGTAGCAAATTGGCCGCTTTGCGCACCATGGCGGCCACCTCGTTGGGGGAGAGGGTCAACTCCTCGTCAAACTTCATGCAGGCGTACATAAACTCCTTGGCCTGATGATAGACTTCTGGCACCATGCGTGAGAAGGGAAATTGCTTGGGGAACGGCGCATTCTCCAGTTGTTCAGAGTGGAACGGAAATCGCTCAATGATGCACTCATACTCCTCCACATTCTCAACCACCATCGGCACAAATTGCTCTTTGTCCAGAATCTCGCGAAAAACGTGAACCCAACGTTGCAGCAGAACCTGCAAAAAAAAAGTCGTGTAATATTAGGTAATAATATTCTCAGCTCTGATTAGATATTTAAGTAGTTCTACTGTTGCCTTACCTCGTTGTAATGATCCCGCATATCGTGGAGCAGTTCCCACAGGATTTGCACCGTGTACCCATAGCACTTAAAGGTATTTATGGAGAGCATAATAAGGTTCTTGATGCGGAGCAGAATGTTTGGATCTGTACACGAAGAGGAGCTCATGCTGATCTCATTGACGAACTTGGTGAGCGATGTGGACCACAGTTCTTCCAGATAGCTACTCGTGACCACATCCCCAGCGGTGTTCTTCACATGATCCTCCACCACAAAGAAACCGACAATGGCGCAAATGTATGTTTTATACGCCTCCAGATTGTCGTGCATATTGGGTGGTGGTTGCAGCACCAACTTGGACTGATCCCGACGCTGTTGCCGGTAGTCCTTTTCAAAGTACTCGCGCTGTCCCAGCACCATATAGATGTGCAGGCAGCGATAAATGGGCGAGAAATCAATCAAATCTTGAGCGCTCACATTTGCCCCATCATCGTCGCTGCCGTTATTGGCCAGCAGCTTGTGCTCCTGGATTATGGCATTGATATCCCGCTTCTGCAGCTGTTTGGTGTGCGTGATCGCCAGCTCACCAATGCGTGGCGAAAATTTCCGAATATTCTCCAGAAATTCACGAAAATCGGCTGCAGACGATCGGCGTATATTCTCCTTGATGATGGGTATTTGTGTTTGCATTTGGGTGGCAAAGCGATAGTTGTGCTGCTGCAGACGCAACAGATGCTCCGTCTCCAGAGTCTCGAGTGTGCGCAGTGCCTGATAATATTGTTTATTCTTCGCCTGCTGAGTGAACTTCATGTAGCACTCCAAGGCGGGCAGGCACGATTTGAGCGCCTCAATCGCGCTGGCCACATTCGATTCAATTTGACGGGCGCGCACCAGCTCATTCCCCTGCTGGATGAGCGAGGCGCTAATCGTGCGCAGCGAGGTGTCCAGCGAGTGAACTTCGTCGTGCAGCTGCTTGGCCTGAGTGCGCACTTGCAGCAGTTCCTGTATGGAGTCGATGAAGCCCTGATAATACAAATTGCATATCCGTTCGATCTCCTTGTCGTGGCTCCGTACACGCTGATCCAGTTGCTCACTGATCGATTTGCTATTGTTGCCTGCGCAGGGATTGGGGCGTTAATCGGTTGAAACGATGACAAAGTTCATCACTTGAAAAAATAAAATAAACGATACTCACCTTCGAGTATGGAGCGAAATGTTGGTCCCCAATAGTCGTCGACGGCTTCTATGTCTTGAACCGTTACCTTAGACATAACTAATACTTTGCCTTGGGCGTTATATATTGCACTTTTCTCAAAAATGTATCAAGTTTTTCTTATTTGCGGCAGCTTACTTAGGTGTTGATAAACGTGCATCAGTCAGCTGTCTGTTTTGTTTTGTTTTGCAGCACATATTGCCGATACTACTCATATACAGCTCAGCTGTTTAACAAAAATGGTGGTCCACACACGATACAACACCTGTTGCACAAAGTTCTTTCAGAGAATTAAAAAGCAAATTATATGTTATACAAATAGAACAATATAGAAATAGTAAATTATGTGATTAGTATGGGTAAAAAGTTCAAGTTAATATATTTATATTCATGTAAACATGTAGTTTAATCATCTTGAATGAAATGTGTGTGGCTCTCATTGCATGGTTTTTGGAAAGACATAAATGTAATCATGCAGCTTGATCGTTGCTTAAAGCGCCACATTCAACTTTCACTTCTGCTGCTTCTTAGCGGTTACTTGGCGTACTGCTTTTTGTTTTGACCAAGCTCTCGGGCGCACATACAGTTATGTTGTCGTCGCCGTGTAAGCAGCTCCAGCAGTAAGAAAGACAGCGAATTTTATGTACACGCACGCAATTCAACGCCCACAACAAAATGGAAGCTTTACGGAATCGCCAGAACAAAATAGCAGCGCCGGAAACGGAAGAACACCCCAACAAAACCAACAATAACAACAATAATGCAGGCCAAAAAGAGAAAAGTGATCCAATGATATACATAATATTTCTCTCATTACTCTTCGATTTGCTGGCATTTACAATCATCTTGCCGCTGTTGCCATCGCTGCTGGAATATTATCGTATCAATGATAGTTCCGGATTGTATGCATCGCTCACAACGCGAGTCAAATGGTTTCAAAATCTACTCGGCGCACCGGATCGCTATCTGTCGGTGCTCTTTGGCGGCTTCCTTGGCTCCATGTTCAGTTTTCTGCAGTTTCTTGCCAGTCCAATTGTAGGCAGCCTGTCGGATTACTACGGACGCAAGCCAGTGTTGCTGATCTGTGCTGTAAGTTTGTTACAATTACTACTAATATAATTGCTGCTACTTATTATGATTGTCTCATCCTGAATTTGTTTACTTTTCGCAGTCGGGCATTGCGCTCTCTTATCTCATCTGGGCTTTGTCATCGAATTTTGCACTATTTGTGCTGGCACGCATTGTGGGAGGGATTAGCAAGGGCAACATCTCGCTCTGCATGAGCGTCATCACGGATGTGTCCAGCGTGCGGACTCGCGGTCGTGGAATGGCTCTCGTTGGCGTCGCCTTCTCGCTGGGTTTCATCATTGGTCCCATGATTGGTGCTATGTTTGCCATCTTCTCGAATAAAAGTGCCAGTGGCGGCGCCTGGTTTGTGCTGCCCTCGCTGCTGGCTCTGGGCTTGGCGCTGGGTGATGTGCTTCTCCTTGTCTGCTGTTTGCGTGAAACGTTACCAAAGGTAGGGAAAAAATTCGCAGTCCCAATTTTATTTCACTTTTATTTGATTTGCAGGAGAAACGCGCTCGCGAAATCGCATCTGCCTTGTCATATGGCTTACAATTACTCAACGTGTCCGCCATATTTAGGTGAGTTGTTTTCATTTAATTAGCGTATCTGCCGAACAAGTTAGTTCGACCTTTTCAAGTTCTCCTCTGTGCCTTTTCATTGCCCCATCTACAGGTTTTTATCTTGGCGTCAGCTTGTCACGTTTTAAGTGTGCTTTGCTTTGATTTGTCTTATCAATGCTTAATTGGAAATTGTTATAGAAATTGCCTAAACAGTTACTAAATAAGTAATACTCAATCTTCACATCGGCCTTATGCTGTCAATAATATATTTCCCAACGCATTGTTATAGATATACTCTACAAATAGCTACCAAAAATATACATTTTTAATTTATATATTTAAATGCAAATCTATTTGTAATATATGCAAAATTGCTGTCTTACAAAATGTACAAGTAACTAAATTTTTAATCGAGAGAATTTGCTGTTTTTCATTTTTTTATTATTTATTTTCTTTAATTATATGCAGAAATTTTGATTACTATGCTTCAATATCATTTGTGAAATCACTCAATTGAGAGAACTTGCTGTTTTTCCACCTTTTTTTTTTTGTTAATTTCTTTAATTATATTCACAGATTTGAATTATTTTTAATATCTATATGCAATTTAATAAAATCAATTATTTAATCTTACAACCTGACTATTAAAAGGTTCCAATTGTGACTACATCATAAATGTCGTCATTTTAGCTTAAGTATTAACTAAGTTGTAGTTCCCAGCCATTTCTCACTTTCCTAAAGTATTTAAACTTATTTTTATAAATTTCTCAATTACTTCACAGATTTGCTGCCATTAAAAATGTGCCACGAAAGGAGATACAAGCGCTGCGCACAATTGGACTCATTTATTTCCTCTACCTATTCCTGTATTCGGGCCTAGAATTCACAGTTACATTCCTAATGTATCATAAATTTGGGTACACTTCAATGGACCAGGCCAAAATGTTTCTGACCACGGGAGTTGTGATGACTTTGCTGCAGGGTTCGGTGGTGCGTCGTCTGCCCGAAGCAAAGATCAAAAGTTATGCCATCTTTAGTCTATATTTAATTGTGCCAGCATTTGTATTAGTTGGCCTCGCAGAGAATAGCCGAATGCTCTATGCAGGCATGATTCTGTTTGCCATCTCCACGGCATTTGCCGTCACCTGTTTGACCACATTGGTGTCCAAGTATGGTAACGATGATCAAAAGGGTTCAGTATTAGGTATATTCCGATCGTTGGGTGCTCTCGCACGTGCTCTTGGTCCCGTGGTGGGATCTATAGGTATGTTCTCTACTGTTCTCCATTTCACAATTTATTTATTTACATTTTTTTTTTATTCATTGCAGCATTTTGGTGTGTGGGTTCGAAAATCTCATACATTACGGGCGGACTATTGCTTATCTATCCAGCATTTGCTTTGCAGCGTGCGCGAATTTAAAACGTATTTCTAACAGTGCTTTAAGTACAAAAAGAACAAAGTGTTTTTATTATTTTCCACTGAACAATCAGCAACAGCTAGTATTAACTGCACTTTATACTTAATCTATTGATTTTCTACATCATATTTATAAATATTTTATATTTAAATAAACACAATTTTTGTGTCGTTTTCTACTTCATCATATTTTAATCAAGTGAGGAAATAATAAATTGACTTGAAACTCCAACGACAACGGTCTACACTGACGTCATCAAAATGGCGTTCACAGTTGTGGCATAAGTATCGAGTACTTGCAGCTGTCACTTGCATTGCTATACATGCCGCAGCCAACTTCACGTCGTTAAATATATTGGGAGTGACTAAGTCTAAGTGAGTGTGTGTCGCGAGTAAGAAAATTATAAATAAATACATAAAAAGCCACAGAAAAGGCCAAACATCCATTGCATTAGTTAACGCACGTAGAGTGCCTTGTGTTCAATAAAGAATTACGATTGATCGACGCCTATTTGCAATCGAATTGATATAATTTTTCTTTTCTTTATATTGTCCCGATTACAACCACAAATAAAAGTGTACAAAGTGTGAGAGCAAAATACACGAATAAAAAAGAAAAACACAAAGAAACGGCGGCGCGCAAGGATTATTGGATTTTACCATACACACACTTACGCACCCCAATCGCTTGGAGCAGGAGTAACAAAACATTAGTAAAAACACAACAAAATGGGTGCAAGGGAAGACGAATACGATTATCTCTTCAAAGGTAAATTATGAACATGACTCTTAAAATTTCCTGGCCCTTTGTAATTAATTATGAGCTAGCCGGTCAATGGTTCGTTGGCTCTGTTAATTTGAATAGAATTTTGACTTGGTGAATTTGAACACAGGAGCAAAGCTCGGCTTGCGATTTCACTGCCGCTGTAACTATGACGCAGTTATTCAGCAGCACTAATTGAAGCTAATTGGAATAACAAACGTACACATGGCAATCATACAAAAAAAAATTAATTGAATTGAATTATGTTGAATTAGTGGTACTCGATCGTAGTTTTGATAAATTCTTAAATGCAATATCAGAAAATACGCCCCCTATCGTTGTTATGCTGCATTCGTCGATACAGCTTGAAAATTGTGTTGCTTTTGTCTGCCCTTTTTTTCTTGCGCGCTCTCTCTCTCTCTCTCTCTTTGTTGTACTCTGTCTAACCAGACATCATCTCCGTCGTCCCCTTATTCCATTAGACGCGTAACTACTTTGCCGTTAACTGCTGGCTGCTGTCAGTTTGTCATTGCGTTTCCATTGCTGTTCGTTCCGTTCTTCACAGCCAGCGTGACACGTTGCATAAATCGTAATAATAATCGTGATAAAAGGCGAATAGTAATTATATTTACTTTGATTAGATTTTCACTTAAATTAACACATGAAGTAAATATTTACTTGTGTGTGTATACACACACATAAACACAGGTGTGTGTATTGTTGCTATTGGCAGCGATTAAAGAGCAGCGTATATTAATTTTTTTCTGCTGATGCCTTTTGTATTGAATTTTCGCAATTTCTTTTGCATATGTTTATTTCGCTCACATCTGCTGTGCGAGTGAGTTGCTCAGTTGTTGTTGTCACTCTCTCTCACTGCTTTAACTCTCTCAATGAACACCAAAAGCTGTTGTTGTTGTTGTTGTTACAGAAACTTCAGTTGAAGCCAGTGAATTTTGTAAGCCGCTTGCACTGTGTGCCAAGATCGATTTTCTTCGTTCAAAACATTTAAATTACAATTGCAGATACAGTTACGCATACTTTTTCAACCCTATAAAGATAATTGTTCGCAATGCGGGCCATTAATTTTTAAACCGGCACAAACTTCTCCCACATCCCCACAGCCCCATTTTTCAAGTCAGTTTCTTTGTTTGTTTGTCAGCTTTAAGTATTTATGTTTTTTTTTTTTGTGTGTGTTTTGGTATTTTGGGGTCACGAATTCTCAATTTTCTCTTTGTTCTCTAGTTTGCATGCGAGAGCAGCACTCCCCAGCTAGATATTATACTGCGCTTTACAAATTCAATTCAAGCCTTGTTTTTTTTTAAAGCTCCGCTTCGATAAGTTTCAGATTCTGTGTTAGATATTAAACATTGCATTGAAATAATAACGATATTTGCAGTGCCTTAGCATAAAATGCATGTCTCTTTTGGGTTAGCAACTGAATAATAATGACCAAGGGCATTATAATATTTTGACATTTTTGAAGTCTGAGTCATTAGAAAATAAAAAAAACTTCGATAAGCGCATAATCACAGAACAAAGCAAGCAACCTAAATCCATGTTGTTCAATTAACCTCTCTTTACAACATATATATATATATATATTTGTATCTTTGTGTTCGTACATAGACATTTAATGATGAGAGCAATACAAACCGCTTCCGCTTGAATTTAGCTGTAGTTTGCCACAAAAAACCTAAACAGCTCCAGATCGTTAAAGAACTCGTAAAGAGAGAGAAAGAAGAAGCTTCGTAATGAATCACCGTTGCTTGCGAGAAGCAGCTGTCAAGCCAGCTATCAAAGGCAATGCTGATAACTCTGGCTGCGCTCTTTTTTTTATGGGAGAGCGAGAGAGCAAAGCAAATATTGTCGCATACCAGATAAACAAAACTCGACGAAGGTGTCAAAAGTAGAACCAGAAGACGTGACAATAACAGTCATTTTACCACCGACTCTGCTGATATGAATGTATGCAAATATATTTGTAAAAAAGAAAACTATCGAATTAAATGTTGCAGTAATATTTTTCGTATGGTTTTACGAATAAATATGTGCATATTTAATCCAATGAAACACCTTTAGACGCTCACTAAATTTTGTGGTGGGTGAGTCCATAAAATGATTGCTTTTATTATGCCCTCGTCACCCACAAATACCCCGAAAGCATTAAATTTACTGCTCCTGCTGACCTTCAGGCACGCGTCGCCGTCATTTTGCCAATAAATGTATACGAGGACATGACCAAAACCACCAGCCAGCCAGGCAGTGTGTTAAGTTATGCAACAACTAGACAGGACCTGAACAATATTGCTTCGACATTTGCTAATGTTTCTCTTCTTTTTTCTTTCTACTTTCTAACCCATTTTGCAGTTGTGCTTATCGGTGACTCTGGCGTCGGCAAAAGTAATTTGCTGTCACGTTTCACGCGCAATGAATTCAATTTGGAGTCCAAGTCGACAATTGGCGTTGAGTTTGCAACGCGCAGCATAGAGGTAAGTAGCTGAAAAGCCACCAAACCATTCAACCACCCCACCACCCGTACGTAAGTGGGTGGGTTCAATGTCAAACGAAAAATTCGAGGAAAGTGCTGTCAGCAATTATTGGTTTGAAGACCTTTAGATTAAAAGTATTGTAAATTTCAAATGATTACATAAAAATAGTAAATCTCAATATATGTATGTTATTTATTATCAACACATAATTATAACATAAAAAAGGAATGGGATTTCAATTTAATTCAAAGTCTTCAATCGAATACTATGATATTATTATCATCATTAAAAACAGACACAGAAATTATTTGAATCACATTAGAATCAATTGAAATCTTGAAAATAAATGTTAAAATTTACTATATTAAACAATCTGCAAACTATCCAAACACTCTCCAAAAAAAAAAACAAGTTTTAAATGCATTCTTACATAATCTATCCTCTAATCTCACCCGCGCTAGGTCGATGGTAAAACAATTAAGGCGCAAATTTGGGATACGGCCGGACAAGAGCGTTATCGGGCCATTACCTCAGCGTACTATCGCGGTGCTGTTGGTGCACTGCTCGTCTACGATATTGCAAAGCATTTGACGTACGAGAATGTGGAGCGATGGCTGCGGGAATTGCGTGATCATGCTGATCAGAATATCGTTATAATGCTGGTGGGCAATAAGTCCGATTTGCGACACTTGCGCTCGGTGCCGACGGATGAGGCGAAACTGTTTGCGGAGCGCAACGGTTTGAGTTTCATAGAAACCTCAGCCCTAGACTCGACGAACGTTGAAACCGCATTCCAAAATATACTCACAGGTGAGGAGTTGAGAAATGCACAATTATGAGTTGAGGCAATCCACTGATATTAATCGCAATTTGCTTGCAGAGATCTATCGTATTGTGTCGCAGAAACAGATCAGAGATCCACCGGAAGGCGATGTGATTCGTCCCTCGAATGTGGAACCCATCGATGTAAAGCCGACTGTTACAGCTGATGTACGCAAGCAGTGTTGTCAGTGACCGCCCCAAGGAATCGCCGCCGCCGCAGCAGCAGCAGCCCCCCGCAACAACAGCCAGAACAGTAATAGCAAGAGTAAATGCAACAGCAACAACAACAACACCAACATCAATAATTACAACTATAACAACAACGGCATTAGATGTTATTTTTTAAGCCACAGCCACAACAAGCAGTTTGTCATGTATGCATAAAAAATCAACTACCAACAATAACCGCAACATCAAAAAACAACATCAACATCCGGCTGTAGTTAACTGCAGTTTAAACTGAAGTTTTATATATATAAATATAAATATTATATGGCTCCTTGATGTCTGAAATAAAAATATTAAAAAATACGAGAACACCACTAAAACACTCCAAATTCAGTTTAAGCTGTAGATGTAACTATAATTTATATAAATATACATAAATGCTAATATTAAAAAATATTAATATTAATTTTCGCAACATATTAAATATATAGTTGTAATTTTCAAAGAAAAACATACAAACAACCACAAACAATTGCTACGTACGTTCTATTAGGCGCCGCATTGTTTTCCAGCAAATTAGACATATTTAACTCTGGCCCTATATCATTAATGTCTATTTAATTGAAATTTACCTCTTTACCTATTCCCGATTTGTCAGCGTCGGAGCTGCTTTTGTCGTTGCAAAATTCCTTTTATTTTCGGTTAATGTAATACCTGTTTTTTACGTATGAGAAATAAAAGTGAACTTAAATCTATAAATTGCAATTAGTTTTAACAAATAATATATAACAAAAAAGCATGTGCAGAAACTTTTACGTCTACTGAACCACACACGAATTCTTCAAAACTAGCTGATAATAATAACAGTTGTAAAACTCGAAAAATGCAGAAACAGCAACGGCAACATAAAGAGAGGAAGGGAAAAAAACAAAATTATCAATTTGTGTTTGCTATGTTGTGTGTGATTAAATAAATATAATTTAAATAAATCAAGCTTAGTTTTGATTCCTGAATAAAATAATAAATAGAACAAGCGGACGGAAAAACGATTCAAAATGATATTGGATCATCATATAGTGTTACCATATTGCGAAAATTCTTACGATTAACTGACCACCCTATGTTTTGTAAATAAATCTATCGATATATTTATATTTGTGTTGCCGTATTTGGTGAATGCCATCACAGGGAATAAACACGTGCGATTGCAAGTTCGCTTTAATTTGTTGTTACTAAATAAACATGGGTCGCGGTAAAAAGAAGGTGCACCCAAAAACACGAACAGCGGCCTTTAAGGCGAGCGAACCCAGCGAAATTGTCGAAGCACCCCACTCCTTCATCATACATCGCGGCCTCTCTTGTCCATATATATTGGATTTGACGCTTGATTTTCGGCGCATTATGGAGCCATTTACGGCGACGAATTTGCGCGAGAAGAAAATTAATCGCATCAAGGATTTCGTTAGCCTGAGCAGTTTCTTTCACGTCTCGCACATGGGCATCTTCAACAAGGCCTCCACACAGCTATCCTTCAAAGTGGTCCGCCTGCCCCGTGGTCCCTCGCTAACTTTCAAGGTTTGTTGTTGTGCTTATTCTTTTGGCTTTGCTAATTCCTTGTTGCGTTCAACAGGTTCATCAGTTTACACTCGCTCGGGACGTCATCTCGTCCAGTAAGAAACAAATGATGGATGTCGATCACTTTAAGCATCCGCCACTGGTCATCATGAATAACTTTAGTGGCGATGGCAAACACCTGAAATTAATGGCAACCACATTTCAAAATATGTTCCCATCGATCAATTTGGCCCAGGTGAACATCGATACGATACGACGTTGTGTTCTCTTCTCCTACAATCCAGAAACAAAGCTGGTGGAGATGCGTCACTATTCGGTGCAGGTGGTGCCGGTGGGTTTGAAGCGATCCGTTCAAAAATTAGTCAGCGCCAAGTTGCCAAATCTGAACAAATGCAATGAGGTCGTTGACTTTGTCACTAAGTAAGCAACAACCAAATATGTTATAACATTTACGATCATTAACGATTTCTTCAATTGTAGAGATGGTTATGCCTCGGAATCGGAGGCCGAGGACGATGAGCAATCGCATGTGGTGCTGGCGCAAACCCTGAAGAGCAAGGGCAACCTGGAGGACTGTAAGAGTTCGGTGAAGTTGCATGAAATTGGGCCGCGTCTAACGATGCAGCTGATTAAGATCGAGGAAGGTTTGCTGACCGGTGAAGTGCTCTATCACGATCATGTTATCAAAACCGAGGATGAGAAGGACACGCTCCGCAAATTGGTTGAAAAGAAACGTAAACTGAAGGAGCAGCGCAAGAAGCAACAAACCGAGAATCGTGCACGCAACTTGCAACTGAAGAAGGACCAGGATAGAGCAGCAAAACGAGCAGAGGCCGAAGAAAATAATGTTAGCGATGATGATGATGCACAATATTACAAGGATGAAGTGGGCGAGGAGCCAGATGAAGGTGAGCCTTCTCTTTGCTCTTCTTTTGTCTTTTCTGTGCTTATTTTCATTATTTTCGATCTGTTTTCCAGAACTCTTTAAGCACGAAAATTCAACGTCTCGGAAGAGAACCCGTCTACCCGGCGGCATGAAGTATAAAAATAAGAAACCAAAAGTGGACAACAAATCTGGCAAGAAGTGGAAATCCAAGTAGCGCCTGTAATAACTACATATATAAGCTATTATTTTTATTAAATGCCTAGTTATATAAATATATATATTTATTGTTGTGTTGCATTCAGCTAAACATGCGCTGCACAACCTCCTTGTAGTTGGCATTGCTGTTCTTCCAGCTGGCCGCAATTTGGCTACGCAGCTTGCTAAATTCACGTTTCGCCTCATGGTTCGGGACACGCTCAATGATCTGATGAGCCTTTTCGAATTCCTTGAGATGATAGTAGGCCAACGCCCGTCGATACATGCTCTTCTCGCTCGGATTCGATTGAGTTTCCACAAAGTCGGTGTGGTAGATGACATGCTCGTAACGCTGCTCGAGCAGCAGACACGCTGCTAGATTCGTTTGGATCTGTATAAACAATGTCTCCATCTCGGCTCCATCGATGCCATTCGTCTTTTTGTCTAGCGTTTTGAAGGGTTTGTATGTTATGAGCAGCTGGGCGGCACGTGAAAAATAATCAAAAGCAAATTTGGGATAGGACTTGAACATAGCAACGCCGTTCTCCTTGTAGCGCAACGCCAATTTATGAATCTCTGCTGCGTTCAATGTCTCCACGTGTGTATTACTGGTAATTCGATCGAGCTTCAGTTCGAATTCCAGTTGCTCGCCGGTTTTGGTTGCAATGCTGCAAACGGCAGTTTCGCCGGGCAAAAACTGCTGCAACAGCAACTCCAAATAGCAATCGATTGGGGTCACAGCCGATCCCATCTTCATGGCATGCTGCTGCATCTCGGCGCAATTCAAATATTTGGTGGGTCTGCTTCCCACACACGATTTGTTTACGGTAAAGAGCACGCTGCTAACCGCAAGTGGTTTCTCCACAGTCTGAAAGTCCAGCGATAGCACCTTTTTGTGCAAGCCACGCATCTCATCGCTCCACTCGTTGCCAATGTACCAATTCATGGCTAAGCTAGTTTGTCAACACTTATTTATCAAATTCGAATAAGTTGTAGCTATTTATAATGTCTGTTTCACTTAACAACAGATACTTAACAGCGACTGTTAACAAATTCAAGGTGTGACCAAACTACAATTAAGATTCAACACTAGCAGCAGATAACAAACACTCCTAAATAATATCAGTTGTGTATTTTACAAGACAATCTTAAGCTTGTATGTGTGCATAGCGGCTGAAAATTATAAATTAACTAACAAAAAAGAGTCTAACTAAATTAACCTCATTAAGTAAAAGTCAACACTTGCGCTAACAAAAATTCCAGATAAATAATTTCGTTAATGAAATCAGTGTATTTTACAAAACTAGTTTAAGCATAATGACTGAAAAGTATAAATTAGCTTATATTATAAACCCAATTTCTAAGTCACCATAACAAATATCAAATATTATTGTCGCTATTCAAATGACTCGGAGTGCACTCACAAGCCTCTGTTAACATGTATAAAATACGCCATCAATTTATCCAGCACGCTAAGAGCGTATCTCAGCTGTTAAGCAGAGCAGCAGCAATGAGTTCTCAGCCCCAGGTTTATGTAACCCGGCCCGATGTCGATATCAGTGGACTTGAATTGCTGCGGAAAAGGTTGTTGCAGTCGCTGGTGCTTGCATTACATATTTTGACTATACATTGATAAGTTTTGTTATTATTATTATTTTAGTTGCAATGTGACGACTTGGTCCCAGGCATTGCCTGTGCCACGTGACGAACTGTTGCGTCAGATCAAAGGCAAGGATGCTCTTTATTGCGCCCTAACGGATAAGATTGATGCTGCTGTGTTGGATGCAGCTGGGGAGCAATTGAAATGCATCGCAACAATCTCTGTGGGCTATGAGCACATCGATGTGGACGAGTGCCACAAACGTGGTATACGCGTTGGCTACACACCCGACGTTCTCACCGATGCCACCGCTGAGCTGACGCTGGCTCTCCTCCTGGCCACCAATCGACGTCTCTTTGAGGCGAACAAAGAGGTCTACAACGGTGGCTGGAAATCGTGGGCACCCATGTGGATGTGTGGCCATGGGCTAAAGAATTCGCGTGTGGGTTTCTTTGGTTTTGGACGTATTGGCCAGGAGATTGCGGCACGCATTGTGCCTTTTAAACCAGCTAAGATCACCTATACGACGCGCACCGCTCGTCCAGAGGAGGCTGCCAAGGTGAATGCTGAACATGTCAGCTTTGATGAAATGCTCTGCTCATCGGACTTTATTGTCGTCAGCTGCGCTCTAACCCCGAACACCAAGGAGATTTTTAATGCGGCCGCCTTTGAGAAAATGAAAACCAATTGCATTTTCATCAATACGGCGCGCGGTGGCGTCGTCGATCAAATGGCACTTTGTGAGGCGCTGCAAGCGAAGCGCATCCTGGCTGCTGGGCTGGATGTCACCACACCAGAGCCATTGCCCCTTGATGATCCACTGCTAAAGCTGGATAATGTTGTGGTGCTGCCCCATATTGGCAGCGCGGACATCGAGACACGCAAGGAGATGTCACGCATCACGGCCAGAAATATATTGGCTGCTCTACAAGGATGCGAAATGGAGGCAGAGGTCAAATAGCGTGGGTTTTTTTTCTAAGAAATTCAAGCTTGACGGCTGAGCAAATGAATAAATGAAATAAAACTGTTGAAGACTGCATTATATTTTCTTTAAAGAAGCCGCCAGAGCGATATCCGATATATGTACCACAATCAAATTGATCGATTTATGTATATATCTGTATTCACGAATGCGAATTTTCTACATGCACTGCTCGATTCATTTTATCCATTACCATTTTTGGTCGCATTTTCTATTTTGCTGTTATGATTAATCGATAATGTTCTGTTATGACACGATTAATTATCGTTACAGGAATTATGTGAAGTCAAGTGGCAATTCAAGCCTACTTCGTAGTTTTTCTACAAGGATAGCCGCTAGCTAGAACCAATTCGATTCTTAAGCCATTTCGCAATAGATTGTAATAATGAACACAATTTTTAATTCAATTAAAAATGAGTCGTTTGTTTCGATAAGAAAAAGAAGTGCTCACTGTTAATAATAGCTGAGCGAAATGTTAAGTTAACAGCTAACGCCATTTTTTTTTCTCGTTCCTTCTTTTTGCTGTTTCAGCGCGTGGCAGTTGTGGTCCCGGTTCGGTGCTGTTGTACATTGCATTTTTGCAAGGAATTTGAACTCTCATCTCTTTAAAAAACACCAACGCCAAGATGAAAATCTACAAGGATATCATAACCGGCGACGAGATGTTCGCAGACACCTACAAAATGAAACTGGTCGACGAGGTTATCTACGAAGTCTATGGAAAATTAATCAGTCGCAGCCAAGGCGACATTCAGTTGGCCGGATCCAATCCGTCGGCAGAGGAAGCCGATGAGGGCACGGATGCGACTACAGAGTCTGGCGTTGATGTCGTTATGAATCATCGTCTGATGGAATCATTTGCCTTCGGCGACAAGAAATCCTACACCCTATACCTGAAGGATTACATGAAGAAGGTGCTAGAAAAGCTGCAGGAGAAATCACCCGACCAGGTTGATGTCTTCAAAACCAACATGAACAAAGCCATGAAGGATATTCTTGGCCGTTTCAAGGAGCTGCAATTCTTCACTGGCGAATCGATGGACGTCGATGGCATGGTTGCAATGTGCGAATATCGTGATATCAATGGCGAGAGCGTTCCAGTACTGATGTTCTTCAAGCACGGACTCGACGAGGAGAAATGCTAGGCGCTTCCACTCCTCTCCTCTCTCTCTCTCTCTGTGTGTGTATGTTCTATGTGGTTTGCATTGCGGCAACAATAACAACAAGCAACGCCCAATGCGGACACACAAAAGAAGAACAAGAGCCAGCAATGAATGTACATACATCCATACATACAACAGACAGCAGACAGACAAACATACTCAACGCAAACCAACCTATTACATATTTCTAACGGATTTCTTTAGTTACAGTTTCTATTTTATTTGGCAACAGTTCGAAATTTATGTTTATGTTTTATACAAAGTCCAAATTTTTCGATTCGATTTATGATTAATTTCGATGTATTATGTACAGGAATCAATGAATATAACTGTTAATTGTAACAAATTGAGCAAAATTTGAAGTTGTAGCATAAGGTCAACTAGGGAATCAGAGCAAGACCAAACCAGACCGAGCACAGTGTCACGCAGTAGCTAAAAAATAACTAAATTATGGTAAAACTATTGTAATTGATGAAAACAAAAAAAGTCAAAGCGGTGTAATTTAATATTTTTATAGCAACAACGCAATTTTTGTATACTTTCGTTTACGTTTTGAATACGGAATGTCAAAAACCAAAAAAAAAAAAAAACATGATAACCAGAGGAGAAAGTAAGAACATTTGTATGTACTAAAAAAAAACATTAAAACGGAAACCATATACACAAACTGATATCTGAAAAGTATTTTTATTTTGTGACGGCTTTTTCGCCTTCACATTTTTCACACAGGTTGTGATTGCAGCTGTCAACGAAACGGCAAGAAAATTATATATCAACGGTAATTAATTCTTCCTCTTTGTATGCCAGTGACTCAGACAAGGCAAATTTGTATTTGTATGGAGGGTTTGGGCAATCAAAGAGTTATTGACCTTTGACAGTGATACATGCGAGTTGCCGTATATAACTTGCTTGTCATGCGCAATGTATGTACAAGAATTCGACCCTGTTGTTTTTTCATGCACCACTGTTATTATATTTGTCCCACATTTTGTGCGATTTGCTGCAGTCAACATAACCTCAAACAGCTGCATACCGTTGTTTAGCTGTGCAAAGCAGAAATATACTTAAGGTTGAACAAATGTGTGTATGTAGGTGTTTGTTTTTCTGTGTGTGTGTGTGTATTAGCTATCTTTCGATGTGATTTCTTTGTCGTCTGTGTCAGACACATTTACACTTTTACGTGCATGAGTGTGAGTAAATGCGCACCTATACATACGAAGGCACGTGTATACCTGTTAGATCGCGTGTGCGTTTGGTACAGTGAGAGTTGCCTACAACGAATTTAATTTGTTTATGTGTGAAACTTAGACAAGGGTGTAAATTTGACAAAAGCTCAAAATTAAAAGCAAAACTAGTTAAAAATTAAATAAAATAATACAAATTGAAGATATTTTTTAACCGACTTGTGTTAATCGAGTCTTGAAAAAAATACTTACATATATATATATATCCATATGTATATTATACACATATTTCAAGTATGATTTAGTTAACCAATCTCTGAAGTGCTTTAAAGTGATATGTTGTAAGATTCACATTTTATCTATTTACTGATATAATATAGAAATCAAATTTAAATACTGAAATATCCCCCTTTTGAAATTCAATGACAGTTCTTCGTTCCTTCCTTTAGATGTTTCATTGGATTCGTCACATTAACTATTCACCTGCCATGTCTTCAAAAATCGAGAATTATATTTGCAAGGTTATCGACCCATTTCACCATAAAAAAAAAAACAAAGGGTCCTTTGTCACTTTGTCACCCAGTTCAATCCATTCCAATTTATGAAAATACAACCAATTCTGTATGTGTAAAAAACGCTATTAACAAATTCTTTTTTATTTCGTTCATCATTTTGATGCAGCAAAACTGTGGTAAATTGCAGTTGGCTTTCATTGCAATTGCTTCTTTTTTCATTTCCATTTGGATAATGGAAGTTTTGGAAAGTGCTTCAGTCAATTTTTGTTTTATAAATGTTTAGTATGTATGTTTGTTCTTTTGAATTGAAAAAATAACTGCATGTATCATTATGAATGCACAGTTTTTCGGTCTTATATATATTACAATTATACTAAGTTTCTATATAGGCAGCCATTGCTGCATTGTTGCACTACGTTCACTGTGCTTTCGCATCGATAATATTGGAATGAATCATCATTTTAACAAGATGGCAGAAAAAAACATAAATTAACAAAATTTTCAAAAAATTACTCGTATAAGTTAAGGTTACATTTTACAGCTGATTTTTGAATAACTAAAATTTAGGTGTAGAAAAGCACATAATTATCATATCGTTCTACAGTATACACACATATAGACACGACACACGCTGCTCAATATGTACATAGTAGTCATATATTTATATAAATATGATATATGGGTATTATTCAGCTCAATATCATCACACATAGTCGAGCTGTATGTAGATCTGTTTGACGCCAACCGCCTCGAATATCATGCGCGTATGCGTCACAACATATGTGGGATCCACATTTTTGGATACCTCCAGCTTGATGGCACCCACATAGACATCCGAGCAGAGCGTCCAAAAGTGCGGCTCCTGCACCGAATAGACGCCGGCCAATCCCGTCACCTTCTGATAGCACTGCAGTAGCGAGCGATCGAGTGCCGATGGCTGTCGTTGCATCAGTATCAATATGGACTCCTTGATTAAGCTGAGCACGCTCAGCGCAATTAACAGCGCTATGAATATGGAGCAAATGGGATCCGCTATCATCCATCCAAACATTTGCATTAGCACGGCCGAAATGATGACGCCCACCGACCCGAGTGTATCGGCCAGAATATGCAGAAAAACGCCACGCATTATCTGTGAATTGCTGCCGCTGGAGAGATCATGCGAATGTCCATGGCTGCCATGATCGTGCGAGTGTCCATGACCTGAGAAAAGCAACTTAGAGTCTTAAGCAGACAGAAAAAGCCACAATATGCCCGAGAGTTCACTCACCATTATCCAATGAGATTGCCTGATGATTGTGATTGCTGAGATCGTTGTGGCTGTGTGAGTGTCCATGACTGGAGCCGCCGCCGCCGCCACCGTGTGAGTGTCCATGTCCACCGCCGCCGTGCGAGTGACCATGACCGCCATGATTAAATGCATAGATGCCCACAAGATTGACGAGCAGCCCCAGCACGGAGACAACGAACAGACGCTCGTGCTTAACCTCCGGCGGCTCTATCAGCCGCTCAACGCCCTCCGACAATATGAAGAAGGCAATAAAGAGCAGAAATAAACTATTCACAAAGCCCGCCAACACCTCGGCACGCACATAGCCATAGGAGAACTTATCATTGGCTTTCCATTTCGTAATGACCGAGGCGGCCAGACCAGCCAGCAGACCCGTGCAATCGAAGAACATGTGAAACGAGTCCGAGATGAGACCTACAGATAAGTAATGCGTAAGTAACTGTCAACAATGGATAAGATTATACAGTGGTCTCTTGAAAATTATGATTTAAAAGTGCTTCTAATTCACAAATATCTAATTCTAATTCTAATCTAGTCAAATTCATTTTGCGACTGATTATTGCAATGTTGCTATCGTTATATGATTGATTTGGAAGTATTTCTAACTCGAAAATATCTATTTCTAATTTAATAAAATTCAGTTTGCGACTGATTACTCCTATAGAGCTCTAGATAATAGATATTATCTTTCGATCCTTGGATGCTAAGGATTTCTCTATATATAAACAATCTCAATAGTTACACTATTTTGTTGGAGCTTTGTTATACTCTCGGCTACACAAAAGGGTATGCAACATTTACGCAAAACAATTTCAAAATTCAAATTTCGACTCTAGTTTCTAATTTAGTTGCTATTTTCGAGGAACCACTGTAAGGCTTTATGGTTTAAGTACGAACCCAAACTATTTGTTAGAATGCCATAGAAGAGCTCAACGAATGCGAAACTCAAATTGAGCAGCAGAAAGAGAAACAAGTTGCGCGAATTGCGATCGGAGAAGATGAGTCGCTTCCAGCTGTTCAGTTTCTCCTTGACGCGATAGCCAAAATTGCTGCGATCCTTATGCGTTAACGGTATCATATTGGCGGCACGTGCGCTGGTATCATAAAAAGAATTAAACAATAAAAGTAGCACAAATTACACATGTTATCACACACACACACACACACAAACACACGCTCAGATATATTTTCTTTAATTGTTTGCATACGTGGAATTATCGCTGTGTTTAGCTGTTTCCGCACTCCAGCTGGCGCTGCTTCTGCTGCTGCTGCTGTTAATCGCTCAACACTTGCGGCACTCAAGAATTTCTCTGCGGCGTCGGCGGCAACTTTCGTGTCAATAAAATGGCACGTAAAGCTTCGTGCTACGTCAATGTGTGGATCTGACGGCCGCTTATTTGCACAGGTGTTGGCAGAGCCGTTGTGGCTTTTGTTGTTTTGTTTGGTTTTATTTAGCACATGTAATTTAATTCATTTTTCGAAATTCATCGAAAAAGATTTAACCCGTACCAATCTGCCGTGTTGTCATCAAAATAGACGTCTACGTATCCCAGTAAACATTTATTGTGACAAAAAGAAGTCAGGGTTGCACTTCACTTAACAGAATTGCCATTCACACAGAACCATCGACGTTCAGTTGTTCTGCGAAATTTCAAGGCTTATTTTACAACATATTCTTTAAAGCTCAAAGTTGTTTTGACTATGCATATATATTTTCGTGCTTAGAGAGGCAGATTAATTATTGGCATTCGCCTACTCAGAACGATTAAACAGCTGTTCAACTTTTATTTATAAGAAACTACAACGATTAAAACCAATTTTAAGTGCCTGTTTCTACTTAAATTCATTCATTGCTTGGCAAGTTGTGCACCAATTGCATTAGCCAAACAAGAACTGAGCACTGTTAATAACATACTTGTATATAATAAGCATCGGGTGCTCCACATCTGCAACTAACCGATAACAGAATGTAGGCAGATGAATCAGTTCAGTGAGCAATTTTGTTGTTGTTCACAAATCCAAACCAACACCAAACAATAACAAAATTTGTACACACATATTCCTTACATCAAAAAGCAAGTTTATTCAACATACTTCCACTACACATAGCAGAATCTTAGTTATTTCCATACAATCAATTGTAATCATGATAGCGTGACACTGAAGATGTGTGGTAAAATATGTTTACGCCTCATCACCCTTGGTGGCACGTGTGTAGATGACCTGGGAATGATGTTGCACGACCTGCTTAATCAGACCTGAAACCCAAAAAAAAAATACATACATTACAAACATTGTTTGAAATTCTGTTAAAAGTTTGGAATATTTACCCTTTTCGCGCAGCTCAATCAGGGCACGCTTGGCCAGAGAGCCACGGATCTTCAAACGCTCGGACACAACCGAAGGGGTGATCAGTTTATAGGCGGGCACTTCCTTGTACAATTTCTCGTAGGTGGCCTTATCGAACAGAACTTGATTGTTCAGCTTATCCCTGACTTTGCCCTTGGACCACTTCTTCTTCTTGGCCTTGCCGCCGCCGGAGCCCTCCTTCTTTTTTTGTGTCTTTTGCGGCTGCTTGGCCGACGACTTTGCGTCCTTCTTAGGCGGCTGTTATGAACATAAACATAAACAAGGATAAATTGAGAGATTGCTGGAGGGAATGTATAAATAATTTGCATGCACATCTGATTGTAGAACATCGCTTTTCGAGGTTATGGTGTTCTCATGTTTATTTGCTGCACGCACGGTGGGTTTAATACATTAAATTCAGCAGTAACTGCAAATTCTTTGATAGCACAACACTTTGACTGCAGTTTATTATTGTAAATGCTTCACTTAATTGCCGCTTTCGCATTGAATACCATTTATTTTCAATAAAAAACCATAGCAGCCGAACTCACCATCGTGAAAACCCAATGCAGAAAGATGGAGGACGGAAATTGATAGAGTTACCATGCTTCGTTAAAATTTACAGAGTTGTATCCCACGACTATCGCAACGCTAACCGGCAGGCAATCGATAGTTATTTCAAAGGCGGCAACCCATCTATATATTGCTTGGCGTGTGTTCCATCATTTCATTAGGAAAAGTAACAAAACCATAGTTGGCTGATCGAACTGATTAAATCCGACAGAAGAGCAGATGAGATAGTTGCAATTGATTAGTTATTTTTGTTCACTGACCAATATGGACGTTAACGGAACAATGGAGCGTCGCTTCAGCCTAAGCAACTCTCCGCGCTTAACAAACCCCATTGCGGATTCCACATGGATTGATGGCATGCCTGTGTAAGTAGCAAGAACGGCGTATATTTATATACATGTGTATGTATATAAATTATTAAATTGTATTTTATAGCACACAGCGAGCAGCGGCGCGCCAGCTATATAGAAACCTAAGTGGCGCGCAGCGCAGCAACTCGAGCAGCTGCTTAAGCAATGGTTACACAAATGAAACGCCGCCAAACAGATATCTGCATCAGACATCGAGGACCTCCACAAGCATATCTAAAATGACACGCCAAAAGCTAAATCTCAGCCAGCTTGATCCCAAGTAAGTAATTCTGGAATGTTCCATTTGTATACAAATTGATGGAAACTGGTTTTAGCATTTCATTTAATATGTGTTTCCTTCATTAAATATGTCTGCTCGAACAAAAATATGCTTTTATATTATATTCCAATGCATGATAAGGCAATTTGCAGTTGGGCACAGCGTATACATCAGTCGTTCATTTACGATTAGGGCTCATCTAATTAAAGTCTAGAGTTTTAGTACTAATCAAATCATTTATACTTGCCCCACAGAACCTATGCGGATGTGCACAGCAGCGGATTGACCTCACGCATTGCTGGTTACCAGCAGGAGAGTAGTCGTGGCCTGCAGCGCAGCATGTCCTACAACAATGTGTACAATCCGATGACACTGCCACGACGGATTGCTCCATTAAATAAGCGCGTACTGCCTGCGGTATCGATAACGCACATTGCGCCGCCCGAGCGTAGTTTTTTCTGCGGCAGTACGTTGCCCAGTCTGCTGCGCTCGAATTCGCTGCTGGGCGTGGAGAAGAACACCGAGCAGTTGTCGCGCGAGAATCGACCCATAATGCATCCGCCGCCATTGCAGCATGAAAGCGAACCGACGCGCAGCGTCCTCGAGGAGCTGAAGGAGATTTCGCGCAAGCGAATCAACAGTGGCGTAAGTCTCAGTTTAAATACCGCAGTGCGTGGCTTGGTGATTGACTTGAGCTGTTTGCAGGAAATACAACCGAATGATTTCAAAAAGAGCTGCAGTCGTATGACTGATTACGTTGATCATCATCATCATCATCCACAACAGCAGCAGCAACATCAGCAGCAGCAGCAGCAGCAGTTGTCCATGTTGCAGCTGCAGTCGGGCCTTAAGCGGCAGCGTGAACTTACTGTTACGGTGCCTCTGCGACAGTATCATTCACCAATATCGCTGTCTCACCAGCTCCATCAACAACAACAACAACACCATCAGCAGCATCACCACCAACAGTTTCAAATGTCTGGACATCATTATTCAGTTAGCGTTTCGCCGGAGCAGCTGGCCAAACGTCGAAATTGCAGTCACAGCAATGAAATTGCCGGGTCTCTCAGCTCCAGCAAGCTGCTCAGCAGCAAGCGCCAATTAAACTCATCCACCGTTAGCGGCAGCAGCAGCAGCAGCTCGCCGGAAAGCTCACCTCGCCAACAGGTGGCGAAAATACAGCGCAATCAGAGCAACACAATCAATCTACATCTGGAGCATTTGACGAGAGCGCAAAGTGTGCCGATTACACCGCTGCCGGCAACGCCTGCACAGCGCACACAGTCCGCGCCCGAGCCCAATCTGCAGGCGGTACCAAAACCGGAGACGCCCGCCAAACCAAAACTGACATTGTTCAATGCATCGCAACATCAAAAACAACAACAGCAGCAGCAACAGCAGTCGCAGCGTGAGCAAGAATTTGATCTGGACAGTCCCGATGTGGATGCCAGCGAATATGCGGGCATACAATTTGTCAAGCCGAAGCAACAGAATGCGCTGGGCACCCAAAAGAATTCCAATTTGGAGCGTACACAAAAAACCAAGCTGGCGCTTATGCTAAGCAGTTTGAAGGGTGAAATCTACCAGGATGAGACGGACTTGTCTGACGAGCCGGATGCGATGACCACGCCCATTAAACCAACGACAATTGCAACAACAAGAACAGCTACACTAACAACGGCAACAGCAACAACCACAACCACAAAGCCAATTATACTGGGTGTAAAAACCATTGCGCCAGCGCCAACAATTTCAACAGCAAACACCGCAGCGACAACAACAACTACAATAACAACAACAACTACTATAACAACAACAACAAGCAATACCTCTTTACCGTTGCTTTCATTTAACACAACAGCTAAAAGCACCGCATCAGCAACAACGGCAACAGCAGCAGCAGCAGCAGCAACAGCAACAACATTAATGACAACAGCAAACAACAACAATGCTTTGCCTTTTCTTTCATTAAACAACGCTGCAGTAATCAAAACACCCAACAAGGAATCATCAACAACTTTGAACACCTCAACAGCCTTTACACTGCCGACAACAACGAGCCAAACAGCAGGCGCCTCACCGACTCTTATTCCAAAACTTAACTTTACACCAACAACAATTGGGACAACAATAACAATGCCGCCTGCATTAAACTTTAACCAGCTGCCAACGATAGCACCAGCAGCAGCAGCAGCAGCAGCAGCAACTACAGTAACAACAACCACAACAACAAGCATCGCGCCAATGTTTTCATTTGGAAATGCAACCACAAAAGCAGCAGCCGCAGTAACAACGACAACCAATACACCGGCGGCTGCACCAGCAATGTTCACTTTTGGCAAGCCCGCAACTGCAGCAACAACAATCAGCACAACAGTTGCATCAGCAACAACAGTTACAGCAGCAGCAACAACAGATGCAAATGCTTCTTTGTTTAGTTTCGGCAATGCGACAACAGCAGCAGCAACAACAGCAGCTACAAGCGCGTCAATATTTAGTTTTGGCAATGCTACAGGTGCAGCGACAGCAACAACAACGGCACCAACAGGCGCAGCAGCTAGCAAACCATTCACATTTGGCAACATCAGCAACAATAATGCAGCAGCAGCAACAGTTGATGCCGCTGCTGTGCCTGCCTTAAAGCTGAATAACTGGACGCAGAAGCCCACAGAAGCCGCGACCTTTAACAACAACGGCAACAATGTCTTTGGCAAACCGGCAATAGTCGCTGAGCCCACAAAACTGTTTAGCTTTGGCAACAGTTCAGCGAATGGGCCAGCTGCCACGTCCGTTGTCGCGTCGACTACCGCGCCAGTTGCAACGCCCGCAGCAACGCCTATTTTTGGTGGAGCCACTGCAGCAGTAGCTGCAAAGCCAGCTTTTAGTTTCGGCGGCGCGGCAACGGCAGCAGCAACAGCCCCGCCCGCTGCTAGCAACGCGAATCTATTCTCATTTGGCGGTGCCACAAGCGATTCAGCTAAGCCTGTGGCAAAAGCAACACCATTTACGCTGCCCAACAGCAGCAGCAACAACACCAGCAATCTATTTAAATTTGGCGACAGCGATACTGGACCCAAAATGACAATAACAACAACAGCAGCAGCGCCAGCACCTGCAGCCAGCTTTAATTTTAATGCCAGAGCAGCAGCAACAACACCAAACCCCAGCAGCACATTCAGTTTCGGTGCCACGCCGAGAGCGACGCCTACGTTTGGCAGCACCAGCAGCAGCAACAACAATGCAACTGCTGCAAAGCCTTTTGCATTTGGCGGTGCCACAGAGCAGCAGCAGCAGGCGGCCGCAGGAACACAGACGCCACAACAACCACGCACTGGCGGCTTCTCCTTTGCTGCAGTGGCGCAGAAAAATGAGTCCACAAACTTATTTGGCTCACCAACAGCAACACCATCAGCAGCAGCAGCTGCAGGAGCAACATCAGCAGCACCAGCAACGGGCATTGTAAAGCCTAGTTTTAATTTTGGAAGTAACTCAACAACACCATCATCAGCAACAGCAGCAGCAACAGCATCGCCCAGTTTCGGAGGTTTTGCGGTGCCAGCAGCGCCGGCGGGCAATCAAAACAAACCATTTGCATTTGGCGCCAGTGCCACGCAAAATAATTCCAGTTCGCCAATGGGCGGCAATCTGTTTGCCAGTGCTGTGGCCGCTGCACAGCAGCAGCAGCAGCAACAGTCAAAGCCAGGCGTCTTCTCATTTAACAGCAACAGCAGAAGCGCTGCATCGCCACCGCAAGCAGCAACTGGAAATGCACCATTTGCATTCGGTGGTGTTACTTCACCAGCGCAGAGCAACAATACCGCTAAGCCGTTTACATTTGGCGCCAGCGCCAACAATAATGCAACGGCCAGCAATGTTTTTGGCAGCCCAGCCGCAGCGCCGACAGCAGCATCTCCTGCGAGCAGTGGAGTCTTTAATTTTGGTGGCACCACAGCTGCACCGCGCATGCCAACCACACCGCAGCAGCTCAACAGTGGCAATTTCTTTGCGCCGCCAAGCACCCCCGAAAATCGACCCATTCGACGAGCAACGCGACGCCTGCAAAAGTAGAGCTCAAAATTCGCTTAAATTTCTTTTAGCTTTAATTTTGATTATGTTTGAGTGACCGCTGTTAAAGAATTTCAAATAAAAATGCTTAAGAAATGATGTGTAAATAAATGCTAAGTGCTTAACAACAACAACAAGCGACTTTATCTATTTATGTATTCCTTGTTCCAAATAAGAATAAGCAAAGCAGATATTTTCGATCTTGCCTGGGATATTTAAAGGACATTTAAATCAATCTGCTGTCCGACTCAATCCAATTTTAATTTACTATTTATTAGAGCAAGTAATATCACTGATTCGGTAAGTGGCAATAAAATTTTCCGGTTTTGACTTGACGGACTTGACTAATTTTATTGCTAGATCGAGTTGATATTTATATTTATATTATTTAGCCTTCTTGATTGATTTCCATCTTTTTACGTTAGCGATCTTAGATTGAAATTAGAACTAAAAGAGAATTTGTAATCTACAATTATCTGAAAAAAAAAGTGTTGTTGTCTGTGGCTGCTGTTGCAGTTGCCTCTTTTTGTTGATCAAATGATGTCTATTTAAACAAAATGAATCAAGATCTTAGTTAGCTAATAGGAAAAATGATTTGCGCGAAATTTGTTTATAAGCTTGTTCAGTCATGCTTTTATTTGAGTTAAGGTATTAAGTTCATTATTTCGATTATTGTAATGATTTTTATGTCCTTTGATCATTACGTATTCATAAACAAATTGAATACTGTGATTACTAAAAACATAAGAATGTACAACGACGCAATCCAGAGGAGTACTTACAAGCTGAAAGGCATAAATTCTATATTTTCACAAATAGTATGAAAATTGAAAAACAAAATATCGAAGTTTTAAACAGTAGTGGTTCAAAATGGTACAAATATTTATATACACGATATATGTTGTTGAAGAAGGAGAGTTGTATAGAAATTTAAGACGATCTGCTGCTTGGGGTATTCAATTCAAAATATTGATTTATTAAACTTTGTTATTGCTTACAAATTGTATAACATTTAATTCAATTACTTCGAGCTTATAAGCAAATTTATTGTGTTCACAAAAAAAATATTTTTTTTTCCTGATTAAATATTATTAAATGAAATTTTAGTGCCAGTTTAAAAATAATTATTGATCACTTTCACAGTAAAAACAACAAACGCTTCAAAGTCGCTGATATAATGAATGACAACTTTAAAAAACCCGTCGGGCATACGTTCCGGAAATCCGGAAGTCGGCTGAGGAACACACTTATCAAATATTATAGATTCGGTAAACGGCGTATCAAATCGATTTTTAAACAGTGTCGCATTCGAGCATTCGTGGAAAGTTCCATAAAACATATCATTATAGTATATATCCATATATTCGTAGAACGGCATTTTTGGTGTATGAAAGGGTAATTTAAAATAAGTGTTTTCAGCTCCACTATATGATTGAAAACAAGTAATTTCAATCTGTTAATAAAAGAGATCATATTTTATTTTATTTTGACAATTGGTAGGGCCAATCAATTACCATGAGATCATTAGAATCACATTGCCAAAACGCCAGTCCAGAAAGTACAGATTTATTTCGCGATATTCGTTCGACTCTCAGATTATATTTAATCTTACTCTCATCCGTGGAGTTACTAGTTACATCAACCAGTTCTATCTGATAATTTATCTGTAATCCAGATGGTTTTATACTCAATTATCTGCAATCCATATATTCCTATACTCATAGAGTCCTTGTAGTATAAACATACCTTGCCAATAGTACTGCCACATAGAACCAGTAATAGCACTGTTACGGTGAACGCAAAGAACATTTTACGGTTTTGCTTTTGGTAAAGCACAGATGGATCCAAAACAATCGGTTTGGTATTTATAGAACGAAAACCTGCTCGATTTCCATCAATTATTGTTATATGGCGTATTAGATAAGCGATCTTAGATCGAAAATCGCATTATAAACGTGTTTTTAGAACGGAAACGGAACGCAATCTATACAATTACCTGAAAAATTTCGCAATAACTATCGCTATTATCAATTTACAATTTGCTACAGATACATTTAATTGATAAGAAAAAACAAGCAATTAATTTTTCACTTTTATTAAAAGTTTTATATCCTTTTCAATCTCAATCTCCAACTGCATTCTTTTTAAGTATTACGTGTTCGTGCGATTTTTTTGTATACAATTTTTCTTTTTTTGCTAACTTAGAATTTGTTTGACAAAAGTGTTTTTTTTTTTTGATTACTCTAAATTTGTTTTGTTTTTAAAAAAGTAATAACTTTAAAATTAAATTAAATGTAAATCATGTGGACGTTTATGTGTGTGTGTGTGTCGATGTGTACATAAAATAAAATAAAAGTAAGTGTTAAAGCAAAATTGTACAAGTTTCTTATAGAATAAGAAACATATAAAACGTCAAGTAAATTATATATTGATATTAAAATATGCATAAATAAATTACAATTTCCCTTATGCTGCAGGGTGATTCCTCCTTTTGTTTTTAAAGCGGCGTTTGAATATATTAACTATGTATATTATATATTTAAAAGGGGTACAAGAGATTCCACAATTAAATAATGTTATAAACAAATAAGTAGACTGAACAATTGCATTGGGGATTTTACATAGATGAAACTTGCGCGTTTAATTTATATATTATTATTATTATTATTATAATGATTATAAACATTAATCATGCCACATAAGCTAAGTATTTAGGGTTTTTGTTTATGTTTAATGTTTTTATATATGTAATAGTATTAATGTAATGCATCTTTTCACAAGTGTTTTTTTTATAATTGTTTTTTTTTTTTGTTATATTAAATGTTGCAGTTTTTAAACACACAGTCGAAGCTGCCCTCTTAGTTTTGATAGGTTCAAGTCAAATTCAATTTTTAATTTACGTTTTTTTTCTATAATTTTCGCTCATTTTGATTAGACATACTAATATAAATGTAATTAAATTTAACTAATTTGCTGGTTTGCTTCTTTTTTTTTCTTTTTATGTATTTATAATGTTTATCTTCTTCAGCAACTTGTTGTACAAGTTTTCTGTTGCTGTTGCTTGTGCTATAAACAAAAAAATGTCTAACAGAAATTGTACAAAACACATTTTAGAGCCCGAAATCGGAATTTACAAAAACAAAAAGGTTGAAATATAAGCAGTAAATCATTTTTTTCTTCACATTTTTTTTTGTCACAGTGGCTGACAAAAGTATTATATAGCTCAAAACATACAGATTTTTATATATCTATAGAGAAGGGGAGAGTGAGAGAAAATAGTGTGTACAATTGGTTGGAAGGGGACAAACTATAAATACCAACTTCAGATAAAACAATTATGTAGTTTTGTAATAGTAATAGTAAATTACACAGAATTGAAACTCTGCATATGCATATGTATATATACATATATATATGTATATTTAGATATCGATATATAGTAGTTATAGAACGTTAGCTGGGCGCAACTCACTAACATTGCTTGATTGTGTTGGGTTTCTTTCGGTTAAGCTTACAAAAAACTTATCGCATAAATTATATATGTAAATAAATTGTTGTAAATTAGTTATATACGTCTATAGAATTATATATATATATATATATTAATTTTATTATGGGTACGAAAAATTGTTGCGTTCAGTGTCAGTGTTAAATAAATCTTTCGGTCTGCATTGGCGGTATTATCATTTTCATTTCCTGCCCTCAAACTAAAGTCATTTCAAAACATTATTTTCCGTTAGTTGCTGGAACTGTTGTTGCTGTTGTTTCCTTCATTTAGTTATTGTTGTGTGGAGCCTCTCACGCCGTTGCATTATTTAGGTGCTGCAGCTTCACTTTGAGCTCCGCAAATGTTGGCCGCTTCGCTGGATTTAGCTCCCATGCCTGACGCATCATCTCGTAGATTTCGGGTGGGCAGCCCTCGGGTGCTTCCATTTTGTAGCCAACTTCAACGTGCTTCACCACATCCGCCAGTGGCTAAAAAACAATATGTTTATAAATTGTATAATTTAAATATTTCACATATACATACGATTCGGGGATAAGGCACACGTCCAAAGGAGTATATTTCCCATAGAAGTATGCCAAAGCTCCACATATCCGATTTATTGGAGAAGCGCTAAGAGCATAAATAAATTTCAAACATAATTTGAGCAAATTATTATATTAAACATTGCATATTTAGTTATGTATTTAATAGCTTTGTATTTCGATTTACTTACGCCATTTTTGAGTGCCTCGGGCGCTGTCCATTTGATGGGCAGCTTGCCAACATCGAGATTATAGCATTCCTCGCGTGCCAGACCAAAATCGGATACCTTGGCAACACAGTCCTCAGAGATGAGGACATTCCGTGCAGCCAAATCGCGATGCACAACCTTTTTGGCCTCCAGATACTCCATGCCAGAGGCCGTATCGCTACAAAACATTAAACATTTTCAGCATTAATAAACATAATCGAATATCGTATTAAATGAGTCTGCTGGTGCTGGCTTACAAGGCGAAATTGATTTGATCCTTTTTGGTTATGTGCTGTCGTCCACGCGAACGCAAATAATCAACCAGCGATCCTTTGCTCATGTATTCCGTAACCAAGTACAGATGCTTGCTGGTAAAAACAAGGCCAATAAACTTGACCAGATTCTCGTGCTCCAGCGTGCTGTTGGACAAATGGAGAAATTAATTTTAATATATATATATTGTTTTTGGGTAATATGTGTATATATCGCTTACGTCATGACCGATGCCTCGGCGAGAAACTTTTGCACAGCGCCCTCATCTTTGAGCATCTTGACGGCGACCTTCTCGTTGCGCAATATGCCCAACATGACGTCACCGAACTCGCCCTTGCCAATGCTCTCGCGTAGCTGCAGCTCCGCCTCCGGTATGACCCAGCCCTTGTCCACAAATTCTTTGGAGTTAATGCAAAACTCTTGTTTGCCCAACTTGGGCAAACACTTAACAAGCTGAGTGCAAAGACCATCCGCATCGGCCTCATAGTGCTGTGTGACGGAATATACAACAAAAGGCACAATTAGTGTTGCCAATGGAAGTGATGAGGATAAGTAGTCGAACAAGAACTTACCGCGACGAGTTGTCCCAGATTCTCAAAGTATTCCTCATCGTCGATGGTTAATTTATTCTCCAGATATTTGACACGATAGTGTTCCACCTTGCCCTGGAAGCAAACGCACAGCGTGTAATCACCGGGAAAATTTGTCGACTCGCGCACCAGAAAGAGTCCATCCTCACGCGGCTGCAGCAAATGTTCCGCCTCGTCGCGCGTTATGCTGCCATGGAACCAGCTGCGGTAAGATAAACGATTGAGGCGAATTCAATTAGTAGCTGATCGAATGAATGAATTGACTGGCAGTGTTTAACTATTAAAATTTAATCCTTAATATATCTTTCTTTTTTTTTTTGTTGAAACTTACGGCATTGCATTCAGTTTGACCTCACATTTGCGTAGCTGTGGTGCGCCTGTGGGTGACAGCGATGCATGATTCATGGCCGTTGTGGAACCACTTGTCCACTTGTCCATGCTGCCGCCGCCGCCGTTGATATCGAAGCTGTGCAGCGATGTGGACATGCCTGTGTTGTTGCTGCTGCTGTTGCTATTGCTAATGTTGTTGTTGTTATTGTTATTGCTGTTGCTGGCGCTGCTGCTGCTGCCGACGATTGTTGGCTGCGTAGACTGCAGCAGTATATTGTTGCTGCTGCTGTTGCCGCCAGTGCTGCTGTTGCTGCAATTGCCGCCACTCAGCGCTAAACTTTTGGGCGGCAACACGCCCACCGGCGTATGTAACGTTAGCGAGGAGGACATTAGATTATTGCTGGAAGCGCAGTTGGCCAGCAGCTGCATATGTTGCTGCTGCTGCTGTTGTGCGACGGCGGCAACAGCTGCCGCTGTCACAGATGCTGCTGCTGCTGCTGCCTGTTCGGCCTGTGTATGTGTTGCTGTTGTTGCAGCGGGCGCAAATGTTGACAATATACTATGTTGCTGCTGCTGCTGTTGTTGTTGTTGTATTGTCGTCGTCTGCGGCTGCTGTTGCAGTTGCAGTTGCGTCTGATTGGGCGATTTGGGCGAATGATTGTTGATTAAATTATGACTATTTAATGCATGCGCTGCTGCTGCGGTTGCTGCTGGTGTTTGGTGCTGCAACAAAATGAGGCAAGTTCTTAGTGATTTTATGCTTTTATTTGATTTAAGCTATCATGTTAATTAATTCGATTATTGTTATCGCTCTTATGGCCAATAATATAATGAATATTATGATTACTTAATATCCAATTCGTAAATATTGATAAGATTGTGCAATGACGCAATTGGATCACACACCCACAAGGACACCGATCAGCATATTTGAAGCTGAGGCAGGTGAGGTGTGCAGCCACATTATATCCGCTGGTCAAGCAGCATTAAATGTACTTAGAACTTGGACGAACAAGAATTGGGGTAGAGAGGCAGCATAGGAAGACACACAATACGGGTGCAACCTAAGAATGAAGAAAGGCATAGGCGACTACTGAGCTGGGCAGAGAGAGCAGGTGTCAAACAAGCCACAGGTCTTTTAGGCTATAATCGAAAACGATTTACAAATTTAGAATACTCTGCAGTCCCCTCACAGGACACTCTGAACTAGACTAAACTAGATCCAGTCATCAGCCAGCTATGCTGGTTTTTGTGATAATGAGAAAGAACCTTCAATGCAAGTAAATAGCAGATGGCGTCTTATATTTAAAAGATATTGGCCAAGATTCGGATTGAGGGAAAAGCTGTATTCTTAGAAGGCTAAATCCATTTAACAGGTCGCAGTGCAAGACACAATCCAGAGGAGTGTTTACAAACTAAAGAGTATTGTTAAGTTTTAAAGCTTAAACGGCATCAATTGAATGCAATTTGAAGTCTATCGGCAATCGATTTTTATCTATAACTCAAAAACGTAGCAAGTTATCGATAAAATAACATAAAATTGATTAGATGAATTTATATTCCAAGCGTGAAGTGAGGTGTGTGGTGTTTTACATATTTCCCTATTTAGGCCAGCTATCGGATCAGGGGGAGATCGACCGCGCTATACTGACTGGTAGGCAAGTGAGCAGTAGTTTATATTTCTGTCTGTCAAGTTGACCGCCAGCAGACGTCGCCTATTTTACAATAACCTGACACTAAAATATGAGCTCAATTTATATCGATAGATAAGTGGATCAGAATAAGTGAATTTCAAAAAGTGCGGTGCTCAATGAGTGCGCTGCTGACTTACCACATTGTTGTCGCGATGATGATGATGATGCGGCGGTATGCTTGGCGGCACAATGTGCGGCTGTGATTGGCTCAGCTGTTGCTGATGCTGCAGCAGCGATGTGGCCACAACGCCCACACCGACACCAACGCCAACGCCCATTGAATTGGGCTGTGGTGCTGGCCGCTTATTGTGTCGGAGCGGCGCTGTTGGCGGCATCTGATGCCCGGTGGCCTGCAGATACCATGGATCGCCCGATGTGCTGCCGGACACTGTTGTCGCGGCGACCGATGGCTGCGAGAAGCCGCGATGATGCCCAACTACCGTTGTTTGTCCGTTCTGTGTGGCGGTCGCGTGACTGTTCATATCCTCGACCTTGCAGCTGGCCGCGCACCTATTGTCACCTGAGGTACCTGTTCTTGTTTGATCTGTGGCCGATTTTGTTGCTGTTGTTTTTGGCGGCTTTGCAGCCGCTGTTGTTTGCGGCTGTCGCTGCTGTTTGTGCTTCAGTTGGCCCTGTTTGATTTCAACGGTTATCAACGGCTCAACCACCCCAGCTGACTTTGTCGTCCTGCCTTTGCCGTTTGTCGTTTGTTTCTCCTTCGCCTTTGTTTCGCTTGCTTCTTCGTCTGCAAAATATATATGAAATGATATTGATTTAGTCCATTGTTTAGCCACATTTGTACGCATTCGTGCTTATCTAATCAGAACAATACACACAGCAACACAGGCACACCTTGAGTTAACAGTTTAAACTAATCATTGCCTCGCAACAAAAGCAGCCACAATTGTAAATGTTCTCCTCGTTATTTGCTGAGCTCATTAAATATGCACAAATCATACGTATATATGTATGTCTATCTATATATATGTGTGTACATCATAATGACAACATCAGCGATAATTCGCAGTATGTACTCGAAAAAGATCGCAAATAGAATTTCAAGTTCAAATTCATATTTAAATGCAGCTCAGCGCAGAGAGTCATTCACAATTAACATGGGGCAAACGAATTTCGCACGTCTGGCAACGCCTTTATCAATAATTGTAGCCATATCGAATTAATTAAAATCGGTCCGTTTCGGTAGAGTAACGGGTACTATATAATTGAAAGCAAATTTTGCCAAATGAAAAAGCCAGTTAAATATTGAGCAAGCAACAGAGAGAGAGAGTGGCAAATGGGGAATTAAATATTATTATATAGACTTAAGTGCATTTTATAAATATACAAATCAAATTAACACGTTTGTTTGCCAATCTTTGTTAATGGCATTTTATCGATGGGGCAACAAATGTTTACAACAGCTTATCAGCAAACGAACACCAAAACCAAGAAAACAACAAGTAACAACAATTTCAGCGACATTCGTTTTGCACATTTAGCTAATCCAATGCACGTTTCATTAATCAGTAAATAAACCTAACTAAAAAAAAAGAGTCAGCAATAGTTACGCAAAAAACTGCCGAGACAGCAATAAAGTATTACATACTGCCATATATTTGTATATATATATATATATATATATCTAGTGCTATATACAAATCCAAAGGTATATTGTTGGCCAAAATGAGTGTCGCATGTTAATCAACTGAACGCAAAGACATCAACCGGCAACAACTGGCAACGCCCATGCACTGAATGGCAATTGCATGACAAAGTGTAAGAACCAGAGATAAAGTTAGAAAGAGACACACAGAGAGAGAGAGAGAGAGGGAGAGATAGAGAGAAAGATGGTGAGATTTTGGCAAATGTAAAACATTTGCATGTGACATGCATAATTAAAACTTTTACTGCGCAATTACATGCGTAGCTTCAGCTACTGTCTTTTTTCTTTTGTATACCGTGTAAAATTGCTTAAATTTAAGGTTATTCTATTGCAATAAAAAATTTTTTAAATAACGCAGTTTCTTATTAAGGCTTATCTTTATTAAGCGCGAATGCGCCTTTACTTGTTGAAGAATTGCGAGCAAGAATACAATGCAATAAAAATAAAAACACAATCCAATCGATATTAATCGATTTATCAATACATAAGTATTAATCGGTACTGGGATACTCAAACATATTTCAACAAATAGATTAAGATATATGCAGCTAGAATTTGTACAAGCTGAACTTAAAATCTGACTAACAATTACTATAAATGTAATTAATAAAATTAGAATTGCTCAGTTTAAGCATTGATTTTCATTTCGATTGTTTAATCGCTCAACAATAAGAATCGATTGTTTAATTTGATAGGGCATCCCGCAGTCGAGCAGCTGAAATGGTGCTTCTAATTGTTATTTCATTCCGTAAAATGCTACAAATTTAATTATGCGATGAATCAGCAGGGGTACACCATTAAAATTCTCAAGGCATTTATTGTGTTGAACGAGGCTATAAATTCCCAGGCGAGACGAAACTTACTCACTTTTAGTTTCGGTCTCGAGTTTTGTAGCTTTTGTACATTTTGTCTGCCCGTTCTCTGGATACAATTCGTACAGTAATTGTGTTCAAATTAATTTTGAGAGTGTTGTTTCTTTTTTGATTGCTTAATTTTCAAATTTTATGTAAATTTCATTGCGGAAACGCTTTTTGCATATTTAATTCTTGATTCTAGTCACGGATTTATCATGGGACCCTCCCTCTTCTTTGGCATCATCATCATCGTGGGCTACGCTTTAATTGTGTGAAAGGTGGTTTAGTACACACAGCAACACACAACACAACACAACACAGCTGGGAGAGTGCCGCAATCCGGGAGTAAAAGCCTATAAAATTAGCCATGTTGACCTTGCCCAATTCAAACAGTTTTGAACCACATCCGCTGTCTACACAGACTACAGACTCATGCAAATGCAATTATGCACAGTGTGTATAAATTATCATTTTTGTTTCATTCGTTCGTATTTTCTCTGGCTTGTAAATTAGTTTGAACATGACTCTCCAAAAATTGCATGCAGTCATCGTTGTCATTGTCAGTTGTTTGTTGTTTCCTGATTCAGAGTCATGCGGTATTGGAGAGACCAATTGTTTGGCGAATGGTCATAACTTAAATGGTAACAGCGAATGCCAATTACTCAAATGGATAACATTTGACAAGTGATAAATAAACGAACTAAACTACTTTATTTTATATATATGAGTTGCATTCAAGGAACAATCTTTGATTTGCATAATTATTTTTTTTTAAATAAACATTTCACAAATAGCTCTTTTTGAGCAGCGACGAACTTCCTGTAAAACTTATTATGCATCATGTTTAATCAAACTGAACTTTGGGCGCTTTATTATTACTCACTCATACCATATTTGATATGTCAGTCCAGTTAAGTCATTTGCAATATTAATTTCAGACGCGAACTTTATACTTTTATACTCTGTACTGTAGATGCAAGGGGTATCTTCTTGAATTCGTCGATTGTTGTTCTTTAGCATTGCCAACGCAAATATTGATTGGCATCTGTTTATGGATCTGTTTTATTTTTTGCTGTCACACAGAGGCTTAACGCCAATTGATGCTTGACCTTCAGACTGTAGTAGTAGGATCTGTGAGTCTGATGCTGTCGCTTTTCATAATTTTACGCATATCGATGTCATTTAATGGCATGAGTCAGACATACACACACATATAAGTTTATATATGCATTTGCAATCTTAAAAACGTAAATAAGATGGTGTCATTGAAAGGGGCAAGTGGGTTGAGCGTAATTTACATATTTACATATGACACACGCAGTCCCCGCAGTGGTTAGGGTAATAGTGGAAATTAACTGTCATCATAATAGAGTAGACAACACCCGCTAGACAAATACGATAACATTATGCATGATGATCGCTTGACTTCGCTGACTCTTGATTAGTCAACTCGAAATTTGTTTTTGCCTCTCTCTCTCTCTCTCTATCTATTTGCATTGACATGCGGCCAATTTGCATTTAACTTGTATGGCAAACACAGTGTGTTTGCTTAGCCGCTGCCTGTTTAATTCCAATTGCGTGTTATCGTCTGCTTGTTATCGATTTATCGTAGCTGGCAGTGCCGTGAGTTGGCAACGCTGTCAATGGCACGCACGCAATGTAAACACAAAAATTAAGATATCTTGCGAAACCAAAAAAAAAAAAAAAAAAGAGATTGTGAAAAGCAAGAAACAAAGCCGAAAAGCAAAACAAAACAACAAAAGGCAATTGCCAAACAAATTATTATTTATAATGCTGGCGCTGGTTGATGTTTTCTGCTGTTAACCAAGCGTGTTTATAAAGTGTTAGCCAAATAAAAAGAATCGTCATTTTTAAAACACAAAGCAAAAATACACAGGGAAATTTTCGAACAAAAAAAAAAACAAGACCGCATAATTAAATTGAATGAAAAATGATCTCAAATATTTTTATTAGAGACACGTACAGCTAATTTTAAGTGGGCATCATTAAAATGCAGCACAATTGAAATTGTCAGTACACAAAAAAAAAAAATAAATTTTGTAAAGCACAAAGAGAAAGAAAGGTTTATTTATATATTGACAATGATCTGCCGGACATAAGTGCAAATGCATCCATAAACTTGAATGATTCATTGACAGTTGTTTTTGTCGGTCGTGAACTTTTACAAAGTACTGTAGGAAGAGCGATGTTGTTGTTGTTGTGGTGTGTGTGTGTGTGTGTGTGTCTGTGTGTGAGAAATGCGCAGTATGTCGATAGGCGATTACTTATATGGCTATATAATATTGGCTTCGCGCTGGATGTGGATGAGGTAATGCTCATTAGCTTGTGCAAATCGCAAACCAAACAACCAAGGCTAATTAAACAACGATGCTCACATTTTAATTAGGTCCAAGTACGTAAATTATATGAGGAAGACTGTTTTAGATTTTGTATTAATTAACTCAACAAACCTATAAATTATCGAACTACTCTTGTTATCGATTGCCATACAAATATTACATTAAGTTAAGGCTTAAGGCAGATCTATTAAGTAAGCTACTCTGAATAAACTTATACTTAGAAGAAATACACCATTTAATAATTTGTTTTAGGTTGAAGTATATTTATTATATTCAGTGAAAACACATATTTAAATGTTTCAATTATGTATCAATAGATGAAAAACATATCGATAAGTTGAAGTATGATCTGTAACTTGTAGCTGAGTATAAAGACAAGTTGTATAAACAGAAAAGTAATGAATAAATTATACTAATTTAAGCACAAATACTGCAACAAAACATGTTTTGAGTAAAAAAGAATGCACTTTAGCGCTGAATGATGAACGATGTTGGCAGTTCCTTAATTATTCGACATTAATGGATATAGCTCTCACACCTGTCTGTCAGTTTGAGGTCAATGACAAACAGTCAAAATAAAAAAAACTCAGCCACAAGTTGTCTCGAGGGGATGGGTCTCAGCCCACTTGCCCTGATCTGCACAGCTGACACACAGCTATCCCAGGTAATTAGCACTCTAATATATATATGTGGAGTTGCATGTTGGCGGCAGATTGGCTTCCTTCTTCCTGTTGTCTGCTTGCGGTTTTGCCGCACCCCGTTCTGCATGCAATATGCAAATTGCTGGCCAAAAAGCCAGCGAAGCAAGTCTCTCCCTACATATACATATACATCTATATACATATAAATATAAATATATAGTCTTGTTATGTGGCAGTGGCACGCAATTCATGCCATCACCATAACCATCATCGTCATCGTCATCCAGCGTCTTGTTCCATTCATGCCTTTTGTTATGCTCCTTTAACTAAAGTTGTCTAAAGTTACCTCTTTCTTTCTTTCATTATTATTGTTTTACACTTTCCAGCTCGAAACTACCACGAAATGATTGTGTGCCGCCTTGCAAATGCTTGCATTTCTGCCATTTTTTTTTTTGTTCCTCACTTCTGCACAAGTTGGTTTGGTTCCGTTCCGATCCGTTCCTTCCATGACGACTCACACACAATGAGGAAGCAATACAAAAGATTCTCACGTACTTGTTACCTCTATAGGTGTTGAACTGTATATAAATATATATATATATATATATATATATATATATATAGTTCTCTTCCTACTTACTGTAGCATGCATATAGAATTCCCTTCGCTGCCATTCCGTGACGTGAGTTGCCTCACGGGCATTCTGTCAGTCAGTTAGTTAAGTTGGTTGGCTCTAACAGCTTGTTGGGCACACATCAGCAACCTTCTTTAGAATACTAGCTGGCGAAATATTTGCACTCAGCCATATTGTATGAAAGACGCTCAACTTAAGGGTAGATAAGTGCTTAATGGCATAAGGCATCTGCCTATGGATTAGGTTACCCTTAAGAAAGCCCTTATAAAGTAGTTCGCTTCAATTGCAAGATATTTATCTTTAAGATGCTTAACTTATAGTTCTAGCATTTTTTTTTAAATTTAATTTAAATTTTTAATAACAGCTTTTTTAGGTAGTGCCTCATTGGCAACACGCTGCCGCATTTGTGGTAGACCCCCACTCGCTTTTGAAAGGTAACTTCTTGCAATTGGATACTAACTGTTATGGTTTTGTTAAAACCCAAAACCTAGCATCAATGTCAACCAAAAACAAGGCGTTCCAAACGTGTTGCTGGCTGGCTCTTTGTCTGCTGGTTTCGATGTTTGCCCGATGTTAGCTGATTTGCCAAGCGCAACGATGGACGGTAACTTTATATGCAGTGGAGCACTTGCAACATTGGGCACAGGGCTACCTGGTATGGTTTTTATACCCTGAACCCATAAAAAATAAGCGAAAAGAGTATAATGGTTTTGCGCAATACTATGTGACAGACAGAAGAAAGCATCTCCAACACCATACGGTTTATATTTTCTTGATCAACAATTGTAGCCGAGTCGATCTAGCCATTTAAGCATATATGGTATATAAGCTTTCGCATCGGGCAAATCAAGCTTATTTCATTTTACCGATAAGTTCTCCTTAAATGAAGTAAATACACAATTGACAGAGGCTTCAATTGATATATCTATATGAAGCACTGCATAACATTAAAAACACGCAATAAGACAATTATATACTTAACAGCTGGATTCAGGGTATTTCTTAGTCGAGCTTACTCGACTGCAGCATTTTTACTTATAATTATTTTTTTTTTGTTTGCCAAATTAAATTTGCCAGAAAATTAACAACTTTAATTATACTTTGCATTTGAAAATTGAGGAGAATTTTCTTTGAGAGTTGCAATCGTTATGTTAAGTAACTGTTAAGTTTAACAGAGGTCTAGCCTAATTTTGTGTTATTAACAGAGACTTGATTAAAAATATTAAAATATGCCTTAAACCGTTTTAAGCATCTATCATATTTAAAATGTAAACTTTAAAGTAGATTTGAGACAACGATGAACTGATTTCGAACCGAATGTTATTGTCAATTTAGGCATACTAACCAAACCAATCATCGGTGCTGATGATGGGCGGCAGAGAGCTGATGTTGTTGTTGTTGTTGTGGTTGTTGCTCCTGCTTCTAGATGATGAACGCTCTTTGGTGTTGCTTCTGCTGTTGTTGCTGCTGTTGTTTTCAGACTTTGCTTTGGCTGTTGCTGTTGTTGTTGTTTCTGTGCTTGCTGTTGTTGCTGATTGAAATCTACGCTGTGCGTTGCGCAGAAAATTCAATAGACGCACATCGATGGGCTGCGCTGCGTTTGTTGCCGCCGTTTGGTGCGCCGCTTTGGTGTTGGTGGTGCCACCACTAATTGTTGGCGCATATTTATCACAAAAGTAGAACTCTTTGCGCTTGGGCGGCGCATAGGCGGCACTCAAACTGCTGCACAACTGCAACGGACGACGGCGTGCCTTGGCAATCAACTGGCCAGCAGACGCCTGACCATTGGTGGTGTAATTGTTGTTGTTGTTGTTGTGGTGGTTGAGACTGCTGGCACTGCGCGTTAAACTGTGTGCCAGACTCTGTTTGCACCAGTAGACGTCCTTGCTGCCAAAGTAATAGTAACGCCTTCGCGTATCCTGTGACGTTCCAGCAGGAGTAACTGCGGCTAATCCTGCCACACGATGATGCCGACTGCAACTGGAGCGTGTTGACTTTTTGCTATTGCTGCTGTGGCTACTGTTGCAGCCGTTGTTGTTGTTGTTGTTCTTGCTGTTGTTGGTGATGATGGTGCAGCCGGTGGTTTGACTGCCACTGCTTGTCTGCGAGTTGTCGCTCTCGTTGCTCAAACTGTTGTTGTTATTATTCTCAGTGATTGTTGTTGCTGCTGCTGCTTCCTCTTTTGGCACTGAGATCGTCGTGTTCGTTTGCGTGGGCGTGAGATATGAATTGGATTGGATGAAGACGCCATCGCAGGTAATTTTGATTGTTGTCACCATGTTCCACGTGGCATTTCGTCTGCCTTCACTTCCCCGAACTCACTTAAAGTACTTTATGCTTATGGAATACACTTTGCTGTGGCTTTGTGTTGGAGTTGTTTAGTTTTAGTTTTTGGGTAACGCCTAATGACCTATTTCATAAACAGTTTTCCCATTGAATATGGGCATTTAATTAACTACTTTACTACACTCAAATAGTATAAATGCAAAAAACATAAATAGATTATACGTCTTTTTTCTGAATTTTAGAAAAATATACACAAAAATTTGGAATAATAAGGTTAGTTACGCTTTTCGCGCCAAAAGTATGCCCAATTTCTAAAATTCCGGGGGTTTTTTTATGAGTGTAGCTGGTTTTTTCTATAGATAATTCAGATGTACAAAGTGATTTTAAGTTGAGCGAGCAGTTGAAAGGCTATAAAACCCATAGAACATTGAACTCAACAAGAACATCATCATCAATATCATCGACATCGACATCGACAATGGCAAATCAGCTCTACTCTCTTCACATGCCCGGTACGGTACAGTGGGGCCTGCCCTAGTTGAATCGAGGCTAATGCCGCATCAAACAATGTGCACACTGCAAAATTGTTTTCTTTTGTAATCATACTAATTAAAGTCTGTTTTTTTCTCTCATTTTTTCTAAAGCGCTTCGATTTGGACCCGACCAACAACGACCAACAAAAGAGGCAGGCAGAAAATAAAAATGGTAAAAAAATCAATGGTGAAGTGAAGCAATAAAGGAACTACAAGTAATGATAATACCAGAGACGGACAACAGACAGCGGACAACAGACAACAAACAACAACACACAACAAACAAAAAGGCCAACAAAAAGCGCAAATTGGAAAATATCTATGGAGAAAATCCAAAGCAAGCAAAAACAAAAATCAAGTGAAACAAAAACCAGCAAAACAGAAATTGTCTTCATTCCGAGAGCGTGCTCCATATTTGTCAACTAGTTAGGCCCAAACAGCAGATTGGGGGGCAGTGGGGAGGGGCACATTCAGCGTAGTAATAATAGTAATTGTCTTTTTGTTGTTGTTGTTTTTTTTTTGTGGCATTTGCAGAAGTCAATTTGCCACTTTAACTGTAAGTGAGTTAAGAGCAAACGACAAAAAAAAGAAAAAATCAAACATCTTGTTTATAAATTGGATATATGGTAACATATATATATATATATGGGAGCAGTAAATGGTCGAAATAGTAATAGTTGCAATAATAAACCAAAAGTAAAGCTCTTAACAACATTGCCTTGTTTGCTTAGCATTTCTTCTTTTGTGTGCGCAGCAGCATTTGATATTTGTGGGTTGGGAAAACACGAACTAAGTCAGTGGCTTCAATTCAATTGGAATTTACTGGAATTGTGGGTGTGTGTGCATATACTCGTATATACACCTATATATATATATGTGTATGTATGAGCTTGTGCAAATACTATACAATATAAATATATGCCTATTTTTTTTTCGTCGTGAGAACGCAGACAACACCCATTGTTTTTAGTTGCTTGCTGTTATATATTTTATTCAAGGCAGACAGACAGACAATACACCTTGGGAAAGTACGTGAAAAATGCGAAGCCAGGTGAAATGTTACAGTTGCTCAGATGTCGACACAATGTGCTGATAAAGTGGTAAGTGAAAGATGTACGAAACAGTTGTGTTGTAGATATATCTATATATATTCCTATATCTATATGATGTTAATTGGATGGGAATAGCTGATATAGTGCATTGTTTCCGAAAAAATAAATAAACATATGTGAGCAGTGTTTAGATAAGAAAATTAACTCAAAGTACTCGATTTATACGTAGAATTTATAATAGAAACAAATAAGAGGGATCTAGTCGAGAGAGCTCCTCAGAGAGATACTCTAAATCTAGGTTTTAATTCATTGAAGGTGATAGATATTTGTTTGTTCAATATGAGACTGGGTTATTTTCAAAATGAAAATAAATTTAATGCATTTTCTATAGCCAGTTTTGTATTTGCCAAAACTAATTATATTTATCAACTTTTATAACTTAAATAGTTTTTGATCTTTGACGCAAAACTGCTTTTAAAACGCTTAGGGAGCAATTGACGAACATATTTTCAACAGATTACGAGTTGAAAGAGATTAAGACTCGAATTAGACTAGGAGATATTCTGAACAAAGCTTTTATTTAGATAATAAGACGTAGATAATAGTTTGTTTAATTGGTTTCGATCGTAATAAATTATATATCAATTTAAATGATTTAAAAAATTGTGTATTTGTATCGATATTAACAAAAAAAAAAAACTTGATCCGAATGGATAATACGAAGTCTTATATTCCAAATTTGAAGTCTGTAGCTCCTATATTCTCTGAGATCGGCTTGTTTATTGCTTATATACATTTTCTTGGATTTTCAATATATACCCTGAGCGCAAACACCTTCTTCAGCGAAAGATACAAACACAAAAGAAAAACTAGCTCAAAAATAAAAGTTAAATATAGTGCACTTAATGTTAAAACACTTTAATTTCATTTTCCGCTGAACTTGATCTTGTGTGACCATCTCTTGTTTTGCAAAAGAGCTAGCAATGTACATTTAATGACAGTCAGTCATTTTAATTAGTGATTTCACAATAATGTCAACGTTTTTGGAAGAGCTTTTCACTTTTTACATTTTGGGAGAGCTTCAGAACAAATGTCGTCGAGTTGTGGGGCACACACTAAATGCTGAACCCCACAGAAAACCAACAACCAGCAAGTAGACAATTAACTATGGAAATGAGTTGGAGCCAAAAAAATGACACAAAAATTGGGCACGTGGAAAGTGATTGCTTATCGAGAGAGAGAGACCCAAATTTTGCATTCTTTAAACGGGAAGCAGGTACGGAAAAAACGTGCCCTGTTGAATTACCGGCAACACTAAAAGAACCAGAAAAACACAAACGGAATAAATAACCAAATATGAAGAAACTAATTTAAAAACCAAAAAAAAAAACACCAAAAATGTAAACTGAAATATGACACAAGTTTTTGTTTTTGGTGTCGCGTAGACAAAATGCAAAATGAAAAGCGAAATCAAAATAAAAGCAAATGAAGAAAAGTAAAAAAAAACCTGTCTTGAGTAAAAACAAAGTCGGCAATCATATAAAAACAATAAGCTTATAAAAAACAGCAACAAGCAAAACAATGGGGCAACTTGGAAATGCGTGAGGCGCCGCAACGGATATCCTCAGGCTCCACTTGACTCTTTTTTTATCATTTTTTTTTTCTGAAGCCCGCAGCGCTACCTGTTGCATTATATGATAAATACATACACATATTTTATATATATATTTTTTGGCGAGTGTGTGCAGTGAAAGTTGGGTTTTTTTTTTTTGTTTTAGTTAGTAAGTTTTTTTGTGTGGAGGTTTTGTAGGGCGTTGCACAGTAGTTTGGAGAGCCACGTCTTGTAGTTAAGATTAATTATTAATTGAAAAATGTACAATTCATTTAAAGCTCGGCACGCATAAAAGAAAACGGACAACGAAATGAAATACAGAAAGAAAGAAAAATATATGCAACGAAATTTCTATACACTTAAATTGGGATTAAAATTAGTAGTAGTAATAACAATAAAAGAAACGACTAATTAAGTATTGATACTGGCAACATTTACTACAAGATTTATAGCAAAATATTTTACGATAAATCAAAGAAAATCGCTAAGGAGTCCATAAAGTTGGATACATTCTCCAGCAAAAAATTAATGCACTTATCAAATGGAAATTTGGCAATCAAATAAGTAAAATAAAAACTTAAAAAAAATAAATGAAAATACAATTAATCTATAGTAAAGACAGATAAAATCTATAGCTCTAAAAGTAAGCGCTACAAACAACAAATGAAATTCCATTTACTTTTTACACATACACGTACACTTAAAAAAAGAAAATATAAAGACACACAAAAAAAAAACATTAAAAATAGAGGAAAAAATTAGAAATTCAATGCAATTGAAAAATGAAATGCGCCATTGGCAATTGGCTATTTTGCTGTTGGCTGTTGGGGATACGTTTGGTTATTTGTTGGGTTCGATTTTGAGTCGTGTGCAGTGAATGGCAAATTGCCTAAGTAGTTGGGAAAATATCTGTGTGTGTAAAAACCAAAAACAAAAACGCTTAAGAAAAAATTAAAAATTAATTCACGCGTCTGCAGTTGAAGCATTTTGTTGTTGCTCTTGTTGCTGTTTTGTCCACTTTCACTTGGCCAAGACGGGCAACTCTCTCAGGATGATGACGTTTCAAGTGTGGATTAAAATTGCCAAGGAGTGGAAAAGGCGGTGGGAGGAGGAAAAGGGGGAAATGCGCATGAAAACTAGTTACAATTTAAGGCCCAAAGCCGCAATGGCGGTGACTAATGCGCTGGAAAATTGAAAATCGCTCTTAGACGTTCGACACGCCAGACAACTGCACAACAGTTATATACGAATGTGTGTGTGTGTGTGCAGAATAAGCTTCCTTCCAGCAAGCAGCCCACGAGCTTTTTTCTGTTTTTTTTTTTTTGTCAAAGACTTGTCTCGAGAGCCGCGTGCACGTCGCCAAAATTAGCGTGGAAATCAATTGCGAAAAGCTAATGATTCATGCAATTGGAATAGGCGGCAATGCTAAGCACAGCGAGTGTGAGTGCGAGGGGGACGAGACTTAAGCAAATTACTAGCGAAGAGAAGTAGTGGGTAAAGCAGTGGAATAGCAAAAAAAAAAAAGAAAAAGAAAAAAAAACGCTTAGAGATGAGGCGTAACAGATGAAATATGCTAGCATTACAGCAGAGATAGGGGAATAGGGGAAGTGAAGATAATTATTTGTAGCTGTAGATAGAAGACTTTTAAGCATAAATTGCGTTCTCGGCACACGATGCGCAACGAAGAGAGAGATAGAGCGAGAGAGAGATAGATAGATAGATAGAGAGAGAGAGAGATAGAGAGCGAGAGAGAGAGAGAGAGAGAGAGAGAGAGAGAGAGAGAGAGAGAGAGAGAGGAAGACAGGGAGAGTAAGCTTAGAAATTGTGTAAATACAACTTGAATGATAAATATTATATAAATAAGAGATGAAGTTTCTGGTCGAATTTTGCCAAATAGTACACAAACAGGAGATGAAGTTTCGGGTCAAATTTTCTTTTGCTTTCAACAAAATTAAATTTTTTAATAAAGCAATGAAAAGTAGTTCAATTTTCAACAACTTTTTGTTCAACTTTTGCAAATACTAAAAAAATCACCAAAAAAAAACAATACATAATATACGGATTTCACCTCATTCGGTGAATGCAAACCATTTGCGATTATATGCAATCGATGGCTGACCCAAAAAACCCTATAATTAAACTAGCAATCAAAGACCAAACAAAAGGTCATTGAGCCACCAAAAAAAGAAAAAAAAAAACAACTCAAGTTCACAAAAAATACACACAAAAAGACACAAAAGTCATATATCATCTATATTTCGTTTATCACATCTTTGTCAAATTTTTTTTTTTTAATCTTTACATGATAGTTTGGCATGGAATTTGCATATTGAAAGAGTTGTTGTCGCTTCGGGCAAATCAAAGCAAAAAAGAAGTGATATTTCGCATGCATGCATCGAATTAATGATTACACATTTATAAATATGTTTTATTATTATTTTTTAAGCTGGTTACACAATTTCGCATTTGTAGGGGTTTATATATAGTTATATATATATGTATATACATGTATGTATTTGCATTATCAGGAATTTGCACACATTGCCAATTATTGTTATTAGCTGAGATGTTATTGCTATGCGATTAGATTATTACTATTGGATTGGCAATCATATTTTGACACGCGACGTTGGAAAGTTCGTTGGCGCACGCGCACAAAGCGAGGAGTTCTGCGAACCGCGCGACTTGCTTGCAAGTCACAAACTGACTCAAGCTCGGTCGACCGGCGTACAAGTCAGCGCAAAAGAGAGCGCAACGCATCGAGAGAGAAATCGAGATGATGAGTTGGGAGCTTTACTTAAACACTTTGTGTGTGTGTGAGTGCGTTAACGTCTTAAAAGCACTGCATATATGTATGTGTATTAGTGCAGTTACTGTAGTGTGCACTTTTCTCGCATGAGATAAGCCTCTCTGCAACGTTAACGTTAACGGTAAGTAGCCTAACAGAAAAGAGCGACGAAAAATGGAGCTTCTCTCACTGAGCTCTGGGTGAGTGATGCACTTGGTCTTGCCCACTCTTGCATGGGAGGGAGCTTGCACTTTACTCGCATGCGACATAAACACGTATGCAGGCAGCTATCGATATATTTATCGCATGCTAGAGATGACATCGTGCTCTGCTTTGGTAGCATTTTGGCGTCTAAATTAATTACCAATAACAAAGGTTGCTCAATTTGCGACGATTCTGTTTTTGGTGTTTCAAGTTGCTTTTGACCAAATTTGTTGATCTTACATACTTAAGTCAGTGTTTTGTTGTATTTTACAGCGCTTGATTTTGTTGCGTTTTTTTCTTTGTTTCTTTTTATTTTCTGTCAAATGACATTTATCCCAAAAAAAAAAAGATCGTTGCTTTAGCGAAAGCGAAAAATACTAATTTTTGACATTTGTATTTATTATATTATTTATGCTTAACTTTTTTATATATATTTTGGCTTCACTTATTTTAATATATATATATATTTTGGCACCACTTTGTTTTGTTGTCTTCTTTATGCTCTACATTTCCTATTTTTTCTTCAGTTTGCGTTTTGCGCTCGTGCTTTTTTGCGTTTTGAAAACGTTCTAATTGTTTTTCCCGTTGCTGCTGGCCATTTTAATTAATTTTGCCGTTCGCTGTAGTCTGTGTTTGTCTGTCATGTGTCATATGTCAATTTGCGTCCCTTTTGCTTTTGCATGTTTACGTATCGCATTCGAAAATCACAAAAATAAAAAACAATACACATTTCAGACATACATAAAAAACTAATTCGTTGTTGTTGTTCTTGTTGCTTATACTGCTTGCGCTTTTTGTTGTTTTCTGTTCGTGATATTTCGCCAGTTTTCGCTGCTGGCATTTTATGCACATACAAATGAAATGTATGTAAGTATTTCAAGCGCATGCATTTAGCACTTAATGACTTCACCCCCACCCCCTTCCCATTAACACTTTTTCCCGTTAAAGTTTGCTTCATCTCCAACTGTGCACGATTAGCAGTCAAATGTGAATAGAGAAATTGCATTCGCAGCATGCCAGAAAAAAAGAGTGCGCGCTGAGAGTGGGCTGACGTCATCAGCATTTACAGGATGCCTTTTGCATTACATTGGAATGTCAAATGGAATTCGACGCACGACAACAACAACAACACATTAACAAGCAAGCCCTTTGTACACACACAGTCAGAAACACATACACATATATACATATAAGCGGCAGGCAGCAGCCAAAGTGTGCTAAAAATAAATCGTGTGCAAATTCATGAAAAAATAAACAATGCCGCCATACAATGTAAACAAGAGAAGAACAAGCGCAAACAAATATAAGCAAAAGACACATTTCAAAAATATGCAGCAGCGAGAGTCAAAAGACAAACACATGCAAAAAATGAGCACGGCGAAATCTATTTACATGTGTGTGTGTGAGTGTATTGGAATAATGAAACGCTTCTTCTGTCTTCTTCTCAATGCTGCGTGTCTTGCGATAACGATAGCGATAACGATAACTATAACGGCAGGTGCTGCTGCAATGTAATTCCATAAAAGCCCACGCGTCAGAAGACTGATAATAAAATGCACATAATATATATATATATGCACATAGAGATAATATATAATCATGTTGACAATGCAGAAACAATATCATATTGATTATTAATATTAAATGCTGCATAATGATAACAGCAAAGGTGCTAAATAAATGTACAACGTATTATACAAATATTTAGCTTATCTTTTCTAGTTCATAATTATATTGATAATACCATACTTTAATATGTTTGCCTTTAGTTCATGTTCGTCAGCTGCTAAGCCTGGAAACAAATTCTAATTGGCATTGCTATTGTAATTAATAGAGCGAAGAGAGAGGGAGAGCGCTAGTGATAATCAAATGATCAAAGCAAGACTAACTGCATGGAAAAGTTCACGCAATTCTCAACTCTAAAACTTACAGACGCAGACACACAGACAGGAGGAGCCTGAATACAACGCCCACGCAAACAACAAACCAAAAAGCTTTGGCGCCGATGCAATAACTAAAACAACAACAACAAGAGCAGCTACCGACTCCAATGCGTGACGTCAGCGCACGAATATTTTTGCCGAAGCCGACAACTGACCAGCGACAGCAAAAACAAAAAAACAAAAACTACGCTTATATACATATATACTACTACCAACGGAAACTACGATGCGCTACGCTTCGGTTATTGCCGTTAATTATTGTGCTGCTTCCACTGTCAGTTGTTGTTGTTGGTGCTGTAGGTGTATTGAATTTGGTCATTCATGGAGCCAGCCACTGCTCGTTTTGCATGCGTGCATATGTGTGTACACGTTTGTATGTGTGTGTGAATGCTATTCACAATAAGCCTAAAAGGCAAAAACAACAACAGCAACAGCAACAAAATTGCGCGCCATTGGAGCGCAGAGTTGTAAAACGTGTTTTTGTTTTGCTGCTGTTATTTTTGTTGTTGTTGTTGTTATTGTTACTTGAACAAAAATGCGTAGTTTACGGTTGCTTTTGCTGCCGTTGTTTTTGCTTTCGATTTTGATTACATATAAGGCAATAATATACAGATTTCTCATATTTTATATGGATTGACCTCAGACAACAAGCAAATATAAAAGAAGCTTGTTTTGATTTTATAATCAAAGCTTTTGTATTTATCTTTTGATTAGTTTTCATCAATGGGACAACAGCAACAACAGCAAAACAAAGCTTTTATTTTTTGCATGCAAGTTTGACAACAATAATTTGATGGCAATCATTTTACGCAATAGTTTACAGCTTCAAATTATGCAAAAAAGAAAACACACACACACATGCATACACAACACACAGCAGCTGCCAAGGCGCGCCCAGCATGCGAGGAGAGAATATGTAGCAAAAAAGAGAGCACACAAATTGCGTTACTTCTTATTGGCAATCTTATCCTTTTTGCACAAGCTTTCGTCACTTTCACCCATACACACACACACACACATACGCACGCATTGGCAGACAGCGCGACGCTTAAAAAGGGCGTTGGGTTGTCCTTACGTCAAACAACAACACAAAAAAACATATCAGACACACACACATAGACACTCGAATACATTCACATTCAGATTTTACACCTTACCTGATTCCAATTGCTCTGCTGCTGCTGCTGTCTGGCATTCCACAACGCCTCCAACGATGCTGCTGCTTCGCTGCTGACGTCGACGTCGACGTTGTTCGACGATCAAGCAGCGATCGTACACATGCACATTTTTTTGATTTCCGAATATTATAAATTATTTATAAACATTTGCACGCGCACGCACACTCACTGGCACTCGCACACACACAAACTGTGTAGATTTTTTTGTGATATATCTGACCCAACTTGCTTGCTGCTGACTTTTGTGGAATTTTCTACACTTTTCCGTCTACCTGCCACACATTTGTTTTTTTTTTTTTTAACTTTTCGCTTAAGTAGTTTTAAAGCTATTTGGCAGCTATTTGGTGGTAATAACACATATGCACACAACAATCTTTTAACGCACAGAACGTACTAATTTTACAGCAACAAAAAATTCCATGAAAAATAAAGCAGCCATCTTTGCCCAGTATTAGGATTGTTGATACTATATCGGTATATCGATATTAACGCCAATGTCTTATTGCACGCGATATGTTTTTTCCTGTAGCCGAATTTACAAGACTTATCGAGTTACTAAATTACGCCACGCGTACCTATCGATAAGCGGCTATCACTTGTGTTGTTGGCTCGTAATGTAAACAACGTAAATTTGTTGTTTGATTTGAATCAATCATTAATTGATTGTTTAAAAAGCTTGTACTGTCAATGAAAATAATTAATTAGCTTTAATTGTGTCGATAGCCTAGAATCTTACTATTAAAAATATAAATGAATTAAGAACCTTGTTTTATTTATATATTACATACGTATTTTCGAATATTACTAAGATGCTCTCAAAATTGAGCTTGGCGCCAAAGTTTGCTTCTTCTTTTACATTGATGACGTAGCTGCGCAAATAGAACCGATACACAAACTATCGTTATGATAGTAAATTAAGTGCAATCACTTTTAGTATTATTAAAGTTGTAAAATGTATTGAATTGTATTTTTGATGTGGCAATAAATATTTGCTTAGCTGTTTTTAATGTTACTGTCATCGACCATACCCTTACCTATAAATATTCGATATACTTTGAATCGATATACGATTACTTGTGCCTATTTTATTTGGTATTTTGTTGTGCGCACGTTGTTGTCATTGCATTTGACAATAAATCCAAGTTAAAAATATGCGCAATCTCAAGCTGCAATATTGCAAGGAGAAAAAAACCGGCATACAAAATCCAAAGCAACTGTTGCTCCAGCCGGACATCGATCGCAAGGATAATGAAATCAGCTACATCATCACCGAAAACAAAGTCTTCACCGTCGATGAAACAAACGAGCCGAAAATAATCGCCGAACTCCCCGCGGAAATAGTCAGCGCCGAGTTTCTGCAGCTCGAGAATGCGATCTGTGTGGCGACAGCCGCTGGCGAAGTGCTGCTCATCAATCCCGACACACTGGCCACCAGCGAGGGCACCTTCTGTGACGTTGGCATCGAGTGCATGGCCTGGTCCCCCAACCAGGAGGTGGTCGTCTTCATAACTAAGGCAAAGAATGTCGTCGTGATGACCTGCACCTACGATGTACTCGGCGAGCAGCCACTCGATGCTCAGCTCGCCAGCGAACAGCAGTTCGTCAACGTGGGCTGGGGCAAAAAAGAGACACAATTCCATGGCAATGCCGGCAAACAGGCTGCAAAGCAATCTGCCGAGTTCCAACCGCCGACAGATGTGCAACAGTTGCCACAGGTAAGAGGTCACTGATACCTAGCTGATCCATAGATTACTTGATCGAATCGATGTCTTCCTTTGCAGGATGTGCACATTGCTTGGCGTGGCGATGGCGCCTATTTTGCCGTCTCGTATGTGGCCAGCCAAGTGGGTCGCACATTCAGCGTCTACGACAGCGAGGGCAAGCTGCAGCATACGGCGGAGAAGTGGAATGGCATGCAAACGCCGCTCGCTTGGCGTCCCAGTGGCAACTGGATTGCCCAGCCGCAAGTCTTTGCTAACAAATCGACGGTGGCTCTTTTCGAGAAGAACGGTTTGCGTCATCGGGAAGTTGTGCTGCCCTTCGATCTGAATGTCGAGCCCATTGTGCAGCTGCGCTGGAGCAATGATTCGGATATATTGGCGCTGCACACAGCAACAGCGGATGCCCAGCGTATTTATCTATATACGATAAACAATTATCATTGGTATCTGAAGCAGGTGTTGGTCTACAAGGAGCTCGAAAATCCGCTTGCCTTCTTCCACTGGGATAGTCGGCTGGGCGCCGAGCATGTGCTGCACGTGCTGCTCGAGAGCGGCCAGCGTTATACGCATCGTTGGCATTTCGCCATCGATTGCCAGCCGGGCACAGCAATTGTTTATGTCATCGATGGGCAACGTCTGCTACTCACCGATTACAACAAGGCTGTGGTGCCGCCACCCATGTGCTGGCGCACTATTGCCTTGTCCGCTGGGCAGTATATAAATGCCGTTGGCTGCTGCAAGTCCCACATAGCCATTTATACTAGCGAACGGGCGATTCACTTGTACAACTCCGACAAGCACTCCATTTACAACAGCGCCAAGCCGCATGTGGAACTGTCGCAAATCCAATTGGCAAACTTCTGCTGCGACAAGTTGGGCAATCTCTATGCCACCCACACTTTGGCCAATCATACGCGGCTCATGCTGTTCTCCACGTTCGTCGTGGGCGAAGATTATCATATTGAGTGTTCGTTGCGCATCACGGGCACCATTAATGCTTTAACCGAGGGTCCAGTCAGCTCAAATTTCATCTATGTGCAGACTTTGAGTAATCGCCAGGTCTACGAAATTGCTCTAGAGAGGAATCCCAATCAGCTGAAGCTGAAACGCACCTATTTGCAACTGCAGCAGTCAGCGGATCAAATGCAATTCTACAGCTGCGGCAAAACATCAGGTATAACAAAGATAACTCTATATATATATATATATATATATATATAATATTCCTTGGTTCATTTAACTCTTTAAAATATCTCCCTTATTTATTTAACCTATTCCTATTTGCTTCTCATCTAGTTTTGACTGTTTCAGTTAAGAAATATTTAAAACTGAGAGTTTATTAAGAGTTTGTTGATCAATATAATGCAAAACTAATTTATTTAGTTTTCTAAATGCATTCCACAAAAATGAGACTCATTTTATGCGGATCAAATTGCACTCCTAAAAGTCTTTAATAAGTAGACAAATTTAGTTAGTTTCTCATCGGCCAATGATTTAAAATATAATTACAATCAAAGCATTCACGGAAAATGAAGATTTACCCTAATATTATAATAATATAATATAATATTATAGAGATCTGTTGACATTATTTGGGAAAAGGCGCGAAACATTCTTGAAAGATTATATTACAACAACAAAAAATGTATATTAACAAAAAAACATAATGCAAAAAATACAACAGAGAAACATTTGAATTGATAGTTGAAAAAATTGAGGAAGCAGCTCAGAATCTGTTTCTAAATTAAACACAACTGATCGCTTATAATGATGTGAATAATATTGTATGAAAGAAATCTCGGATCGCAAACTATATGTGATAGTAAGGAATGTAATATTGCTATTAAAGGTCACTGAGGAGATGCGATTGAGTTGGACAACAACTGCAGTCAGGTCTACAAAATCATTTAAGACCAGTCTCCACATCTTAAACGGATTGAGAATTTTGTGGTGTGAACTTATAAAGACTGTTTCGAATTGTAAGATGAGATGATTCTCTATAAATAGTGCACAACTTGGCTATGTGGCGGTTATTTGGGATTTAATTAGTGTTATGCAAGCAACTAATAAACGTTGAATAATATATCCACACATCATATCTAATTTTTCGAAATATCAAACTTTCATTACTATTTCACTACTATTATTTCGACGGGCGCATTTGTGATTGAATTTTTGTTGATCATAATTTTATCCCATCCACTTTTATCCCATCTTTCAATGATTACTCATCTTAAGTATTGATTGAAAATTTAATAATTTTTAAATTACTATAATTTATATAATATATTGAATTATTCTTTTTTTTACGCTAATTTGATTGCTTGAAAATTGTTTTCTTTTTGATAACGATTCTGTGTTTTTTAGAGGGTCTGATCACGCTGCGTTCGCAGCATCTGCTGCAGATCGATGAGCAGAGGATGGCGGAGGATGTCACCTCGTTCTGTGTGGTGGGCAACTATCTGGCCTACACCCAGCTGAACGCGCTGCACTTTGTGCGTTTGCTGGATCGCCGCGTTGTCGACACGCGCACCATTGAACGCGGCGCCAAATTGGTGACTGGTGGCGCTGGAGATGCACGGCTGGTGTTGCAATTGCCGCGCGGCAATCTGGAGATGATCTGCCCACGGGTGCTGGTGCTGCAGCATATCGGGGATCGATTGCGACCACATTACTTCGAGGCGGCGATGCGAATTGTGCGCAAGCAGCGTATCAATTTGAACATCATCTGTGATCACGATGTGCAGCAATTTGTGGAGTTCATCGATTGGTTCATCGAGGAGATTCATGATAGCCAATGGCTCTGCCTGTTCCTCAGCGAGCTGCAGAACGAGGACTATGCTTTGGGCATGTATGCCAGCAACTATGACGCAGCCAAGCAACATTTTCCCCTCAACTATAGTGCGGATCGCAAAGTGGAATTTATTTGTCAACTGATGCTCGGACGCATGGAGAAGGCGGAGGAGCCGAAGCTGATAGCACGCTATCGTCTGCCGATTATAACGGCCTATGTGAAACTGGGCAAACTGGAGCAGGCACTCCAATTGATCTGGCAGCATAAACAAAAGGATTCCACGTTGGCCGACCAGCTGCTCAAATATCTGCTGTATCTGGTGGATGTCAATGACCTGTACAATGTCGCCCTGGGCACCTATGACTTCGGACTGGTCTTGTTTGTCGCACAGAAATCGCAAAAGGACCCCAAGGAGTTTCTGCCGTATTTGAATGAGTTGAAATCGTTGCCGCTGGATTATCGCAAGTTCAAAATCGATGAGCATCTGAAGCGTTACGAGCGTGCCTTAACCCATCTGGCTGCATGTGGCGAGGAGCACTACGATCTGGCGCTGGAGTTTATCGACCAGCACAAGCTGTACAGTCGGGCGCTGATCATCTATCAGTCGCAATCTGTTTTCCATAAGCGCATCTGTGTCGCTTTCGCCGATCATTTGCGTGCCAATGCCCAACTGGAGGCGGCCAGTCTCATGTACGAACGTGGCGACCAATTGCAGCAGGCGCTGCTCAGCGCCCGCCACACGCTCGACTGGCAGCGAGTGCTGCTCCTGGCACAGCGCGACGGCACGGTACCATTGGAAGAGATCGCTCATTCTTTGGTGGCACCGCTGCAGCAACAGGATCGCCATCTGGAGGCCTACGAGCTGATCAAACGCTTCAGCCAGCCGGCGAGTGAGGAGCCGCTGGATGTCCTGATAAGGGGACATCTTTTTGGGCGTGCCATCTACGAGGCGGGTCTGCTGACAGCCGCTGGCGCCGCTGATCTGTTGAGTAAGTCAACTTTGGCATCTTTGAATTACCTATTTTTTGATTTACTTTTACTATTTTGTAAGCTTTAAAGTTTTTTTTAGATATCTTTGAATCGTCTATTTGAATTACTTTTTAACAAACAGTTGGTAAATAGATTGGAAACAATTTTTGATGGTTGTTTTGAGATGGTAAAAAGTGATCGATAATGAAAAATTCCATATTAAAAACGGCTCAAGAAATTATTCATTTCGATTTGGTTTTCAGGCAAAATTGAAATCCACAATTTAAACTCATTTTTAACTTGTGCAAGAAAATTATATCTGAGTATATAAGTGATATATTATATTATATTATATTACTACATTGATATATTAGTCTTCGAAATCGAAGTGCATAAAGTAAGTTGTGAAAGAAGAAATAGGTTAAATTATTTAAATCGTCAGAGGCGCAAAAATTAATTAATTTATTTTTGGGCTCTAAGAAGAGTTTTTGTTTTTAGGTTCCACAAGCAAAATATATTTTAATTTCGATCTGAAAAAATGAGTTTTTTTTATTGCACTTAGTTATATATAATTTTGTTGCTTTTTTCTATAGTTCGTTTATTATTTATTATCAGCATTCATTTACATACCAAATTTTAGATAACTTGCGATGAATTAAAGTTTGCAATTTTAACTACAAAACACAGATGGTAAATTAGAATGGTCTAGTCGAGAGAGCTCGACTGGCAGATATTCTGGAAAGAAGGTTGTTCAATGTGTTTGAACCGAATGAACTGTTTAAACTGTTTATCAATAATCTGTTTGGATATATTCTATATCAATTGGAAGGCTACATCTTAACATTTGCATATTTTAATGCAATCGGAAATATTCTTTTTTTTTTATATGCGTGAAACGAGGATTGAAATAAACTTAACTTGCCTATGGTATATGAAGTCTATGGCTCCTTAATCTTATATTCGAAATATAAACAGCAAAATATTCAACAAATTTGTCTTTCTAGTTTCCAGAAATATATTTCTTAGTAATAGAAAATATGTCTTAAAAGTAGAAATGCAAATAATGATTCTTAGAGAAGATCCATTCTTTAAACCTTTCTGCATATACAACGAATTTTTTCTACATTTTACAAAAAATGTACAATGGAATTGAGCAAAGAAAAAGGAGAGACTCGAATCGGCTGCAAATGCTGATCAGGAATATATATATACTTAATGTTGTCGCAGATGGTTCCTTCTTTTGTCTTTTGCACACTCAATCTTGCATTCTGCCCTATTTCCATTTGAAATGATAAGACTTAATTGCTGAGATAAGCACAAATTGTTCAGTTGCGCCTCGAACCAATAAATTTTGATAACGAAAATGCCTCAAAATGCATTCCTGTCGAAGCGAGTTGCGAGCTATATATAAAGTTGTTAGTCGAGGGTTTTCCACATAATTCAAAAAGTCAAATAATGAGAACAGCATTGATTGCAATTTTAGGCCTTCTGTTGACGGCTGTCTTCGCCCAGCAGGCATCCTGCAAGCCTCGAAAACTATCCACCTTTCACCGTCGGTGTCGTCCAGTAAAAGCAAAATGTAATCCAGTTTCGTAAAGAACATTATACAAATAAAGCATATTTTCCCCATTGAAAGCAAACACATTATTGTCTTTTAAATGCTGGAACAATTGATTCAAATGTGGTACAACAAATATTGATATATAAGCTGATGGATAGAATAAAAATCATTTTTGAAAATCCTCTTAATTTATAAGAATACATTTAAAATAAGAGTAATTGAAACTTTAATTTTAAAATATAGAATTTTAGAATAGAGCAATCATTAAATTTCAAATATTGCCTTGCAGAAATTGTAAAGCAGCAATCAATTTAAATTTTATAATCAAATTTTTATTATTTGGTAACCTCTGTCTAAACTTTTAAAAATTAAATTAAAAAGAAGCAATCGATTTCATCTTCTTCAAAATGAGTTAATTTTTTAATATAGAATTCTGGAGTAGAGCAATTATTATATTGCCTTAAAGATACTGTAAATATTTGAAAATTAAGAGCAGCAGTCGATTTCAATTTTAAACTGTTTAAAATTATAAAATTAATATTAAACTTAAAAGAAGCAATCGATTTGAATTTTATAATCGTTTGATTTTCTTCAAGTTGAATTCTTTTTTGAAAATAGAAAATTAGATTAAAAAGATTAAAAGCAGCAATCGATTTCAATTTTATAGTCGGACCTCTTTTAAACTTATTAAAATAAATTCTTACCAATTTCGTTACTGCCTTCCAGCTGAACGAGTGAAGCCAGCGTTGATCGCCTATGTGGCACAATTGGAGGGTTCACTGTGCGCGGATCGCAAGCTCTTCGGGGAGCACAAACAGCGTCTGCTGGAGATACGCAAGCGTCAGGCGGCAAGCGCTGATGGCGGGAACGATGAGCACGATGTGGACATTGATGAGGTCGATCTGCTCTCGGACACGAGCAGCATGCAATCCTCAAGGCACAGCGGCAGCTCACGTGGCACCGGGTAAGCAATCGACAGTCATCATGCACATCAGTGCACATCTGATATATATTTTGTTTTCATGTGTTTCACTTTCTTTACAGCAAAACATTTCGCTCCAGTAAGAATCGTCGCAAACACGAACGCAAGCTGCTCAGTCTGAAGCCGGGCAATCCGTTCGAAGATATCGCGCTCATCGATGCGCTGCACAACCAAATCACGAAGATCGGCCAGCTCCAGCAGCAGCAACTTGTGCGTGACACATGCAAAGCACTGCTCCAGCTCCACACCGAGGATGCCCAAGCAGCAATGTTGCAGCGTCAATACGACAGCATCTTGTCGGAGGTGCAATCGTCGCTGGACGAGATCTGGATACCGGAACTAATGGGCGGCAGTGCGCAGCACTTGACCGGACCCAATGTCGACTATCTGGCGTTGCGAAAGGAACAGCGTTATGCATTAATAAGTGGGTCAACATTTTATTTATATATATAAAGCACTTCAACTAGAAATCTCAAATGTTGTAGAATAAATTATAGTATTATATATATATATATTATATATATATATATATATATTTATTTATTTTCATATTTTATATTATTATTTTATAATTTCATTTGATTAATTAAGTATCATTTTGTTAGAGATTTTTATATGTATTTTATATGATTTTAGCAAATTATTATTTATTACACCTTGTAGCATTTATAGCAAAAGTTTTCTAATTGATTTATGTATTTATTTGATCTTATCTTATCTTCTTTGCATATTATAATCATATAAATGAATTAATATGTTTATAAAATCCAATTTAATGATACACATTTAAGAACATTTTATCTTCGCTTATCTTATTATATTTATATATGTGAATATGTTTGAAAATTGTATCTCTTATATTTTTTATTAGTATGAAATAATTATTATATTATTATATTTGTATGCCAATATTTCATATTCTATCATACATATTTAAGATCAATTTATCTTCCTTTATCTTTAGATAGAGGACAAATTTACTTTAAATATTGTTGCGCGCATTTCTAAGTTATTTTCTACAATTCTTTCATATTAATTTTCTAACTCAGTCAACTTTTAGAACTAGTTCAGAACAGAATCTGAACAGGGCAACCTGTACGCATTTATCCAAATTTGTCAAAAATTTTAAATATTTTATAAGTGTTTTTATGTAAGTCAACAGTTTTTGAAATTCCAAATTGAAAGTTTTTGAAATAGATTCGCAAGGATATACGGCTATGAATCGATTAAATGAGAAAATGTGAGAGATTTATATTAATTTATGATTAATAATTAGTATAGTTATTCGAACTGGAATATATATTAATATAGCTTTTACTAATTTCTGCAAATATGCAATCAAAAGTAATTTAAAGTAATTTGCACATTCTAATCAGAAATATTTGCAACTATTTTGGTTGTTTGTTATCGTTGCAGATCCCTTGAAGCGATTCAAGCCACAATTGAACATTATCGACTGGAAGCATGGCATATTGCATTAGTTCTTATCATTGTCGTTATCGCTCTTTCGCTGTTTTAAATGCAGATTTCCAATTTCCAATTTGCGTGCATTCAATTTTCACTTTTCATGCAAATCCGGCGGACTTCAAAACTCTCATTTACTTTCACTAGATGTTCCAGCTGAAATAAGAAATAAATGTTGCATTAAACAACAAACTAATTGAGTTGTTTTTAAATAAATATATAAATTTATTAGCACGAAACACAAATTGCGTGTTGTATTTTTTCTTCTTCTCTTCTTTTTCGATTTAAATGTGAAAAGTGGGTGTATTGCTTGCATGGAGTGCATTCCATTTAAAGTCGTGATTGGTCTCGACGGACAGTCATTTAGTAGGCGTTTATTTATTTACTTATCGCTGGGCAACCGCCCTTCAAAGTATTTTGGTTAATTTCCTGTCGCTGCCGTCGACTACTGCTGCTGCGTTGGCGTCAACGTCGCCGTCGGCATCGGCGTCAGTTTGTTTGACAAAACAGCAGCTGAGCAAAGGAAACGTCGCAGCCTGAAACAGGTTTCAGTGATTTGTTGTAGGTGCACATTGTTGCCAGGCAGCATGCATTCCGCACACTGGGCCCACGGTTATATAAAAGTCAAGAAAATTAAATACCGTAATAAATCAACTGATAGTGCTAAAATACAATGAGTGCATTTAAAAATTGCACACAGTTGCAAGTATTCTCATTTAACTTTCCCATTTCAGCGCATATTAAATTATACACATCGGCATCCTGAATCACCCTAATGCACGCTGGACATGCGCAGCTAACATATTCTGCTGCGGCTGCTGTGAGCGCCGACGTCGCCGACATTACCGGCGCGACGCAACTCCAATTGAGCTCGACGCTGCTCTCTGATGTTCTCTTTCAACGTTTTCGTTTTCGCAGCGCCATTTGAGTGAGCGGCATTGGACGAAGCGGTCGTGTGTTCGCTGCTGCTGCGCTAACCGTTTACTTTGGCGCGTTTACTCTGCTTTTGTTCCCAACAATTTTTTACCAAAACCAAATATAAAAAAATATTTGGTGCGTGTATATGTTTGTATATAGAAGCTGTATAAAAAAAAGAAAGAATAAAAAATCGAACCGCAACCCACAAATTTAGTCAGAGCAACAAGTGCGAGAGGAAACGCGTGTGTGGAAATCGAAACGAAATCGAAAACGAAAAACGGAGTGCAAAAAGTGCAAATGAAAGAAATACACAAATACATTTATAGATATATGTATGTATGTATAAATGTGAAATTCCAATAAATAGCTAATTATTGGAAATTTTGCTATTGATAGCTAATAATTGTTTAATTGTGCTAATTATGAAGAAAGTGTGAAAACATAGTCAGAAATACACAACAAAATTCAATTCCACATTTGTTGCTGCTGCTGCTCCTATTTGTTATTTTTGTCGCTGCCCAGAGGGCTTGCTGCGCAGTCGAACACGGAAGCAGCGCAGTCACCGTCGCAGTCGCAGCTGTGCGTTAAGTAAATAAATACAAATACATACGCGAAATAATTGTGTTGCTTAAGTTGCTGAAGTGTGCACATATTAACAACAAATATAATTAACTTAAGTAGCTCAGTCTGTCAATTGGAGTCAACAACAACAACTATTACTTATTTTGGTAAGTTCTGCCACTCTCTCTATCTCCCTCTCTCTCTCTTTATCTGTCACCCCGCGCTGTTGTTCTATAAACAGCGCTGCTGGTGTCGCAGTCAAGTGCTTGCCAAAGCTTTGGTCACCTCTCTCGTTCTCTATCTCGCTCGCACTCGCGCATTGTCCAGTCTCAAAGCTCAGCTTGAAACTTGCAAAACGACTTTCAACATCATTCAGCGGTTTTTTTTTTGTTTTCGTTTGGTTTTCATTGCTGATGCTTTTATTTTTGCTACTTCTATTTGCCGCGCTGCTCTTTTTTCTTCTTTTTTTTGCTGTTACTGCTGTTTATTTAATTACACCTACATTTTTTTGTATTTGCTATTTAGCACTTTTTTTGTTTGCAAACATATTTTTCGCACATGTCCGCGTAGCAATCATTTATTTATAAATTTAATGCCATAATTTGGTTGTTGTTGTTCTGCTTCTTTGTTTTGTGGCTAAGCGTGGAAAAAAATGTCTGTTGCACAAAACGTTTGCATTTTGCCAAATGTTTGAAATATTTTTCAATGCCTTGGCAAGCGCTTTATTCGCTTGTGTAATTTATGTAATGGTTTTTATAGGTTTAAGTGTTCAAAAATCCTTGACAGTTCTTTTTTATGGCTGTATATTAAATAATAGTTGATATTCACTGGAAGTTTTCCAACCAATAAACCTATCGATAACTGAATTAATTAACTCTATGCGAATTTATCGTTGACGGAACTTTACAAATCTTCTGATATGCCTTACAACAATGGCAAACGGCAAACTGAAACCTATGCGCATAAATTATGAGTATTTTCTGTATAAACACGATTATCGCTGTCTTAAAATTTGAAATGCGAATGCTGTCGTTGGGTTTCTTTGTTTGTAGAATTGGGTTTGCAACTAGGCGAGCGAGTGTTACTCAATCTGCTTCAGGTAGACACAAGTCGCGGGGCACGTCTGTAAGGCGCCACAAAAACCGCAAATCCCAAAAGTGCTGAACGTGACTCAGACTCAGACTCAGCACTCGGGGCTGAGCGGCTCTTTCGGCTTTAGCTGCTGTCACAATTCTTATCTCCTAAATTAGACTCTGACTCTGACCTCCGAACTGACCAATTTCAAGCTGTCAGAAAAGACAAAGGAATTAAATACAGCGATCGCACGACAATGTTAATGAAATTATTATTATTTCTGGTGTTCTAATTGCCAAGTTTTTGTAACTTTAGCTCTAAAATTGTGGTAGACTTTAAACATTTTTGGAAGGGTGGGCGCGGAAAATAAATCCTGTACAGGTATAAAAAAAACCCATTTCAGTTGGGGTTTTCCAAAATTTTTTAATTTTTCATTCGTGTTTTTAATCGATTTCTTTGTACCGCCACAATTCCATAATAAAGTCCATTTGAAGCAAATATTTTTTTCAAAAACCAAAGAATACATTTTTTATATCGTCAGAAGCTGTTTTAATTGGCTTATTGAATGAAAAAAAAATGCTCCAACAGAGACAGATTATTATGAATGTTCTCTTTTTATAAATTTAAAAGGTCTTTGAAAAATTCTAATTCATATTAAATTAAACAAAATGCGTATTTAAAGAAAGCAAAGATTAGTTAAGCGATTGGAATAGATAAATTGAAGAAAATAATAAAAACAATATAAATATTAGAATAAATACAAGAAATATAATATATTACTTTTAAAAATCTGGACAATTGGAATTTGGTAGTGACCACTGTAATCATTAACCCATAGCCAACGTCTAATGTTGGTTAACCGGTTTAGAGCCAAACGCGTTCTGGGCTCGAATTCAACAACATTCCATGAAAGTCAACTTTAGTTTTGAATTGTTTTTTATTTTTGGGTTGGGGCTGTAGGTCTGTAAGCCTGCTGGGTCTCCCTGCTACCTTCCTCCCCCTCTCTCTGACACTCTGCCTCTGTTTCTGTCTCTCTGGCTGTCTGTCTGTCTGTCTCTGTTCCGTCGTTGGCGGCAGCTCATTTGGCATTCAAAATGTTACTCGCGGCCCATTATTAACGATTTATGTTGTACTTGCAAAATGCATAATGCATTTGTGTTTACTCAGCTGCTGTTGTTGCTGGTCTCTAATTAAAAAAAAAGACAAGAAAAAAAATACATTGTTGACTGCAACATGATGTGGCAAAGGCAACGATTCGAGCCAGCCTTCGCTTGAGGCTTTCGATTTTGCATATATTACCTTAGCAGTCGTAACTAAAGATACAAATATATATATATATTATATATTATATATATATGTATGTATATATTTATAGACTTTGTCGTAGCCACGTTTTAAATGCAGCTCATAGTTAGACAAGTTATGGATTTTTATTGATGAGCGACCTTCCCGTTTGTTAAGTCATAAGTTTCATTTCGAGATGCCTCCGATTGCTGCACAGTGATTTGTCAATATGCAACGCTTTGAGCATAAATCGTTTTTAAATGTGTCTTGGTTGGTTATAATTAATTATTTTGTGATTCCAATAAATTCAAAAGAGATGCTTTTATTTTCCATAATCATTTATCACTAATTTCAAAGCGATGTCGCTTTAAAAGTTGATTCCGGTTAAGTTGCACTTATATCCCATAATCTTTTTTTTATACTAGTTTTAAAAATAAAAATCCTAAAAATATATTGTTATTAGTTCTGTGAATAACACTTAAGAAAAACTGCAAAACTGTTTTAGAAGATAAATTTGTCTTGATCAGTGAGAAGTTAACAGCTCGACTCAAATATATCTAACCGTTTTAGTATTATTTTAGCCCCTATGAGCGTTATGCAACATTGTCTTCATCTCAAACAAACCGCTAAGCAAAAGTTGTATTTAGATTAAGGTTGCCCCGCATTCAGACCCACTCAGACCCACAGACCTGACCTATGCCGTTTTTTGTTGTCTTTTATTTTGTCTCGATTATCTTCGTTTGTCATTTCTGGTTCTTTGCTGTGTCTTCTGCATTATCTTCTTTTTCTCAGTTGCTGCATCTTTTTGTTGCTTCGACTTTTTTGCATTATCTTTTAGTCGGTTTTTAGCTGGTTTCTTCTTACAAAACTTTTTGTGGCTTACGCTTTTTGTTTTGCACTTTGCATTTGGCAATCATCAAATAGAAAATGTTTCTTGGCCGTTTTTAGCTTTGCTGTGGCTTGACAAAGCAATTGCTGTAAATGTTTTTCACTTCTGCTTATTGAATAAACTTAAGCTTATAAATAAAATTGGCAAAGTTATTTGATAATACTTAAAAATTCTGTTATCTTCTACTCTCTATCTTTCAGCAGCTATTTAGATACCTTATGCCTCCTACCCGCTTAATTCAATTAAAATTTTAATTATTTTGTTGACAGTCGCAACTATTACGTAAAAAGTCAACGAACGTTTAAGTTGAAAAAACATCAACTAGGAAATGACTTTTGGGTGGCCAAAAAAATAAAATAAAATAAATAAATTGCATAAAATTAAAAAGCTTATTTAAAGTTTTCTTTAAGTTTCTAGTTACCAGGTTTTTTTTCCAAGCCTCGTCTTACGTCTCGTGTAAAGCCACATTT